TCTATTTTTTTCCCAAATTCTATCAAATTTCTTGTGAAAATACTATCACTTCTTCAGGCCTTCAAATGAAACAATCCAAGAAGGAAAAACCATTTTTATGGTCACAACTTCCACACTCTAAGGCCGTGGCATGTTTACCTTATAAGGAGCACATAGCATCGTAGTAACAATTAAAGACACTAAAGTAATGGCCTGAGCTTTTAGCCAGCAGTTTGGTTTTAGGGAGGACAATGTCTGTCTGTTGGTCGATCCACCACTTTGGTCCAGACTGACCTATTGGATGGATTGTCGTAAAGCATGTCTCCCTCACGGTGAATTATAATAACTTGGATAATTTCCTGACTTCTCATCTCGTCATCAGATTAACATATTAATGTGTTCAATACTTTGGTTTACATTCCCATCAGCCTAAGCTGTATAATGTGTCAAGGGCTATTTAGCAAAGTGAACATGGTAAATATTAAACCTGCTAAAGCTCAGCATTTGTTTGTTATTGTGAACGTGTTAGTATGTTGACATTAGCATTTAGCAAAGTCTCACAGAGCATGGCTGTAGACTCTTACTCTTTTCTTGGAATTTGGGTAATTTGATGGATATTTTATTGGCCAGTTCTACTATTTATGGACTGACTTTATTTAAGTTTGACTACTTAAACTTGCAATAACTCTTTTTTTGGCCACTTGGTGGCAGCATAAACAGGCTGTGAACGCAGCATTGACATATAATCTCCATTTGAACTGATGTGACAAACTTGTCAGCAAACTGTTGCTATTTACACACAGTTTTTGGTATTTTCCAACTTCTGAGGGAAATATCTGTTTTTTTAGCTGCTCCACTTTGTTCACCAGCTAGGTGCTAACTGTCCGTCTGCCATTTGATGCTGAGCAGGTAGTGTATGATGGATGTTTAGAATGTTTTCCCTGAAAATAGCTGTCTGCTGTGACTAAAAACAACACTATGACAGAGCTAATACTGAACTAAAACAGTAAAGTTATGGTCGAACAGCAAAACAATGAGCTGAAACTCACTAAAGGGCTCCATAAAGCTGAGGAGAGCCTCAGATTCAGGTGATAATGTTCTCCGTAGGTTTATCATTACAAGCGACCCCATTCACATTGTTACATTTAATACACTATTATCATAGAAATTATTGATTATAGCCCCTTTAAGGTCATTGAAACAAAAGAAAGGAAGAAAGGATTCAATGTTTCCCCACCAGAATTTAAATCCTGACACTGTGGACAAAGATTTTTATGAATGAAACTTTCTTTTCTAATATCTGGTCCAAATTTTTTAAATCCTGGCTACAGCCCTGGGCACATGCACAATAATAACCTGATAATAACATTCCTTTATTCTAAACTGGGGACTACGAGGGGCCGCAGTCGGTCTGTACAGTGAGCAAACAGGCTGAGCAGCAAAGTGAAGTCCTGCTGGTAGTGATATCGTTATGCTGTGTGTCCCGTCTGGACAAGGGGACCAGAGTGAGGTCAGGGGGTATGGGGTTGTAATCTCTTGATTGAATAGGTTTGTGTGTGTCAGTATATGTGTGTGTGTGTGTGTGTGTGTGTGTGTGTGTGTGTGTGTGTGTGTGTGTGTGTGTGTGTGTGTGTGTGTGTATATGTCTTTCTGTCTTGCTGGTTGTGTGTCTTTGTCTCAACAAGAGTGTTTTTGTGTATCTATATTTGTGTGTTTGTGTGTGTGTGTGTGTGTGTGTATGTGTGTGTGTGTGTGTGTGTGTGTGTGTGTGTGTGTGTGGGTGGGTGGAGGATTAGCGTGCCTCTCCAGTCCTCTGGCTGTAATCAGACGGGACATTGGCTCCATGACGTCCCACAACCCCCACCACCACCCACTGCGGGAGCGCCTCTATCCCTTTCACCCTGTCATGTGTGTTTGGCTGCTGGTCTTGGGACCTTGGCGGTATGTTAGGAGTTAAAACAATTATTCTTGCTCACATCACAGTGTCCTTTTTAAAAACGTTGCTTCCACTGGCAGGAAATCAGGGAGGCAAAGATCTTCATTTGGACCTGATCCTGAGAGGCACATGGCATGCAACGCAGACCGGCCAACAACAAATCCCTGCATCTGCTTTTTCATGATGTTTGCATGTTAATTTCTTTCAGCAGGATCAGCTTTTCTTCAAAACTGGTCTAAAAGTGAAAGTCCAGCACGACAGGGAAAGATAACGCAGCTCCATCGGGGTGACAGTTCGAGGGCCGTCAGATAAACAACCATCACTGATCAGGTTAGTCTAAGCCCTCTGACCCTGGACTGGCTTGTCTGCTGTTAGTTTGACCCTTAACCCCTCCCTTTGTCTTTCAGACCAACACACAGGACAACCCAAGCACACTCAACAACCACACACACACACACACACACACACACACACACACACACACACACACACACACACACACACACTCCTATCTGGCCTCTTATCCTTGACAGCTCTTATGCTGATATTAAGATCTACTTCAGTGATTTCAGGGCTGTTTCAGCCATAAAATCTCATTTAGGAGGAAATTAGCTTGGGTCTCAGTCTTGTTACTATACAGTGCTTAACAGCATTAGACCATTCTTGTGGCTTTTAAATAACAACAAGGATGGATAGTATCATTCAAATAAACCTCCACCAGCCTACTTTGTTGCACCATAATGGCCAAACATTCATTGTTTTACATTATTGTACTGCCATTGTGCTGTCCTCTTAGTGCCATACAATGCGTACTGATTCTAATTACAGATACGTATGGCTTAGTATATTAATATGTGCTGAAGAAATGCATCCATCAACCCAATTTACAATGATGCCCTCTCAACTTTTGAATTCCACTGACTCTGATTAATAAAAACACTCACCTGAACAAGCTTTGGTAAAATTTTTGTTTCTGGAATAAAGAAATCCTAAAAGCTCCGATAAATGCAATTTAGATATTTACTTCCCAATGTTTGCATAGATCCAAGCTTTCTCTATTTTCTGTGGCATTTCAGTGTAACGGCTGTTTTACTTGCGCTATGCTGTCGTCCGTTACTGCCACAGAGACGGAGCACCATCAGACCCATAGAGACGAACCATAATCAACTTTACCAATTACACTCAATCTCGGACCACTTATTCCTCACAAAATGGCATCACTAATGCTAGACATCACACAAATGCCTCTCAGTGTCCTGCAAGAGACTCCAAATACACATTTATATATTCAAACCAATAGTTCAGACTGTAATGAAATAAGCTTTAAATAAGTCTTTGATGCCTCTTAAAAAGGCTTACTTTGCAAGAGAAATTGCTCTGCATGGCTGGGCACTTGCTTTAACATACAATACAGCAGAAACATAAGCCCTCCTCAACAACACTCCCAATTTAGTTGCTATAGAAAAACTTACGTCTGCAGGCCAAATGAGTGACATTTAAAAATGTCAGTCTTTTTTTTGTTTTAGCATGTGGTGTCTCATCTGTACACACACAAAAAAGAGGACGTGTGTGTGTTTGTGCGGCTGTCTCTGGTCTGTGTCTGTTCGAAAACATCGTGGACGAGTAAATTTGGATAAGGATGAGAAAAGGGGAATATGGAGAGGGAAGGTGGAGGGGTTACTGGTGTGGGTGTGTGTGTGTGTGTGTGTGTGTGTGTGTGTGTGTGTGTGTGTGTGTGTGTGTGTTGTGTGTGTTGTGTGTGTGTGTGTGTGTGTGTGTGTGTGTGTGTGTGTGTGTGAGAGAGAGAGAGAGTGTGTATGTTAGGGGGAGCGTTGGGGAGATAACGATAAGCACCACTTAGGCTCTTTGATCACAAAGGTTCATCAATCTACTGTCCGACTAGTGTGTCTGAGAAAGTCCTCCACAGATGGATTAAAGTCCTTTACACACACACACACATACACACACTACACACACACACACACACACACACACACACACTCTGTGTTTAATATTATTTTACCACTTTAGCCAAAAGCTTTATTCTCCCAACTAACTTCCAGCCATACAGAGGTCATCACAGAGCTCTGTTACTGTACAAGCAGGCATGCAATCCATCTTCAGATTCGGAGGCCCCCGCATGGGACCTCACTCTTTCTCCCCCCTCCTCTCCCCCTCTCCTCATCCTGGCCTGAGTTTGTCTGGAGACGAGGGGTTAAGGAGGAACAGACCCTCTGAAGAGCTGCCTGCTTAACCTCTGACCTTATGGTGTATGAAAGAGAGAGAAAGGAAGAAAGAGAAAAAGAGAAGGAGAGAGAGGGAGGTCTGACAACTGACATATAACTACGCAATTAAATGTAAATACACTGGGTTAGAAGTTTAATGATTTAACAACCTTTCGAAATAAATCTCTGCATGCTACATCCATTTGTTAGTTGAAAATAAGCGTGTTGTAAACTCTGAGCAGGTGTAAGGTGTAAGAGGTTAACTTTGCTGTGAGAGACACAGAAACACGAGATCTAAGGAGAGAGGAAGGAGAGCGAACAGCGGTTTGGAGGGGAGTCTTAGAAAAGGGGGGACCACCAACACACCCCCACCTTTCTTTGTCCTGCATCCCGGCAGACCCCACCCCTCCCTGGGCAGCAGGTTGTCAGTGAAGGGGTCCAGCTGGTGGAGACTGGAGGTGCCAAACAACCTGTCAGAGATAAGAGGAGGCGGACAAGGTATGCACAGCACCCCAGCACCCACACCACTCTGAGTGCAAGACTTAGAGACACTGGGGTCCCTTACACTTGATAAGACAGCAGAGTACACACTGTTACATTTTAAACCATACTCTCTACATTGTTGAATGAGACCGTTGGACACTTTTGGAACATGCATTTGGGAAAAGCTGCAGGCTACTGTTGCTATCAGGTCCTTCATATTGATACATGCATTGGAACTGATAAACTGCACTGCACTTAAAAGAGTTTCCACTCACGAGGTGCTGAACATACTTAAAATAACCCGCTGGGAATGTTAATAGATTGTCTCTGCTGTGTTTGTTGTCTACTCACAAAGAAGAACACTACAACCACTTGACTTACGCAAAAAATCTCTAAAATTTATTCCATTTCGGTATATAAATCTGTCTTTATTTCCATAGAACAGAAAATTGTGTTTGTTTATCACAACTATTTATCACCACTTGGAGATGGAAGGTGAAAACAGAAACAAACTTTCAAAGAGAAACAAATATCTCCAAACAATACCGTCTTGTTGCACAAGTTAACAACAAACTAATCTTTACAAATCTAGAGTAATAAATATTATTAGCGGGAACAAGGCTATAAAAAAATCTCATTTTAACACACACATACTCTCACTCACACACAAATCAAATACATATCAAGGAATGATGAGGATCTGCTTTCTGCATACTGATGGTTTGTAAAGTTAGAGCACCTTCTCACATGTTACTGCATGTAAAACACCTGGGCAAAGATATAAAAACTGCTTCATTACACAAAAATAAACCAAAAATCTCAGCTTGCTTCTATTTTGCACAGTGGGTGCCAAAAATGTTTCTTTACAGTTAGCTTAAAGGAAGAAAGTAATGCTACCCAAATCTGTAGGGAAATGTTTTTAACACAATCTTCTCAAAGCAATGGAGAAATACTGTATGGAGGTGACAGGGAGCATTCAGATTCAAAACAGAGAGACTAAAAAAGAATATTTGAACAAATTGGTCAAACATTGTCACATTTACAGCACTGATTCTTTGTGTTTGCTGAGCAATCCTCGCATGTCAAGGATCAACACTGGACTCATGAATAATTCAGAAACAAACAAAAATGGGACAACACACGCACACATAAAACATGCGGCACTCCAGCGCTGACTGGTCAGCTGGGGATAAAAGAGAGGAGTGCGCTCATTGGCTGGCTCTCTGTGAACGGGGAACGCTGATTGGTCAGCTGGGGGTGACTAAGAGGACAGCGGTGACAGCTGCATGACGCTGAGTAGTGCATTTACCCAGAATGCAGTGGAAACTGTTTACAGGTCCTTCAGCCTGTAGCGTGGTCTAAACAAACTGTTTATCTCTATGGTGCAGCGCCTGGAGCTACTACTGCCTGTCTCATTGGAAATTAACTCATAGCATCCTTGAGCTGAGCTGACATGGGTTTTACATACAAACACGCACACACAGACAACTCATGCCTTTTCTCCTTCACTGAGACTGAGCACGGAGCTGTGCTTTGCTCCACTAAAGAAAAATATGTCTCCCTCAGGCTCTGCTGAGATTATTTTGGTCAGTAAATGTTACTGCCTGTCTGACAGTGGGTTACAATTTACATCCTTCACAATGGAGAGAGTGGGAGTCATTGAGAGGAAAACAGCCTAGTGCTGCTCACGGTCTGGCCTTAACAGGGCTCACAGTGCAAACATTTGGGTGACACCAGTCTTTGGGTTATTTAAAGACAATAAAGTACAACTTTGATTGTGCTGCTCTTTTTTTTTTTTTTTTTAACATCTGACGAGTCATGGATGTCCAAGTCTTTAACGATCCACTGCTCCATCCAGCACGAGGGAGAAACATAACTGACCAATGACACCTCTTCACACAGCACAAAATCACACTTTTCACAAGTATTTTACAAAGGTAATATCACATTTAGTCCGTATTCGGTGCAGCATCTTTCAGAAGAGCAGAAAGAAGGGTCATTGAATTTGAGACGAGGAATCTCTGTCCACTCTGGTTCAGTTAAGAGGCTGCACTCCATTCTGGGACTCCACACCTGATGTGTGTGTGTGTCTCTAGTGTGTGGTAGAGAGGAGGAGACAGGTTGGGCGTGTAGCGATGATACTCTCTGAGAGGAGGGCTGAGCTGCCTGCTGTGAATGTTTTGGGAGCTCTGAGATGGAGGTCCAGAGCTCTGGCTCTGGTAGGGGTCGTGGGTGATGTGTTCTCCCAGCGGCGGAGAGCTCTGGTGGGCTATAGCACTGAGTCGAGAGCCCTGAGGGCTGGAGCTGTAGGGAGGATGAGGGGTGTAAGGCGGGTAGGGTTCCATGGGGGTCATAGCAGAAGGGAGCGGGCAGGTGTATGACCAGGATGCACAGTTGAGTTCATCCAGTCTGGGCTCTGAGCCGGCAAACATGCATGCCTGACGCTGTCCCATGTCTGAGCTGTAGGGGGAGTCAGTGAGACCCAGGGCAGGGTTGTTGGAGAGACCGGGTGGAGGAGGAGGGTAGGAGGAGGGGTGATAGTAAGACTCGCCCTCACTTGGTGAGCTACCAGTGAAAGGTTTCTTGTACGGATGCTGGCGGTTTCCTGAAGAGCAGTTCTCCTCAACTACAAGAGAAACAGGACAGAGAGAAGATATTGTGTTGATTTTCCATTTGACGTTAATGACATTTGAGAACTGGGAAAGTTCCAGCTTAGAATTTCTGACTTCCCGCATTATACAGTTGAAGAAGCTGAGACGAGAACAAAATGTACACATGAGGAAAAGTTGCATTAGTTTGACTTAAAGATCCCCTCCAGACATTTATTCAGACAGATATACAAATAGTGCTTGGAGTAATAATGTGTATCTGATGTGGTTTTATACAAAAAAAAAGTCGGATTTTAACATTAAAATCGTTCTCTCAGTGTATGTGGCAGCTTCAAGTTTCTACATCACACTTGTATAAGTTGCATATTTGACTAAATCACAGTGTTTCAAACACCTTAAAGTTCACTTTATTCTTTGATCAGATTTTACCGATTTTAGATTACATTTTATTTGTATGCCGCCTTGTGTTTATACAACATTTACTACTATGTTAAATAAATAAAAAGGTTAGATAGAAAAATAAAGTGAAAATATATTAGTTTGGTCTTGATACTAAAAAACATAGTTATTTGCAATTATAAGAGTATTGCATTTATACATTTAAACAATACCCAGCCCAATTAACTACAAAGTGTTTATACTCGTCATCAGTGCAGGCCATTCTGCAAAGTAGCAAAGTCCATTGCTTCAGACTAATTCTGCATGTAGGGTCTTGTTTTTTCGATTGAACGACTGATTAGTTAAGTGATCAGTTAAGTGTCACTCAAATAAAGTTTCTCAGTTTGAGTTTCCAGCCAAATGTTTTGTAATATAATTATTTTGTATTTTCAATCTCATTACACTTACACTGTAGAAGCTGTGGCACAGTCATTGGTTGTTATTTACCTATTAACTTTTAGCTGTTGATTAATATGTCTGAATAAATCCATGCACGCATGTGTGAATGACCAGACATTAAAATGTTCATACAGCTGTTGCCTCAGTAAATCTGATGCTAATTACACAGTTTGCAAACACAAACTGAATGTCAGTCACAGCACTAATTAGTGTAAATCTTCTCAGATTTATTTCCCAGGCAGCCACTAAAAAGGGTATCTTTTTTTTAGTTGGTTACATGTTACATACAGTAGTCATCATCATTACCCTTCAGCATCAACATTTCAAAACTTATCTCATGGATGCAAAGCTTTCTGGCCACCATCTCTGAAATCTGGGACCACCAAGAGGACGAGTTTTCAAAATTGTCCCTGCAGCAACGGCATTGTCAAGAGGATGATGTGAGTGTGCCTTTGTAACTCAACTGACAAAAAAATATATAATCGATTTTTCACAGTGATTATTCTTGCTTTTCATACTAGCTGCCTGAGAGTTAGGTAATCAATCTTAAAGCTTAAAAGTTCCGACAATAGTTAGCGGTAACAGTGAGTATGGATATTTGTAATCAATAACATGTAAAACCACTGTAACGGTCCTTTAACCTTCAAATATTGCAAATAACCTGCAAACAGACACTTATTTTGCACAAATTGGAGGAGTCAGAAATGACCAGTTCGTGTTTTAAGTGATATTTTCTTACTTGAATTAGGAAACATTAGGCGATGTAATAATAGTCACAATTGTGACTTTAATAATGAACTTTCAGGTGAGAAAAATACACAATTATTTCCACTATTACAAAAAGTATTCCAATACATGGAATACATAAACCCTGTGTCAGGGAGCGAACTAATGGAATTCCTTTTTATATCTTAGCTTAGGTTCATTCCCACAGTGCACTGAAGGCAGAGACACACAGCTTCCTCCTACCTTTCCTCTTGGTGCAGTGGTACACCTGCTGCTGCTGGCCATGCTGCAGGTGAGGATGAGGCAGGATGTAGTGTGGGGGGGGAGCTCAGCAGCTCCTGGGGACTGCTGCTGTTCAAGCCATTCTCACAGCTGTAGGGGGACCCGACGGCTTCAGGGGAGCCCCGCAGACCCCGACCCTCCCCACTGAACGGACTACCAGTGGAGCAGGCTCTCTGACGGACAGTACTGCGAGGGACCACAGGGAAGTCCTTACTGAAACAGAAAAGAGATGTGAGCTGAGAATTACAGCAGAAGCAACAATTTGCATTTGATGTTGTTATGGCTTCAGGTATTCTGCGCAAATCTGCCTCTCCTGATTCTGTACAGGTATTTCTGTTAGATTAAATTCTGCCTGGTTGTGTTTGTGTTCTTGTTATTTTTTTCCCCCTTTTTCTTTCAAGTCAACTTAGCTGTTCTCAATCCTTTCAGCCCTGTACACACTGCCCTCTTGGTGAACTCTGTGGTATGTAGGGGACAGCGGGCCACATCTCCCTGACTCTTGCTGAGATAGTGACACACACTCACGCACACTGATGCACACACTCACACAGTTGGTGCTGTTGTGAGATAATTCGCCGCTCTAAAAATAAACATCCATCCGTGTGTCACTTCAGATAGACTCTCCTCTGCTCTCCTCTCCACCAACCACAGTAACACAGGGGTGCTGCATTTAATACAACCCCTCACTCCTCTCCCTCCCCTCAGTAACAGCCTCTCCTATTGGCGTATTAAAATCTCTAAACTGCCTGCCACAACAGCGCTTGAATTGAGATTAGTCCAGCACCATGTAGGGCCATCAGCTGATCAGCAGTGACAGTCTAGCAGACCAGCAGCAATGTGATATCATCTATCTATCGATGCTCGATATGACGTGTTTGTGCTGCACGTTCTGGACGAGGTTTCAGGCTAAGATCAACCTTCAGGTGACAATGGCTCACATCTCTTTATACCGCTTGGCTCCACTCATGCACACACACGTCTTTGACCATATGCACCCCATCATAACAACCCTCATGTTGCTTCTTATGAAGGCGAAACACGCACGCAAGACACTGAAAGCTGTACTCACCCTTGTAGCTTGGCCATGCGATGCAACTCATTGTCGTCGCTGCCTCTGAAGCCCTTTGCAAAAGGATTGTTCTCTATCTTCAGCTGTGTAATCTGAGCACAAGACAGAGAGAGCGTTACACCACAGCACGCACAGGCCCGAAGAAACACACAGTTTCATGCAAGTCCAGACACACACAGGCACATTTGTTTTTTTATCCATTCTTTTCATTGAGTGAAAGCCAATAGTTTACTATTCGTCAGAGGGTCTGCAGATGTTAAAAGCAGCCCCGCTGAAGCTCTGCATGGCCAACATTCCTCAGCTGCTGGTGTTTTTAACGGACAGTGTCCTCGCCAGCTGACACAGAATAAACTGTTTACCCAAACAGTCGCCAGGTTTAAGGATTTCAGGCCAAAGCTTTTAGAGGTTCAGAGCTCGGAGCTTTGATGTTAAGTCTTCAAACTTTTCTCGGTGATGTCATGGAGGGAAACCTCGGTGCTGTGTGTCCATCACGCAGCAGGCGAGCGGACTGGAGCTCCGACACGAGCTCGGGTCCAAACAAACTTTGAAGAGCTGATAACACTGACAGCCTCCATCAAACTACTGGCTCAATAGTTCTCATTTCTATACTCCATTGTTGGAACTAACGTGAGTGTGATACCAGTAGTATTTGTTACTGCATGTATGATGAAAAAATTTAATTTTCAGGGGTTTTTTTACACACTAACCGATTTCTTTTAAACAAACGTAATAGTGTAGAAAAGTACAAATTATTTCAAATTCTCAAAACTAATTCAATGGTCACTTTGTCTACTGCTACTGTTTTATTACTACCACTAATAATAATAATAATAATAATAATAATAATAATAATAATAATAACAATAACAATAACAATAATAATAATAATAATATAAATTAGTAGTAAAGTTTGAAATACAAAATGTGTATTTATTACAATACACTTTTTATATACATACATTTAACTACTATTAAAAATTCTTTTTATTAAGTTTATACAAAAAAAAACTACAATACAGTAAAAATAAAACAATACAGTATAAACTTTGGCTTCTAAACTTAATGCTGTATCCACTATTGTAAATAAATAAATGCACCTTGATAGATTAAATACTTGTTGTAGACCTATTTTTAGAGCCTTTTCTATGTGAGTGGGTTTGGTATTTTTACACATTCTTATACAATAAATAAAAGACTTTAGAATTTAGGCAACTATTTTGTCAAGTGAGCAATTGTATAGATATACTATCTAAAAAATGAAGATAAATAACAATGAACAACAATAAACTGTAAAATTATAGTTGAAATTTAATTATGTTATTTGTGTTAGATATCTTGTGAAATCTTAACCAGCAGAGCGGCTTAAACCTTTCAGCAATCTGTCTTTCTAATAGATGCCGAGGAAACCGGATCAACCAAGATCAAGGGAAAGAAACAGGTCATTACAGACCAACACTCACACACTCTCTCACACGTGCTCACACACACGCGCGCACGGATAATTCACTTTTGGACGTGTTTACAAATACTGAGTAAGGACACATAAACAAAGAAGATGCAAATTGACTTTCTGGATACAAAAGACGGACAGTAATACAAACAAAGGCAAAACTGTCCGTCTGTGTGCATGTGAGTGTGTGAGAGACAGAAGTTTAAATGTGGCCAGTGACCAAAGACAGATCTTCACACGCTTATCTAAATGCTCATAAATTTGACAGTAGAACAGTTCTGATTCAAACACATAAGACTTTGAGATCCATTTCTATAATTGTTAGAATAATAACAAGGCGGCCTGTTGCTCCAGCCTGTCAAAAAGCAGTACAGTAATCATTTTTGTGTTTTTTTAAAACCTCCAATAATTGCATTAGTTTTATCCATAAAAAGAGATTCAGGTGGGAACTCTCAAAAACACATAAAGTGGGGTTTTAGTTGTTATATTCTTGCAGTGTTTTTGTGCACTGTGTGCTGTGTGAAGCGCACCTTGTGGTTCTGGTAGGACGTCACAGCGATGAAGGCAGTTTCAGAGAAGACGTGGGTGCAGAAAGCCGTGTTTTTTGAGCCGAAACCATTATTCTCGTCCGCCTTGACAATGTGGAGACGAGGCTGGTACTTGTGCATGGAGTTGAGTATTATCTGCACAGGGGAGAGATTGAGAAGGTGAGGTTGACAGACTTGAATGGCTTCCAGAAACCCACTGGCAGACATTGGGAACTGGACAAGAGGTCAGGTGGAGGGTAAACCCATTTTATGTCAAGGTAGCCAGATTTCTTGCATGACATGAACTTTAAAGACAGAGATCCACAGTTTACATATTTGTGGGATCAAACTGATATAAGCCAAGAGGAAAAATAAATCAAGTTTTGTTAAGGCTTTAGCCAGGATTTTAAAAATACTGATGTCAAATGTCCTGCATGATGAATGAAAAATATAGTTTTGCCTGATACAATTACCCTAAAACTTCAAATAATACCCCGGGCTTTTATTTGCTTAAATCACTGAACTCCCCCTGCCTTTATTGGGGACAGGCCTCTATTTGGGACAGGCCTTTAATTCCTTTAGCACAAAAATAAACTAAACTCTAACTGCTGCTTCTCTTGAGTTTTGGTCAGCAAATTTGACAACTAACATGATTATTTGTCACTTAGGTTTTTTTCTTTCTTTTTTTTTTACCAATTTACCGGAAATTATAAATTAAAAAAAAAAATAATTTTGGGTTTGATATTTTTATTAAAAAAATAGTCAAATTTGAATCAACTAAGGGTTTTAAGAGGTCATTTATACATCAAGTTATAATTTCTATAGGAAATCCAAACGACTTAGGCCTCTATTGGAGACCCGGTGGGTTTAAGGTTTTATAGTCAAGATAATTTCTTAAATCCAAACCGTTGGAGACCTGCGTTTATTTGTCAAAACGGGTAGCCACACCAGGCTTTTAAAAGAGACCATTAAGGACCCTGCTTTTATTGGACATTTTACGGTATGTAGGAGACAGGTAAATAACTTGGTATGTGTATGCTATTTGTTTTACTCTAAATGTCTTATTTTAATGCCAATATTACCCCCCAAAAACATCTTGAAACATTTTAAATCAAAGCTGCAATTTGTTTGGTGTTTTCTCTCAACCACATAGACAAGGATCTGAAATGATGTAAATAAAGCCTACATTTTAAAATATAATTCAATGTAATCACTGATCATTAACCTGGTTGACTATTTCAGCTGAACTTTTTTGGGGAAAATGTATTTGACTTATTAAAAGTTGTAACACAAGTTTTTTTTAACTCCAAAAACTTGTTGAAACCAACTACATAAAAATTTAACTAACTAAATTTTGTAAGTTAAAAACATTCTTGATTAAGCAGCTTTTACTAGAAATTAATAGTTATAGAAAATAAGTTACAGAAACATGACTGGTTAATACTTTTTACTAGGTTTTTTCTTTTTTAAATTCACAGTACAAGTAAAGATTACAAAAGTCAGTATCACTAAAAATTACTAGTAAAAACTACTTAATCAAGAATGTAATTAACTTACTAAATTGTTAATATTGTTAGTATTACTTAATATTTTCGATAATAATAAATCAGGTTTCCCAGTGAAGGTTTTTGCTCTTGGTCTCCACTTACTAACAGAAGTCTGTAACATTGTTTGGAGACACCAGTAATGTAAAACTATAACAACTTTACGCATTCAGCGCACAATCTGAACTATTTCCCATGACACCGGCTGCTCCACAAGTGGTTTTTAATTGGATCACGGCCCTCTGTGTATACGCGCGCTCACGGGCGCGAGCACGTTTGTTTATCCAGGGGGGCTCAGTTTAATCGCAGTGACATGTCCGCCGGTGACATGTGTATTAGCTAATGGACTTTAGACTCACTGAAATCATTACGAATAATTTAACAAAGCTGAGAAGATGATGTTTTCTGTTTGTTGCTGCTCACCTGCTTCCACTGTGCCTGTAGTTTAATACAGTGTGTGTGTGTGTGTGTGTGTGTGTGTGTGTGTGTGTGTGTGTGTGTGTGTGTGTGTGTGTGTGTGTGTGTGTGTGTGTGTTACTGTGGGGGTGAAAGAAAGCTCGGTGGAGATGAGTCTCTGCTGTTGAGGCTGATTTGTGCTGTGTTGTGAAGTCTGCTGAGTTATATTCAGGAGAATGAGCTGCATGTGCAGCCAGCTGAGACTGCCTACCTAACTGGACCTGTGAGTGTAAGTTTGTGTAATATTTCTTCTTAAATTAAAAACATCATTCGGGGTTAATGATCTAAAATGCATATTATGGCTCTTTGATGGGCCAATAAACAATTTCCAGTAGGGAATGTTTGATTTGTGTCCTTTTTTTGTTATAGCCGAAACATTTGAGGGCCACTATTCAACTTTTTTTTAGAATATTTTCTTGTTGTGTGCAGAAACAGAAATCCACCACATTAGCAAAACACTATGAAGAAGCCAGACTCACATGTCCGAAGGGGTCCAGGTGGTTGTTGGTGAGTTTGAGCTTCTGGAAAGAGACGAGCTGGCGGCTCCAGTGCGCCCCGGTGGCGGGAGAGTCCGGGTGAACATACAGCCTCCCGGGCATCGCCGGCTCTGCCTTTCCCGTTATCGACCTATACAGGCCGAGAAAATGCAGAAAATCAGAAATCCGTCAGACTGTGACACTCATTGGGTCACAGTGGTTTGTCTGACCGGCCGTGCAGCGCTCAGCCCGGCGCCCCGTGGCGCAGGCGGCCTGCACTGCCGCCGGCTGCAGAAGGCCTGTCTGCTGCTTTAATTAGACAAACACAAAATGCACCTTGTTTTGATGAAGTTTTTACAGATACCCACATCTGGACCTTGGCTTAGTCGACGCAAATGAACTCGGTGTCCTCCGAAAAGTATTATTTCCTGCTGGAGAGCTGTTTTTGTTGTGAGGCCGTTAATCTAACTGCTGAAAAAACTCCAATCGCCACAAAACAACAACCACAAGGACCTCAGACGTCCAAGAAAGATGCAAGTTTAACCACTTGGACTGTTTTCTCGCCTTCTAGCAGCAGACACAGAGAGGACAACCTGTTTGAGTGGGCTTCGTTCAGCGCATTCATTTTTAATCAACCTGTTCAACGCGCGGAGGCGAGTTTCGGGCTGTAATACGAAAAACCAAATAACCAAAGACGTTTCCAGCTCTGAACGAACAATAAAGGTCCTGAAGAAATATTGTTATTGTGTTTTAAAAGTAGTTTTGAGTCTGAAAACAATGCAGTGCTGCTTTGGTGTAAAAAAAGAAACAAAAGAAGTCCATCTGATGCTCTTCAGTCAGGGGATCATACTAGTTTATAACTGTAGAAGAAAATTAATTAAAAATCCTTTAATATCTCATGGATATTTACTCATAATAACAGTTATAAAAAAAGGCCATCTATCAGGACAAATAAGATACTTTGAGTCTGTAACGCCTAAAGGTCAAATAACATGACCTGTCAAAAATGAACAAAAAAAAATAAGAGAATATTAAAAAATATAATTGCCTGTATATATTTTGCAGTAGAAGGGATCAATCACCCAACTTCCTCCTTTATAAAAGCCTCCAGGCTACCACCGACTTATCTCTATAAACACGGAGCGCCTCCATTAGCTCCGAGCTGAGACTTTGTGTCACAGTTCATCCACAGACTCCCGTTTCCGGCCCGTTACGTGATAACAACCCAGTGTCTGATGCTTTTGAAGAGGCAGAGCATTGATGGATCTCAGTGGAGAGTCGGGATTTTCCCCGCAGCACAACTGAATGGGAGAGACTTTAATCCAGGTCCGTGCCGTCTGTCCGCCCGGTGAACCCTTCTGATTTAACCGGCGGGCAGGCACGGGGGTAAACACGGGGAACTAGGCCATCCCAGACTGCAAGAAGGACCTTTGCACGGTGCAGAAAGCGAGGATGGAGAGCAGGGTAAAAACCCCACAGCGACACGGCTTACCCAAAGGTTTTTTAGAGGTTTTAGGCTGAGATTTATAATGTAAAATTCACGTTGGCGCACATATTAAGAAAGTATAGGAATGGGCATACTGTGCGTAAATGTGGGAAAAAACAGGCTTATTTTATTTATTTATTTATTTATTTGGACTAGTGGTGGTTGTGTACGTTCATTCCGTAAAACGCATGATGTTTAAAAGTTTACTATCATTAACAAATACTAGGCTGACCCGCACGGCTCTAATAGCCAACACCACTCTGAAGATTTGTGGATTAATCTTAGTTTGTGTACAGATGTTGGAATGTACGAACCATTTGTTATCTGCGAATTTGTAGCGATGGTCATCCGCCGGGACGATGTCCATCAGGAGGATGTACTTGGTTTTTGGGTTGAGTCCTGTGACCTTCACCTTGTAGCTCGGGAACATCCTCCTACAGGGGAAGACGGCCAGAAAAATATCAATATTCCCTCTTTCTATGACAGATTTAAATGATAAAACACCTGAAGTTATATAATAAAATGCAGCATTGTTGGGCCACATCTGAGATTCATAAAAATCTATATCATCCATTCACTGCAGCGTTTTAGCATCAAATCAGACAAATTGAATTTACCCAAAGTTAAAAACATCTCTAGTCAACACACAGTGATTTCTTCCTCCTACCTTCCAGCCTTGGTGATGATCATTTCAGTTCCCACTTCATCAAACTTCGTCCAAAGTTCCCTGTCATGAAGGAAAACTTTGATTCCCTCCATCCCCTGCAGCAAAATATAAACAGTTCTCACTACAACTGCAGAGAAAGTCACATTAAAGCAGGACACAGGCCCCCAAAAGGAAACACACTTCCATTAGATTTCTGAGAATATAATTTAAATTTAAGTAAGAGTGATTTATATCTCTGAACTAATGATAATGTTGTTTATGATATAAGTTATTTAACAGCGAGGTGAATATTTTTGCATCAATCATTTTTTTTGATTTAATTTATGGAGCCCAAAAAAAACCTCCAAACTATTTATGCGTTTTAATCAATAATTAATAATCAATATTTACATTGTGGTCGGCGGTACAGGCCGGTACCTGCTGGCTGGACGCGGTCTGCGGGGAAGCTGGTGAGTTTAAGGTGTAGCTGTGATTCTCATGTTTGGTCTCTTTTGGGGAATCCATGCAGTCCGAGTCCGGACGCTCTGCAAGGCCGAACTGGTCCCCTCCGTTTGCCATGTCCCACTGACACACACACACACACACACACACACACACACACACACACACACACACACACACACACACACAGGTTAGTATTATGTATTATGTGCATTTGATATACACATAACACTCGCTTTTGCTCGTGTTAAAAATTTAATGAGAAATAGTTTCCTGTTTAATAGAGTTAGTGGTTTTCAATGAGCATCTTACAGTTAATTAACTACAAAGAATATAATCTGAAACATGTCTTTTGGGGCAAATTAGTGTCAGTATTAGTCAGAATTATGATAAAAAAATATATTTAATATGATATTTCTGCGACCGACAGGACAATAAGCAACGCCAACTGTTGTACTGGCTTTGGATACACACAGAGGACCTTAATGTTGACACTGTAACTGATCCAATAACCTAATTACAGACTTCCACTTTGTGAAAATGAGATTAGATTCTATAATGAATAGAGCCAATAGTACAATTTAACACATAGGGTCATAATGTCACACAGCACCAAGGATGGAGGTTTTATTATTATTATTTAGTTTTATTTCTGTGCACTGTACCAAAAGTTGAATTTAAAAATAAGTTTTAAAAAAGGCAATTAAATGTGCATGAACTTGAACTTTAACATCCGTATCATCATGCATATTTATGTGGTAATAACCAGATTTCAGACTGTATTATAGTCAGAGTGGTCAAAATAAAAATTCGTAATCATCTTTTTCTATTTCGACCTTAATGCGGGAGGATAAGTGGAGCTCGCAGTGTTACAACAGCTGGACTCTTTGTTAAACTACAGCCTACATGCTGTTTAAAAATGGAAGCAGCTCTTAAAGTGCATATCACTGACATCAAATAAGCTAACCACAGCCTGTGTCTGGCATCTGCGTGCGTGCGTGTGTGTGTGAGTGTGTGAGTGTATATATATTTTGGATGGTCTCCCTGAGGGCCTTTACCTCAAACGCACTTCTCTGCTCTCCCTGCAGAAAACACGCTCATCCTGCTCCTGCGCGCTCTGCAGCCTGTTTTAGTAGCCTGCCTTGATGTCCACTAAATTATTATTATCTTTTTTTTTTTAAATCCAACTGTCCAGATGTTGCGGTGTCGGTTCTCAAAAATCCACCATGTTCCATGTGCGGCTCTGAAATATCATCGGGTTAGTTTCTGGCTCCACTGTCCGTCTCCCTGCGCGCAACCCGCGGCTCGGTCCGCTCCGCTGCCTCCCGCCTCCAGCCGGCTGCTGTGGACGCTGAATCCCGTTCAAAGCGGATGTAATTTCCTCCTCGTTTATATCGCCCCTCTCTTTATTGCCCTCACTGACTTAGTGGCAGCCCTGATCTGAACCCCTCATCAGATGCTTCATTACAAATGGAGTCCGCCTCACACTCTCTGCCCTCCCCCTTCTGCCTTTCCGGCGCTCCCATAGGTCTGCACGACGCATCGGTATCTGCACCCCAAATCACGGCTGTGACATTGGCCAATCACAAACACACACACACACACACACACACACACAAACATAGACCAACGCACACGCACGCGCAATCAGTCGAGGATGATTTATTTTTCAAAAGCATTTTTATTGATTCTCAGAGTCTGTTTGTCAGAGAGAGAGAGAGAGAGAGAGAGAGAGAAGAGAGAGAGAGAGAGAGAGAGAGCTGATCCTTTATAGCTTTCTCGTTTGATTTCACATCACACAAACCACAAAATGACTGTTGACTCTTTTTCTCCCCCCAAAAAATCTGGATTATCAATCAATCAATCTGTCCTGATTGATCAAAGAAAAGTTATTGTTTGTTAAAGTCAGAGAAAGTTGGAATATTTTACTCACGCATTCATTAAACCTTTTGATGTGAGAGGAAGAGGAAGACTATAGGTAAAATTATGGAAATGAAAAGGAGAAAGAGGTATTTTATTATCTATTTTACCCACATTTTGAGGTAACTCATCTCCAATCCCACAATTTAAAAGAAGATACCTGTTAAAGAATGGCAGGATTTATTTTACCTGTTGGCCCAGGGTACTAAAAAGAAATCAATAACAGACTATAGATTCCTGTCAGTGCCCTATATTGGTGAATAAAACACACAAATATAACCTGTTACTGCACATAAACACAACCAAATGTGATTTTGTTTGTGCATTTCCTAAAATGATTTAAAAAAAATAATAAAAAAACCCACAGGCCTAATCTGAGGGGCACACCCATGTTATCTCACACATATTAAAGATCCAGGCTCGGGAGGCCTGTAGCAACAGCAGCAGCGGGTCGACACGAGCGCGCATCGCTTTGACTGGATTAGCCTACTGTATCCTGATAATCGGAGGCATCCAGAGTTTAAAGTTGAAGGGGTCATCGGGAGGTCAACATGCCGGATCCCTCAGTGTACCATCTCTACCGATTTCTGCAACCGTGCCCTCGCGTTTTCCTCCTTCATCCTGAACACAACCTGCTCATTCAGAGTGTCTGTGGGCACATTTACGCACCATTAACTATTTTCTGGTTATATTTTATTTAATTTACGCGAGAGGTCTGTGATGTTGACTATTCCTCCATTGTAACGGTATGTGTCGAGATGCAGCCTATAGCAGGCACAAGGGAACATTCAGCTATAGAATATACTGTGGCCTGTTATTGGTATACTAAATTTGAATAAAAACTGAAATACAACATAAAAAACACGAAAACAAATAGTCATACAGCATCAAAATGAAACAAAATAGTGCAGCCTGTAGGAAATTTTTGTGCGTAAAAAGTGCCCCGTTTTTTGCGCTCCTGCAAGTGCCTATGTTCTGTTTAAAAAAAGCACCAATAAGTGCAGCTCTTACCGTGTTTAAATATGAAATTCCCCGGTGATAGACCCCTCAGCTCGGTGCAAAGCCTCTCGTGCAAAGCGCGACAAGCGGGTGCTGCAGTGAGATCGCGCTGCCACTGGGAGACTGGATCTGTGTCCTGTGTGTGTGTGTGTGTGTGTGTGTGTGTGTGTGTGTGTGTGTGTGTGTGTGTGTGTGTGTGCGTGTGCGTGTGCGTGTGTGTGTGTAAATGCAGACCCATCAAGTTTCCCGATCTGCTCTGATACACTACCAATAAGCCTATCAATTAATACACACACTCGCAGACACACGCTGTTTACGCTGATGTCTCCAAACAGCTCTCCGCTTGGGAAATTATAAAGTACGATTAAAAATCATTTTTTTACTGTTCTTCTCCTGATTTAACGTTTATAATGGTAAAGTCGCCTGTACAGAGGAATTTAAGGAGCAAACGACAAATCCCGACTTTGCTGATTCGACTTTTTATGAGTAAGTTTCCAGAGCAATATATTTTATTTTGTAAATGTAAAAGTCAATTAAGATAACACACAGTAGCTTATTTTACTCATGTAAATATTGTACATGTTAGCGTGTTGCTGTCGGTTTACAAAGATTACTCTGAATAATGTTGATCACATTATCTGTGTACTTGTTGGAGGTCAACTTGAGCCCCTTTAAAAACCCACAGGTCATTTATTTGACTAAACGGAAATAAACAGACGTGTCAAATAAAATAAAATAAAATGCAGATCTGAATATTGTTTTAAATGAAGAAAGAGTATTTTGCATTCAAATAATAAAAAATAATAACACGAAAAAGCTGCTTCAACAAGAGTTCAGGTTTAATTATCATACATTGCTTTAAATCAGCTGTTCCTCACTCGGCAGTTACATCCCGAATAGGTTAAAATGCTGACTCTTATTAATTATTAACCTCTACATTTTTAATCCTTCCCCACAGACATGGTTAGTTACACCACTACTCTTCAGAAAAAGGGAAAATAAAAAAACAATCTCTCTGTTTTTTCCTTTGTAAAAATTCATTATTATAAAGAAACAAAACCTAGAAACGACTTTCTAGTCAAAATAAGTAATTTACTAACTGATGGGTCGCTGCAGTATGTTACTTTATTTTGAAAATCTGAAATTATTTTGTGTGTTTGGGGGAAAAAAAATTCAGTTTCATCAAATAGGCTACAGTATTTTCCGAAAAGTTCTGGAAACCTTCCCCCGTTAGAGGTTAAAATTACCCAATCGAAAAATACCATGGTACATATAATCCGACTAATTGACGTAAAGTCACACAGTTGAATTTTCTGATTCTTTCGTTGTTTATAAACGCCAATTTATAATCTAAAAACACAAAATCATCAGACAATATAACATTTTTTCGAATGCTATTGTCTTCTACTTAATAACAAAAGACATTAACAAAAGCAACTAATCAATATTTTAAAAAGTTACCATTAAAATATAACAGCTGGAATATACTAAATAACCAACTCAGTGTTCATAAATCATACAAAACAGTAACTGAAATTTAAATAATTCTTCAGAAAACAAAAATTATTTTCTTATATATCAGAAAGCTGATCTAAATGTTTCATTATTTTATATCTGATTGCATGTCCTAGTCCTTAAATAATATGAAAATCATCTTTTCCTAAATGAAATATTTATTATTTGAAACCTGTATTAAGCTATACACATCACAGGTAGTGCTCATTAATGTCTACCTGAATATATTTAGATCAATTTTTTGTGCTTTAAATCTTAAAATTATTTTAAAATATTGAGTAATTAATCCCAATCTTAAACTGGGTATGGCTTTTTGGACTGTAGCTCTTCATTTTATCCCACAGTTGTTGGTGTATGTAGAAGAAAAAAAAAAGTGAGAGGCAAAGGTTTCAATAATACCTGAAATGAGGTGGCGGTGGTGGCTGGACGGCTCATTATTGTCCCATCCTGGCTTCAGCTGACTGGATCCTCTGTTCTCTGTCTGGAGGAAGTGGTGACGGGGTCCCAGACCTCCTGCACTCAGCGGGTCTGTCTCACACACCTCCAGCCCAGCCAGAGCGAGTGTGTGCGTGTGTGTGTGGCATTAGAGGGCAAGGTCAACCCATTTCTCTGCAAACAATCACATCACACAGGGCAAAATACATTCCAACCCCCCCCCACAACCTCCAGTTTGTAAGGTGGTCTGATGTGGGAACAGCGGAGGGTGGGGGTTTGGAAGCGGTCCAGACGGGGGGCCTCCAAGACCAGATGAAGGAAAACCTGTTCCACATTAATATGACTTCATATTACGCATGTTGGAGACACAGGCTTAGTTAAATGTTAGTAACTCAGAGTATGTGATCTGACTGAATGTGCATTCAGATGAGATCACTTAGTGGTTTAGTGGTAAGTGAAGAGGTTTACATCTCACACATCAGACCTCTAAACACTCTACATCCAAAAAAATAAAAATCTTTATGATTGAAACGGCGAAAAAAATACATAAAAGTAGGAATTATAAGCTGAAGAATGTGAGTGTTGTGACTTATCATGAGCTGCATTACAGTGATATTCTCCCAAACATTCAATACACTGATCAGATTGGTTCAATAGTATCAGCTGATTGGTATGTATGGAGGAACTCGCCAGAGAACTCTTGAAAAGGAGGGTCAATCACCAGTATAGCTCCAATTATAGTGCATATTCCCATGGGAAAAAAGCCTCTTTTGATCAAAATTAAACTTATCAATTAACCAATAATCTTCATGTTTCACAGTGTCTATCTGTAGTATCCATTACTTGTGCTTGACATTACACAGTGACACAAATGTATAATGATTGTACAACACACAAGCAACTGACACCACATTTTCTGTACTACTGAATATATAATATGGCTGAATACCATTTCATTGATTATGAAATTTTTGTCAATATAACGCTTATTTGCAGCCAACTGAGTATAAATGACCACTATTTTTGGTGTAGGATGAGCAACAGTTCTTATTCAGAGTCAATCAATGTTTACTGATTCTATTCTTCTTTTCTAATGAGGCTATATTCTGATTTTAACTCTATTGTTGGGACTTTTATTTTGAAGGGGACATACCAGTTGGTGTAGATGCGCAAAACTGCAAGTGTCGAGCACAGGAAACTGTTGTATCTGTTCCACAGCAGCTGGCACATGATCCTCAAGTCATAATTTTTGTCATGCTTTTACATTGTGATTGATATTGAATGGAATTATGGGTAACCGAGTTTCAAAGAGAACAGGACTGCTCTATTAGCTCGTTAATGCACAGTCTAGACACAGTAGACCTAGACAGTATGGTGTGTTGCAGCTCCCTCTAGTGGCGTCCTTCTGCAAACAGCACTAACAGTGGAACGATTGAAAACAAAGAAATCAATGTGACAAAGTCCAAAAGAAAACCCCAAACAAAACACACTATTTTCAATGTCTTCATCGTGAACATATTACATACCTGAGCTGAAGCCACTGAACAAGCAACACAGCATAACCATTCAGCAGCAGTGACTTTATTTAGGGGTGAAAATCACCAGAGTGTAATGACATCAGAAAGAGGCAGAGAGAGAGAGAGAGAGCAGTCTGGTGCAGAGTCATCCATGTGGGAACATTAACATTTAGGGGAGCAGTGTGTCTGTCTGCCCTCCGAGCTGCCTGTCACTCACAGGCGTCAGACTGAAGTGCTACGTGACCTTTACATCATGTTTGTGCAGAAATTAAACCTTGAAGGCTTATAGTGTGTCACCATGTTTTCAGACTTTTTTATCTCTTTATTGTTTCTAGAGATGAGAAGCTCACCAGAGGAGTTGATTATATTGTTGGAAGATTTTAGATCAGGTTTTTAACAGGCCTGTAGTCTGCCATCCCCATCACCTTCTTTTATTAAACTAACCTAAACTTTCATCCCCGTTGGTCCTGCCACATGTTTCTGCTTGGATTTCTCTCAGCACCCATAGGAGCTCTATCTTTAACAGACTGAAAACTCATTTCAACACAGCTGACATTTCACAGGCACTCAGGGCCTTTTTACCTACAGACACAATTTAAACTGTTCTTTGGAGACATTTTAGTCTCGCTGGCTCTGCAGCCACACAGCTGCACTGGGAGGCAGAGAGGGAAGTGGACGAGGTCAGGATAGACTTTTAGGCGTTTTACCTAATGGACCTTTGCACTGGACGTGTGAAGCACTTCACTTAACACAGCCTCTAGGCACTAGATTGGCATGTGCATGCTTGTGTTTGTGTCTACATGGCGTACACGTGTTTAAGGTGACAGTATTAAAGGTCAAATACGTTGGTCCTGACCATCTGCATGCCTGGAAGTTGGATATATTTGCACTTAGGAGAGAAAACACAGATAAAACTTTAAAAGTCGAAAGGACCAGTATGTAGGATTTAGTGGCATCTAGTGGTGAAGTTGCAGACCGTAAGTAAGTGAACTCTGCAGGCCTGTATTTGACAACCTGGGAATGAGAACAGGCCTTTGTGCAATGCAACGCACGGTGTCTCCCAACAGTTCATTCTTAGGTAACAAAAACACAACAATTCTTATTTTCAGGTGATTATACACAAATGAAAACATACCTTTGAATATGATATTCCATTTCTGCCAATAGATCCTCCTAAATGTTACACTCTGGACCTTTAATGTCAACCTCTGATTACAAAAGATAATTTAGAAAACTTGTCAGAGTTGGTCTGTGCTATCTTTGGTGTAAAATGTAGATCGACCCACCAACCACTAGATGGCGGAGTGTGAAAAGACAAACTGAAACAAACTGATCAAGAACAACCCACACAAGACAAAATAAAAAGCATCATTTAATGTACAAGAAAGAAAATTAACATTATACGCAGGCAGATGAGTGCACACAGCTTCAGAAAACGGAAATAGGCATGAACATGGTACCACATCAATGAAATCTTGAGGTGAACCTGAGAAGGGCTGAGACTACTGGTGTAACAACACAAAGTATCAGAGGCATCATCTCAGAGGAAGCTGTAATATCTGCGACAAAAAACTTAAAGTAAAAATAGGAAAAGCAAAGTGCCGAATTACAATTAAATTACCAGAAGTAGTGGCACATTTTCCCCACTTTATGCTGCAATAAGAAACTCACATTTACAAAGTTGTCAACCAGCTGATCAGCTGTACTTTGATGGTGACAGTACATTCTACTAACAAGTACCATCTAAACACTGCTGTATTATTTCGGAACTCCTTTTATTAAAAGGAGTCACAGTCTACTGACAGTTGATCCTTAAGCCAAGTATAAAAAGAGCTCCTGTTTGAAACAGTGCAAACACATAAAAGCTGCTGCTGACTCCATCTCATCTGTCTGCACCGGCAACAACAACAGAGGAGCCCTCAGTCAGTTGACATGTAAGTGCATGTACTGGTACCTTTTTTATGAGACCAACAGGATACTTTCCCCCAGACACCTGATTAGTTGTTAGTAATAAAATGTTTCTTAATTATTAAATGACGGTAAGTTGATGTGAAGTTGTCACATAATGTGTGTCTCAGGAATAAAGAGGGGGAAAACACTGCAGGGCTCAAAAGAAACTAAAAACACAGATTATATTAAAGTATTTAGTGAAAATAAGCTTGAATATAAACATTATGGATACTAATGTGTTAAAATGCCTTTAAACACTTGTTTTTGAATACTTCTAGCAGGCGTGAAAACTGGTTTTTGATGACAGTTACATCTCCGATGGGAGCCAAGTGCAACAGATTGAAAGCATGTGCCATAATTTGTCTACATGGACAATTATTAACAAGATTATTCAAGTTTTCAGAGGAAGTTGCACTAAAAACACTCCATCATACTCTTTCACAGTCCTGTGAACAACAAACATTGCACCCCTTGGTCCCCCTCCAGCTGGACAGCATCCTTCGTTTGCAATACAGCTACAAGACCAGCCGGGGGCCCCAATCTCGTGTCGTGGCGTTGAGGCAGATGGTCACAGTGTCACTTCATTAGCAGGGAATACTATTATTACCAGTCACATTCATTTTAAAGCAGGTACCAACACTTAAGTCCACACAGGAGTCTGGACAGACTTCATTGAACTAGACGTCTGTGGTGCGGATGCTGTCATCGTCCAGGCTGAAGGGGTAGCTGCAGCCGCTGTGAGGCTGAGGCTGCGAGCGGTGCCTCCGACGGCCACAAGCCACTTCTCCTGATGCTGTGACGATGCCCAGTCCGCTGCTTTGAGGCACGCTGGGGCAGGGGTTCGGGTTAGAGAGGGAGTTGGAGGAGGAGGAAGTGGAGGAGGAGGTGGAGGAAGAGGAGAGAGAAGGCAGGGTGGGCATAGAGCTGAAAGCACAGTCTTCATCATCCGCATCCAGGATGGAGGGTTCGCACGGTGGGACGGGAACCCAGGGCTGCCAGCCCGGAGCCACGGAGCAGGACTTGACCAGCGGAGGTCTGCGCTCATCGCTCTGCTGACCACGAGACGCTGAGGAGGCATTGTGACTTCGATAGAGAGAGGCTGTGCGCGGAAAACCCTGCAATAAGAGAGACAAAACATCATCAGTGTTTATCATATCATAGTTTCAACTTCTCCATGAACAGAAAGTGAGAACTGTGGAATATTTTATTTTTTGTGTCAAGGTGAGAGACAATTGTGTTACCTTAGGGGGACCTCTGAAGTCCTGGATCTTCATCTCAATGTCCCTGATCCAGCCATGCATCTCCTCTGGAGAGTCTGTCTATAGAGCGACATCACAAGATAGAAGACAAGATAAAGCCTTGCAGAGCTGTTGTGCAGTGGTGTGTCCTACTGTGTTGTATCATATTTTCTAATAGCTGCTAATCAGGTGATATTCTAGATTTTCCTTACTGTCAACAAATCTCAAGACCAAAACCAACAACTGATTGATCCCGCTAACAAGTACTGTCTGTGAAGCCATAGGCCTGATGTCATTTATTGCTGTGAGCCATACAAACCCTCAACAACAATTAAAACATATGAATGAGACATATCACTGCACCGGTTGACACCTTCATTAAAATGAACATGGGCGCTGTATGTTTGTTTTCAGTAAATCCCACATACACCTGCTGCCATACATACTTAATATTAACAACACAACAAATTTACTCTTGTTCAAGTAGTATTCTAACTATGTGCTGTGCTCCTCCTCCCAATACTCTCTTGTGGACGTATGTGTGTGTTCATGTGTACTGGGGGAGTGGCTTTTGGGGGAGACCTCAAGGGAGGAGGTGTTTGTCAGTTGGACACAGGGGCAGATGTGGAGAGATATTCATAGAGACTTTAAGGGTGTGGCAGAAATATATGCCAATTTAATTGCAAATATGAGATATTGTTATAGATATTTTAACACAAAAACATTACATTATTGTCAGAATTTGACACAAAATAGGGTGGCTTTGCATTTTTAGCCACCCCTGATTGGATACTATCAAAATCTAGCTATCTCTTGCTAGTTTGTCCAACCCTAGCTTCAGGTATCCAAAGAGATACTTTTTTATTAAAGTCACACGAAAGCCAACAATTCACTGGTTCCAGTCTCTTACAAGTGAACATTTACCAGCTTTACAGTCTTCTATGATATTAAACTAATTATCTTTGAGGTTTTTACTGTTGGTTGGACACAAAAAGCAACTTTTACCTTTACAAATGGTCATGAGCATTTTATTTTGTTTGTTATTAGACAAACTGAGAAAAAATAGGGAAGAAGATACTTGACAGATTATTCAATAAAGAAAATATTCAAATCATCAGATACTATTGCTATTGAGTTTTTTAAACCCCTCAAATATCAATAACGAGCGATACGTTGAATTTGTAATTACAGGTTTAATTTTAGTTTAAATGATTTTTGACTGTGGTGTCGGCCCTCCTGCTATAAAAATGGCCTTTTTTTAATGTGTTTTTGTTTATGTGTTGTTTGTTTCAGTTTTTCTGCCATGCTTCCTTCCCTTTTTTTTTTTTTCTCTCAAAGACAAAAATAAAAGAGCTCAATGCTTGCTCTCTCTCTCTTTAAGCACTTCCCATCTGATCTGATCTGACCCCCACTGTCTCAGTCAGCTGTTCTCCCAGGGGGGTAGCGGGCAGGATGTTATTGTTGTTATGGTAACAGATGGCTGTGCCCGTTTCACAAAAACAAACTTTTCATGCTCCCAAAAGAAAAAAGCCTGTGCCACACATCAGCAGTGGAGCATTTAGAGAAAACAACTCAAAACAACAGACACACCTGGGATTATAGAAAGCCTCTCTATAAAAATAACTTGTATCTTATCAGTGTTCTCACACTGTTGAGCTCAGCTATCTAAAAAACAGGGGAGTCCCATTATCAAAACTGCATCACATCACATCAGACTTTATAACTGATCATTCTGATTGGTTGGTACAACAGGAAGACGGGATTGTACCTGAATGTAGAAGGTTCGGGAGCTGGTGATGATCTCAAACAGGTTGTCTCTCAGCAGGAGATCCCTGATGGACACACACAGAGGGAAATGATCATACTGAATTACACAGTGGCTAAAGACAGAGGTAGATGTAACAGTGTAAAGACAATATGTATCCCTTTCTTATTTTACTAAAATATCTGGATTCATATCTGGATTTGGATTTATACAAGAAGATTATTTATACTCTTTATATGTACAATTTAACCATGGGCCTTAATTATTCAAATATAATATATTATTTGTAGCTGAACCCCACTTTCATAAAGAAGTGTAAATAAAAGCTGTGTAACGGTCAATGGAAATAGAATAAGATGTTTAAACTGTGAGAAAATACTTGCTTGTTGTGTGATTTTCTCTTTAAAAAGTGGAAGTTGTGTATATGAGGAAGAGGAGGCAAAGGTTAAACATGTATTTTTTTCCTGTTTTTTAAGCAAGTGTATCTGGATGAAAACAAATTCTGGTGTTACTACTGCTTATACACTTATCTAATTTATGATAATTTGTATTTCACGGGTCGAAAATGGCTCAACCTTTGGACTACCTTATGTCAATACATTTATATAACAAACAGTGTTAACGCTTCCTCCCCCACGCTCCGCTTTGAGAGGGAATTGAAACTGCTGCGCTCATTTTTAAATGTATATTGATCGAGACGCATCATTCACAGGAGTTTATGGTCGTTCTTGTTCAATACTCCTTTTTATGACAGCAGCTCATCATGGCTGGTTAGCTCTGACTGCTAGCTCACCGGTCCTGCTACACTGCTGTGGTCAGTCTGTCAATCACTCCGGTCTGCGACGACGTCACGCCCCCTAGAGTCACTGGGCTTTACAGTTCTTTTAATTTGCTAAGAGGGAGGGAGCTAGCAGAATTGAGGGGTATAGTCTCATCTTAATGTAAAGTTGGTGTGAAGTGTCGATGATAAAAAGTGAGAACGCTAAAAATCAGATACAGATCATGAGGTAAACCTGTGCAACAACTGTCAAGCTTCATCCTGCATTGAAAAACGAATGTGAAAGGAAATTGAGGATAAACTTCCCTGAATGTCTGAATATCAACCATGTTAGCCTATGGTTAGTTTGTACGCTGCAAAAATGTGGATGCTGTTCGTATCTGTTCAAAGTGTAAGCTGCTCATAACCAAATATTCGTATGTGTTTACATCAGCAGTGGAAAGATAACCGCATAGTGCTTCACATTTGACTCACCCCGACTTGACGAGACATTCATGGACCTTCTGAATGTCCCTCAGTGGAATAGCTCGGAGAGGGTCCTTATCCTGGGACATGCGTAGGCACAATTCAGACGTGGACAGACAAAGAGTCACACACAGTCCCACACAAACATCAACATGTGAGAGTAAATACAAAAAGTCTGGCTCCTCACCATGTCCGATTTGTAGTAACTGACTGCATTGTCATCCAGGGTGAAAAACCTCCTTTTCCAGCTCTTCCTCTGAAACACACACACACTTGAGTTTCCACATGCAACTCTTTTACTCAAACAGAGTTAATCAGTTATAAGTAGATGGGTACTCACCACATTTCCCTGTTTGACACAGTAACCGCACCTCAGCATGCCTGGCCTATTGCCCTTCCTCTCTCTTCCGTCTGCCTCTTCGCTCTCATTCTGAAACATTTTATCGTCATTACTATTATCATATAACCGCCATCTTCAGAACATATGAGATTACACACAGAGTGGTTTCAGAGGCAGAGGGCAAGCTGCACAAAATCAATGTGACATATAAAAACCATGCTCATTGACGCAAATCCTGGCCTCTACCATGATCAGTGTCACCTTTAACATCGTCATAGTAACCATGTTTCAGCTTCCTCTTTAATACCTGGATGGGAGTGTGCACGACAACGCCACCGATGATCTCGGCCTTGTATGCCTGTTGTCGCTTCCCTCCCTGAGTGTCACTAATCACTGCGGTCACGTCGGACCTTGGAGGTGCAGGGCCAGACTTAGGAACCTGTCAGCACACAAACAGGTAAGAAACATTAAATAGCGAGTTAGGGGTTACAGGTTTAATTCCCACTGTGATGGGAAAATAAGTATTCTATGATATTCTTTATAGTAAGGATGTACAAATGAATAGCTTTTTTTCTATTTAATGTATTATATGTCATGTTTGGTTGTAATTTTACTGTATTTGTATAATAGAGGAAATTGTATTTGTTTTATTTACAGTATATTGTAAAGTGTAAACATTGTACCTAAAGAAGAGTAGTCCTTAGTCACAGTAAATACTAATGTGCTTCCAAATAAACTATGAACTGTTAACTAAAAAAAACAGCTGATGAGCACAGTATTACTCACGTATCAACGGTTGTAAGTTAGCTCATGAGTTAGCATGAGTCACTTGTTAAATCACTGAGAAATGCTAACAAAGCTTAGAGGTCCAATGTGTAAAATTTAGCGGCATGTAGCAGCTAAGTTGCAGATTTCAACTCCCTCGCTTCACCCTTCCTTTCTAAGCACAAAAGAGAAACTACATCGGCCGCGAAACACACGAAAAACGTGAATGGGACCTTTAGAGCCGGTTATTTTCAGGTGATTATACACTAATGGAAAAGTGGTTAATACATATTATATTTAATTTCTATAACAACAAACTAAAATAACTTGTGCACCTTAGATATAAACTGTACACAAACAAATTAAGTCCACTGTCCAATGCACTTCTTTAGTTGTTCTTTATTTACCCATTGGCAAGCATGCTAAGAAGGAATGAGGAAATCATTGCTACTGCCATCTCTTATCTTGCTCTGATAAAATATGTACAACTGTTTAATCAGTATACTACTGTTTAGCAAAGGATAAGCAGTTATTGATAATAAATGGATGGATGGACGGACATTAATTTGGTGCTTTTGTCCAAAATGACTAAATAGATCCTCATCTTATAAGATTTAGTTCATCCATTACTGTCTATACTGTAGATTGGTAGATTAACCCCTTGGTTGGGTACCACAACTCTAAATATATAAACCTTTGTTTCCTGTCAGGCAATTCAATCACTCTCTGCCTTCTCCAGATTTCCTGTTTGTAAAAAGAAAATATAACAAATAAATGGTCCCAAAGTGTAAGTTTAATATATAAACTCACTAATGTGTCTTAAGAAGACAAAATAATAATAGAAATATCACCATCCTATTTCAGTCAGTGCTTTATTTTTATTCCTGAATTTACAACAGGTCCATTCTGCTTTAGGAAGTAATTTTTACACAAGCTTTCATTGAGGCCGAGCAAACTCAGAAAAGGCGGCAGAGAAGCCCTCCCAGCGAAGGGGAAGTGAAAGAGAGAGTGAGCAGTGCTGCTTCCTGTGTCAGTGTGCAGGTGAGAGAAAAAGAGAGACACACTTCTGTCATCTGCCGTCGTGAGACATCTGGATGTCACCACTCAACAAAGCCCCGGTCATCTCGATGGACACACACAAATATTATGCAAATGTGCAAACTGAATGCGTATGTTAACGTGCGTGACATATTAACTTAAACACTCACAATGGTGTTCTGACACCTCGACCACAGTGACGTGTGTCTTATCATATTCAAGCACATTCACAATTTCCTCATTCACCAAGTGTGTGAGAGGCTACTTGTGGGCACATTGCGCATGCCCGGACCAAACTGGTTTCACACCACCACAACTGCAACTTCCTGCGTTCTGGAAACCAATCCCTTATCAACAACAGCTAATTCAGCCTCTTTCTAACCACACATTAAACAAACATATATCTGGTTTTTAGATAATGTGTGTGCAGGTGTGATGCACTCACAGTGATCTTGCTGGCCTTGTTGAGAGCAGCCACCCAGCCCCTCATGTCAGTCACATCGTTGGCTTGGAGGAAGTACCGCCGGGAAACTGCGTTGATGACTGCAAAAATAGACATGAAGGTCCACAATAAATGCATTATTTAATTTTATCATGTGTGTAAATAAATGAATATCATTGTGCGCTACTGCATAATCATGACTCAGTGTTTCCCTGAAAAAAACTCACCAAAGCAAAACTCTGTCTTGGGCTTTTGCTTCGCGGTTGCTTCATTCACCTGAGGAGAGGAGGAGGAGAGAGGAGAGGTCAAAACAAAAGGAGAGGAGGCGAATCAAAAGGACATAAGAGGGGACAAAGGGACAGGACAGAAGAAGAGGTGAATCAAAAAGGAGAGAAGAGGAAACTAAAGGAAAGGAGAGGAGACGAATCAAAAGGAGAGAGGAGCAAACAGGAGAAAGAAGGAAAGACGAAAGAGAGGAGTGGAGAAAAAAATGAAAGAAGAGGAGACACAAGGAGAGGAGACACATTTTATATCTTTGACGTCTCCTTGACTCAGGGTGTCCAGGGAGGAGCTGTCAGCGCTGCACTGAAGCCAGATGTCATTATCTCTGGTTAGCTCAGCGAGTGCTCTGACATCTGGAAAACTTCACAAAGTCTGCTTCTGCATGTGACCGTTAACTAGAGCTACAGATAACTCCGATCTGGGGTATCCGTGAACCCTATTTACATGTTTCTATTTGTGTGCACTCACAGGACATTATGTAACTACAACCCACAGCAAAGAGAAATGACAGGCAGCAGTTTTACCTTAGAGATATAGGTTAGTTTCAGGCTGCCAACAAAGCTGGCTCCACTGGGCAGGTTCTGCATGCAGAAAAACAAACACACAGACTTGTTATTGGCTCAGAGTCCAAGGTTACACTGCTCCTATTGGTCAATTTCACTTCCTCTTGCTGTTTGTGCAAGTGAGTGTCATGCATGTATGTGTGGAGCACCTGAGGATTGTCCATATACCACAGCAGAGCATTTCCCTGTGTGTCGAGGATGAAGTATCGCCTCTGGAAGCGGCAGCTGTTTTCCTTCTCCTCGATGTCCAGGAAGCCGCATACGCGGTTCAGCCGGTCCAAGTATGGCATGCTGCAGCTATCACATATCACTGGGACACACAGACGGACAGATAGACAGACAGATACTCAAGTCAGATGCACAATGAGAGGCAAAATGTGGAGGGAGCGACAGAAGGAGACAGACTCATATGACAGACAGGCAGATGTGGAGGATAAACCATCTTCCATTTACTGTTCAAATACACACACACACACACACACACACACACACACACACACACACACACACACACACACACACACACACACACACACACACACACACACACACACACACACACACACACACACACACACACACACACACACAGGAAGAAAGAGACCCACTCAAACTCAGCAGTTTTTCATGTGACGTGATTGAGGCTGAGCAGCAAACCCTGAAGCCCGAGGCTGAGCTGAGGCCCTCCACCACAGCCAAAAATTACAGACTGCACTCAAGATCTGCACACACGCACATTTCCACTGGCCAGAGAAGAGAGAGGAACGAGGGAGGAATGGGGAAAAAGAGGAGAGGAGGGGGCAGAGTGCTGGTGAGATGTATTCATTAAGATGATGCCATGCATGTGAATCACTGAGCTGCTGACTGACTGACCGATTTCTCAACAAAATCAAGACTCATTCAGCTCCAATCTTTGATAGAAGAATTTTATCCACGGCAGACATCTGTATATAAACATACTTTTATTTATTGTTTGAGGGGAGTCAGGAGACTTCTGGCATGTCGAGACCTCTATTTTATAATCTCATCCTCCTTAAGTTGCTGGGGGAAGTTTCAGTCCCGGCTGTTTCTGCTGCATCTCTGCAGACTAAACATGAAATCATCACAATGACAAACTGTAGAGTCAGACGCACTGAGTACAAGTCTTCTGCACATTTTCCTTTTCATAAGTCTTCTTCTTTCCCTACACTTGGATTTACTGAAGGGAATTGAATGCAATGTGGCCACCAAGGTAATGTGTTGGCTAACTAGGCCACATCTGTGACTGATTTTTTTTTTCTTCGAAGAACAAACAGTCAGTGACAGTCATATTAAAATATACAGTCAAGACTGAATGGCTGAGGCCTCTGCCAATACTTCTACGGGACAATCTTGGACTTAAAACCATTCAAGAGATGTCAACATTTCCATGAAAACATTCACACACGTCATCCAACAAAGCACAGAGACGCAAAGAAACAACAACAGATGCACAACCAGCATCTTCACTGTGCTGGTGAAACTCCTGTGAAACTATTTTTAAGTCGATTGTTAGGAAAAAAAGCTTCATTTTGAAACTGCTTTTGAAAAATTAGTGGGCTGTGCTTCTGATGCGTCAGCCGTGCAACAATTTGCCATTGAAATAGGTCACAGATACAAACTGTTCAGACACCTTTTGCAGAGACTCTGGGTGTAATGGAAAAGTCTAAATGATGCCGCAGAAGTCACACAGATACCAATGCTGAGACTGGCAGATCCCACGCATGCACACACACACAAACACACACACACACATATAACCAAACCATTTTGGGTATCAGAAAACATCTGGTTTAACCATTACAGGGAGAAGCAGTGGTGAGGTTGTGGTATATTTGGATAAACTTTACTAATAAATATAATTCAGAAAGTCATTAGCACATTTCTATGAGATTTAAAGTACTTCTGCTTTTAAGTGTGGCAGAATAACAAACACATATGTCAATGAATGTAAATATAGTTTGTGTGTATGGGGACAGGACAGAGTGTTAAGATTACAGCAGTGATATTAGTGTCACTGTTTTTTTACCGCAACCAGAGCAGTGAACTGAAACCCACCTACACTCAGCTTCAACATCTGCTTTATTTGTGGACAAGTCAGAAGGTGCAATTGTTTCACAAAAGGTAAAATGTGAGAGAAAACAGTGTTATAATAAAGTAATGTTGTTCTCCAGATTTAAGACAACATGTTTTTGTGGTACAGACCAGATAAAGGTCATATTGTCATACTTACAATAGTTTTTGCAGTGAAGATTATATTGCATATCATATTGCAATCGCAAAATATGTCAAAACAATTTTTACCGTATCCTGCAGACCTACTTTAAGTAAAGCTCCACCAATGCTCAATCCTACACTGCCCTGAATGCAACTCGGCGTTCAGTAGTAGCATCTTTCCTCAGATCCTCCCTGCCTGGTAAATATGTCTTTGTGCAAAGAGTTTTAACATTTTTGGAGCCCAAATTGACGGTGCCATGTGGCAAATTTTCTCCAGGTTTGACAAAGTTCCCTCCATAGCCACAGAAGACTTTATACAATTGTTTCCATGGACTGAGGAGCTCTCCTTCCCTGTGACAATTAATTTGACTTTGACACGTAAAATCGGTGGCGTAACCCTTTAACTTAGTGCAGGATCGACTGAAAATGAAGCAGCGATCTGAGTCATTTTCAAAGCAAAAGTATCAAAACTAGTTATGAGGATTGGCTGACAGAGGTGGTAATTTATGGATATTATTGATGAGTGATAAAACTCTGGTGTTGGTGGTTGAGGTAAAGCTTTCTATCATGCTGCCTCATATTTTTAGGGGCTGTACAAAAATTATTGGTGTAATGTATGTTTCAGCTTAATTTCTAAAGCGGACTATAGTTGTTTTTAGGATTAAACGAGTTTTATCAATTCGACACTGTTCTATTATTTTGGATGTGTGGATATGGTGGATGTTTGCCGTTTCAGTCAAAGTCAAGGGGTGAATCTATTGACGTTTTTCATACAGTCATATATTACATTTTAATTTTATTGTGCTTTTAATTTTTCTTTTCATTTCAGTTTATTTTCAGTTTGTGAGTTTCCTCGTCTCAGTTTAGCTTTTATTGATGAAAAATGTTTAATTTTGGTTTAGTATTTTATTAGTTTCAGTTTTAGTTTTAGTTTGTTTTATCATTATAATATGGGGTATCTGTCTGGGGCAAGATTTAAGAAGTTCAGAATAGGTGTTACAACACAAATACATTGACTTACAGTCATGTAGAAATCCCAGTCTCAATAACAGTATTAGCCAATGCGTCCTTGTGCCTGTTGTGTTGATAAAATTGACTGAAAAGACTAAAACTAAAGACATTTCCTGTACATTTTTATTTTATTTCTGTTAGTTACAAGTACACAATATCGTTTAAGTTTTTTTTTTTTTTTTTTAATTTAAACTAATTTAAGAGACCTAGTTTTAGTTTTTAGATTAAATGAACTATAATAACCTTGCTGACAAGTAACTCATAAGCTGTAAAATAAAAAATGGTGGACTATATAAAGTACAATATTCCTCCCTGAAATGCAATGTAAAGATAAAAAGTAGCATAACATAGAACTGCTCAAACAAAATACTTCAAAATTGGACATAAAACAGATTGTCTTGCAGTTTTTTTGACTTCTGGTTGATAAAACAAGCCATTTGTAGACGTTCCCTTGATCTCTGGGAAGTTGTAAAAGGCCCCAAAAACGATTGATCACTTACTTTCTTCACTGCTCTGTAGTGACAGCTGGATACTCACAGCGTTCAACCACTTCAAATGACAAGTGTGAAGCTCATGGGCGTGCACGTATATAGCGTGATTGTCAGCATGCAATGAAAAGTTTAAAATGTGATCTGCCACAATTACTCAGCGACACCTGACAGACGTTACATTTGTTCAGCTCAGATGACCTGCACTGACTCACCGGACCCAACGGCCTGTGCCACACCTACTGTACAGTACCATCACACACACACACACACACACACACACACACACACACAGGCATGAGGCACACACACACACACACACACACACACACACACAAAGTGCCACTATCGACTGACTTTACTTACCCGCTGTGGAGAGTCAGTGTGCGCCACAGCCAGCGCCCTGCACGGCTCCGGAGCGGAGAGGAGAGACTCGACTTTGGTAAACGGTTTGGAGCATGGCAGAAAAAAAGTTTTAACAACTTTTATAAACAGCGTACATTACACAATGCCGGCGTGCACCAGGCTCCCACACTCTCGCCTGTTTGTTTGTGTGATCGGATTACAGAAGACTTGTCTTTTTTCCGGGTTGGTCGTTTCGTTATTAGAATAAACCAGCCCCGGATGTGATCTATACGGCTCCGGCCGGGTCCTCCTCCTCTGCACTGCTGCTGCTGCACGCTCATAAGAGGAACTGAACACAGATCAGCTTTTTTTTTTTTTTAAATATATATTTGAACAATATAAGCCATGCAACTCAGGCGTCTTCTTTACATTTGATTTTAAACAAGCTTGTGCTACTTTAGAAATGAAATAAATAGATATAAAACGTGCGCAGTATCTTATATTGCTGCAACTGCATGCCATATCTGTTATCTCTTCTCCTCTCAGGTGGCAGCTTGGTCAAACACACACAGACAGAAACACACAGTGAGCTGAATCAGTTGGTTCATATAAACGAGCAGAGCTACAAAGAGAGGGAGCGTAAACCCGGATTAACAGGAACACAGTGAAGAACAGTGTCATCCATTATAATGGGAGGTGTGACAGTTGCAAGACGATGTGCCAAAAACAGTGGTGCCAAAATAAATGACTTCCTATACTTCAAGGTCCTGTACTTAAGTGTAAAAGGAATAAAAAAATATTCCAATAAAAGCGGGGCTGTACTCTGGATCTTGAGGTTATGAGTACAAACCAAACTTTCCTGAGCATTTAAAGTCATTTAACTGTTCAATTCTATTTTAATTTCTTCAAAATGTTGTTAAAAGCCTTCTATACTGTTTTCTGATGAGGAAATACTGTAATTTCCTTTCATTTCAATGTATTTTATGCCTAAAAACAACCATTTTTAAACATATCTGGACAGAAAAATTTAACCAGGCTTAAAATATAATGTGTGTGTGTATTTTTAGAAAGGTCTTGCATTCACATTTGAGCTAATTGTAACGAAAAAGGCGGTAGCTGGTCAGGTTTGTGCAAATAAGATACGCTTTATGCAAATTTAGCTCATGGAAAAACAAATTCCATAAATATGGTTCCATAAACACTGCAAATTTTCTTACATGAATGTGCTCGGTGAGTTTTTATCTCTATCACATTTGGCTGTCAGTTAGTTTGATTGGTTAAAACACGTTTAGCCTGAACAGCCTTGTGTTTCACATAAATGAGCTTTGGTCGAAGGGTTGTCTGGGACCGCCAAGTGACGTCACAGTGTCAGCCATGATAAATACCTATAAAAGCAAACCACTATAAGTCAAACATTTATCAGTTAATTTAATTAGAATTACTAATTTACCATCAGAGAGAAGAAAATAGATGGATTATGAAGAAACAAACCTCAGAAACATCTATGTAGTGTGCAAGCAGTAGCATCAAGGGGGCGAGGGTCGTCAAATCCAGGTATTAGAACTCCAAAAATTTTCCTTTTCAGAGAATAATATGTGTTTTAATATTGTTTAGTTAGTCATAGTTTTGTTTTTTACTTATTTACTGATCTTTATGTAACATCTTAGTCTCCAAAGTTCATGGGTGACCAGGCTGAGGCCTTGGAGTGGCACAGAAATTAGTGTCTATATTTCTGCATGGTGGTTAGATTATGATGTTTGTTTGCTTAAGACCAAAATGTGTGCGTCTAAACCCCCCCCGATCTTGTAGATGTGCAGGAAACAAGAGAAACAACAGTATCATTTTATTTATCATCATCATCAGCAGCTTTCACTTCTTTTGTATCTTGTGCTTCCCATTCATTTCTGTGTGGAACAAAATTCAGCAAGACTCAGTAACAGCATGTGTTTGATCTCCCCCCAGACTGCAGTAGCGAGTGGGTTGAACAGTACTGTAAGATGGGTGCTGTGCTAAATAGCATCTCCTGTGGAACTGCGGCAGAAGATAAATGGTTCAGCATGAGAAAAAAATTATGCAAAATATGATGCTGTACGTAGGGGAGCCACCACTGGCTACCCCCTGCCTGCGGCCTGTGCATCAATGCACAGAGGGAGGACTCGCACCCTGGGAACAATAAGAGATTCAGACTTCAGTCTTGAATATAAATATTTCTGTTAAATACACTACAGAGCTGTATATTGGCGGCACCGTGGACCAGTGGTTGAGCGACTGCCACAAGAAGGTCCTGGGGGAGGAATTTGCTGTGTAGATTTCCGTGTTAGGTTTATTTCTCCAGTCATCACCCTTGAATTGATCCACGGGCACTGTACAGTGGCTGCCTACTCCTCCTAGTACTAGTAGGTTAAATGCAGACGACAAATTTCACTATACGTTTTACTTTTTGTGATTGTATATGTGACTGTAATGGTGACTATAATGTTATGAAAGAGAAAAATGTAGTGCAAAAGTACAAACGTTTCAGTCCATTACACTCAATATGCACTTGCTGCATTGTAACTTTTTCCCTGACTACCGCACCAGAGAAGAAGACAACCTCCACCTATAACTTAGACAAAAGTTGTGGTGTAAGAAAGTACAATATTTGATGTGTGAGCCACACAAAGCACTAGCAGTGTTGCCCTACTGTTGCTCCACCTTTGCACAAAGGTGACCACAGTTTGAGTCTTGTGATGAAACTCCTGAGAGACAGAAGGAGAACTCGAAGGATGACCTGACCCGACCTCTATGTCTAGTCAAGAGTCTGTGTTTAGAGTTTTTACACATGTTAAATCTTTCTACTGCTGAAAAATATATCTGTGATTCTATATTCAGATTTTTAAAATTTGTTTAAGTTTGTGGCCTCCTGTTAAGAGGAAGTGGTTGCATCATATGACCTGCCTGAGGAGGGAGACCTACCTCACTTCACATCCTGTGGCGACTGCACAGGATTCAAAGTTGAACAGTTGCAGAAGGAAGTCCTGTAGTTTCCACAGACCCCCCCCCCGTTTCTGCAGAAAATCACAGACTCTCTACTGTACTGTGCATACACAATGAAGGAACATTAACATAAACACACATTTCTTTTCTCTGGCTTTTAAAGGTCAAGTGTGGGGTGTCAAATGTCACACCAAGATGATCTTACCCACACGCTGCCACACACACACACACACACACACACACACACACACACAAATAAGGATGTGATTGTATCTTTATTCAGACAAGCTTGCATGCACAAAAAAGGAGCAATTTAAGCACTAAACACATTTACAAAAGGTTTTAAATATTTTCCTGAGATTGTGATGTTAAAAAACTTAGTTTCCTCTCTGGTTCCCATGGCAACAACTGTGGTTCTATGATGTCAAGCGAGCTGTGCACTAGCTACCCACTGAGGCACCTTAGCACCTACCAAAACCACACCCGAGTCCCACCAGCTATACCAGAACTATTTGTGGGTGTACTTCTCTTTGTACACAGACATTCACCACAAATACTCTCAGGTTCACAGGTTGCTTAACAGCTTTACATCACCTGAAAGTGAACATACCACCATTGATAATGAGGTTTTGATGATGGTATAAAAAGAAAAGAGAATCAAAAGGCGCAAAGACAGACCTTCACTGCACCAACACAGTCCTTACAAAATATACTTTGGTTTTAAACGACTTGAAACTCTCTGTCATTCAAATCCTTTCTGCAAACCTCCATTAAAAATCTCTGAGGGATGGACAACATATCAAATGACTGGATTAAACAGATAAGGAAGAGATGAATCACTGGAGGAAAACAAAAATGGAGGCGTTCACAGCTGACTGACAGCCAGGCGTAGGAGCAGGGCCGTGATCAGCAGGATGGGGCTGGAGGCCAGAGCCCCTGCACCGTTGTGGCGATGGCTCCTGTGGGGCCCGTTACAGTCGTCGCCAAAACAACATTCCATCTTGGCTCCGGTGTTGCCGCCGTTAGCCTTGTCGCAGAAAGCTTTGTACGTGCACGACTTTATCACGGTGTCTGGAGAGAGTGTGAGACGAGTGGGATGTGTGATGTCGGCAGACGTTCAGAGTTAAATCACTTTGAATTGTCTGAAAGCTGCGTGTTAACTTGGCATGGCACTGTGAACCCAATGAACTTTCACTCTTCTTCTCTTCATGCACACACACACACACACACACACATATATGGGCATACAGAGGTCCGTGGTTATCATAAACTGCCGGGATAACATCCAGCGACCTCAAATGATGAGGGGCTGGTTTTATGATGACACACACTCACACACACACACACACACACACACACACACACACACACACACACACACACACACATAAACAAACAGAATAAAAACCTTTTCTTTGTCAATGGAAACAGCATGAGCACTATTTTAACTGCTGCCTGTGGGTCGTCGACAGTGTTACGCTGACCTCTAGTGAGCCTTTAACAACACTGGATTCAACAAAATCATACTTGCATGTTGCATGTTTCCCTGAGTGTGTGTGTGTGTGTGTGTGTGTTTACTCACTGGGTCCTGTGATGGTGGAGCAGGCATCAGCATACTGAGGGCAGGAGGTGGAGCCCTGTCGGTTGCAATCATCCTCATTGGATGCCACGCATGTGTGACATTTGAGGGCGTGGCCTTTACAGAGAGAACAAGAGAGAGCACCTGACTTGAGACTAAGCATGTATATATACAGATGGGTGCGTGAGCTTTATTGTCTATTCATCCCATTTTGCCTCCACACACACAAGCACACACTCACAGTAGAGACACAATCAAAGCTGCTTTATGTCAACAACAACCTGTTAGATTGCACAAAAAGTATAGAATTTTTCACCATGCAGGCTATATTGATTGCTGATTAAGTTGACATGTACATCATTTAAACATTGTAGAATCTATATGAATGTTGATAAATCATACAGAAAATGTCCCAACTTGTTCTGGCCTTAGGAATATTATCAATCTTCAACCAAAGTCGGCTTTCATGAAAGAAAAATCCTGATCCTCTGTATCGCAGTGCTTCTTTAACCTCTCAGCAATGAGTCTGTGAGCTTCTAATCAACTACATCCTTCCTAAATCCAGTGTTGGTATCAGTGTTGTAGAACACTTACTGTGGCAGGCCAGAGAGATGAGCAGAAGCAGGGCGAGAGCAGTCTTCATGGCAGCAGGCTGATGGGTCATTGTGTCTTCAAGAGTCCACAGAAAGAGTGGATGAGCTGAGAGAAGGCTCTGATGGAGGGGACACCGAAGGTTGAGGTGGTGGAGGATGAGGGGGTTTAGACATGGGAAGGTGTCTGAGGGCATTAAGGTCTTATCTCTGTAATCTCCATCTATGCTGCACAGCCAGCACCCTGTGGTAATGAACTTAACCAAGCGAGCTTTAACAGGGAGACACAGTTACAGTTCAGTGTTATAAAGCTATCAGTGTTGAGATTAACAGTATTTTGAGGTCAGTTGTTGAGAGTGTTGGTGTTACAACAGTTTCTGTAACTACTGACAGTGAGCATGCTGAATCAAACTGAAACTGCCAAAGAAGCTCAAGGTCATTATTCACTCACGTCACCGCCTCAGCTGACGTGTGTGTGTGTTTGCTGGGAAGTCTGATGTAAGATGTAAGCAACGTGCATCATTACCAGCTGAGGCCATGACACACATACTGACAAACATAACACACTGACACACAATATGAGTCGTCATACTTTTCTGCTGTGTGTCTGTGTGAAAGTAATCACAAACAACCAAAATAAGTCAAAGAAAGAGGTACATTAGAGCAAATTATATGTACGTTTATTCAGGCAAATGTACGCTCAAGTCCTCAATGTGTCAACACAAGTGTGAGATCGGCAATTCTAATTTACAAATACAAACATTAATTATTATAAAAGAAATTACATCAGAATGGCATGAATATAAACTGTGGCACGTCAGTGGGTTTGTGTCAGAAGTGGGTTTACGAGGTGGTAAAGAGACGGAGTATCAGACATTAAAACTTAACGAGTATTGAAAACTGTAAAGAACCAAAAACCCTAATCTTATCTTTAACCAAAATTTGGACTTGACATTCACAATACTGTATTATATTGAGCCAAATAGTAGTTTATGTTGAGCCTTCAATAAACATTGGTGTTGCAGAGAAATTAGTTTTCTTCTGTAAAAAAGGTAAGTTTTTGTTATATTTTGTTATTCAGAACCAATACTTTTTATTTTCACCGATACTCACTGATACTTAGTTACAGCCTCATGAACGATTACTAAAACACTGCTGGACACGACTAGTTTTATTGGTGTTTGAAGAAAATAATAAGAAATACGGAGCTGTGAAAATAAACGTGCAAAAAAACAGATTAATCTGTTGAATAACTAGTGCAGAGCTGTAAATACTAATCTTCGTTACACGTAAACAACAGACAGAACCTCTTATAAAACTGTCAAACTCTTAGTTTACAAAAAGGGCAATGTGATTACTGGTAACTTAATCTGTGACACAGTGATGGTTTTAAAAGAAAAACTCATTGACATATTGCAGCACTTTCTAATCTCATAATAGCTTTAAACATCTAAAACCAAAATATGTTTGAACTTGTTCCAGTTGTTCAGGAATCTTAACACAAGATAATGAACGTACAGCGGTGGAGTTCATTTTGGTCACTCTTTACACTCCAGGATAAACTCTCTTTACTGACTTTCTGGATCAGACAAAACAAAGCCACAACATTTATATAATCACAGGAAAGTCTAAGATTGTCAGGCTATTATATTACTCTGTGACTGACTCTGTGTTGTAGTGTTAACCAGGTAAAGCTAATGTTGTGAATTACTTGCGGCTTTAGAGGTCCAGACTTATTGTGATTTCAGTGTCACTCCTGAATGAACCAAGGCCTCTGAGGACTACTGTATTTCTTCAAACGATCCTAAATTCTTTCCTCCAGTTCTTGTGCAGCTTGACTTTAACCCTGACCTAATTCCGCCCCACACAAGACCCCTGAGCGTTGCTCTTTCAGAGTAAAATCCCTATTTACTTTATAGAAAAATACATTTTATGTATTGTTGCTTTAATATAAAACGATCCTTGTCGAAGCCCATTGAAACATACTATATGCCTTGATGTAACTCTAAAACAAACCCCAGCCTGCATGATGTCATCCTGTTGGGGGTTGCTGGCAATTTAGCTGTTAAGCTGCTGGGAACTTAAGTTGAGTCACAAGCAGGTTGTTGTTGTTCACTGGCATGATGGACGAAAGCACAAGAGGCCCATATGGCCACATAATGGGCAGAAATGCAAACAAAACAACGTGACCACGTACATTATACAGATTCCCAACTCAAACAATAGTTAGCATGTACAGAACCATCTTGATTTTGTTCACAAGTAGTGCAATTGTAGTATACACAAAGTTACTTTAGACATCTGTACATAAGCAGTCTCTTTGTTGCAGGGCTGGCAGAGGGCATGAGAGCTGCTTCTTGGCTGGGGGCATGCACAGGGCGTCACTGTTAGGCAGGACTGGAGGGACCGTAGTGGCTGATTCACAGGGAGTGTCTCTCAGTCTATTTTTCCCATTTTGGAAATCAGCTCATCGCAGATCTTGGTGAGTTCCTCGATCTCTTGATTCTATGACAACACAACAAAAGGATAAACAAGCACATTTAATACATCGCTATATACTGAATTAGTACCGGGAGATAGACCGGAAGAACTGGTTTTAATGTCCTGTATGATGTGAATTTCATTTCATCCTTTTATATAACGCCATACTGGTGCAACTGCTTTAGCTCATTTGTTTCTCACTTGCGCAATAGAAGATTTGAGAAATATCTCTTTAAATAATTAAATACTTTGAGTATTTTATGTCAGTTTACAGTGTTTATACACTTATATATTTTGTTTTGAAAAGGACTGTACTGTACTCCTGACAGCATAATGAGCCACTATAAACCTATATAAAAAGGTCCAGGCATGCAACAACAAAACCGTGAAGTACAGTGAAACTGCCAGAATCTTAAAAAATACCAGGATACAATTATTTGGTCATACTGCCCAACACTATACTAAATTACAGCATAAAACACAGTTTGAAAAGAAGTAATTTCATCTAGAATTAGCATGCAGGATGAGGAGGATGCCTATTACCTTCTGCTGCAAAGCTTGTTCCAGAGACTCATTCTTCATCTGCTCCTTCCTCAAACTGGCAGTCATCGCCATGTTCTCTGAGCTCGCCTTTGTACGCACCTGAGCGATCTCCTCATTGGCCCTGGGAGATACATGGAATGAGAGAAATTGTTTTATATTTCTTATATCAAACCTGTAATAGAGCTTAATTTATTATAACTGACTTGACAGGACAACTGGATTTTCCTTCAGTCTCTACGTACTTATCTAGTTTCTCCTCAGCATGAAGTTTAAGTGTCTGGTATCTCTGCTCCTCCTGCTTGACTCTGGCCAGATACTCCTGAGCACACTTCTTCAGCACCTCTTCATTCTGTACAAGGAAACAAAGAACAACCACAGTGTTATTTATCACCTAACACAGAGAGAAAGCAGTTACCATTGTACATTGTGTGCCCTTATACTTGTCTTCTCAAGTAAAATTATGCACTTGAGTCTTGACCCTGTGGTTATTCTTTTAATATTTTTAAAACACTGAAGGCTCTTTCTGAATTCCTGAAGTTGCGCACATTTACTCCGGGAAGCTGCATAGTTTAACCACCACAGCTTTCTGTCCGCCCACAAGCAGCTGCTCTAAATCCGCTGCGAGTCAACTTGGGGTCAAGATCTTGGGGAAAACTGACTTTAATTGTGGACTTTTTCTGCTGCAGTTGTTGAATAAGAGAACCACTTTTCACTGAGTTGAGGGACAAATATTTCTAGTGACCTTCTATGTAAACTCCTGCTTGTCTCACCGCTAGGCGACCCTGGCCCCTAATGACAGAATACCCTTCAACCATATTCTGATCTTAATCCTCTTACAGCCTTCCAATATGTGTTATAACTAACAGCTGATCACCTCAGCACTTGAAACAGACGCCTTCTTTAAGCCGTGAATTTGTCCTATGACCCCTTACTTTCTTAAATCCCTCCAGGGTACTCTTCATATTCTCATAACGCCGAAACACGTCTGAGAGAGAGCGCTCCACTGAGTTCAGATCTGCCAGGGCGGCTTCCTTCTCCATCGTCACAGCATGCAAAGCCTTCTGGGAACTCTGTTTGTTGCGCTGCTCGTCCTCTGAAAAGAGAAGAAGAAGAAGACATTATTGTGGAGTGCTAAATAACTTCTTTCTTGCTCTACTAATAGTGATTGCAGAACACATTGCATTTACCACAAAAATACATAAAGTGAAACGTATGTTTTCCGGCCCTAAAATCATTACAAAAAGCAGTAAATTGTATGGTTACATCTGTTCTGTTCCCCTGAACACAACAATGTTCTGGTAGATTTTATCTTTAACATTTCTACTCACCGATCATCTGAGCGATTGTCTTCTCATATTCTGCAACAATCTTCCTGTAATAAGGCAAAACACATGATAAATCTTCCTTAACTATGACCTCTTGCACAGAACAAAAATCCCTCTGTCTGTACAACCTCATCATAACCTTACATGACCACCCCACATGCTTTCTAACCTCATCTCAGCGACTTCTTGTTTGCTGCTCTCATACTTTTTCATCCACTCATTGGCTTCCAACTCTTTAGTGATGATCTAGAAAAGAGACGTCTACTGTGAGCTCAATCATGTCAAACATATACACAATCAACTTACAAACCGCGGGTGACATATTTCATGTTGATTCATGAGATGAGTGAGATAAAAGCGTGTACCTCCTCTCTAATGAGGGTGAGAACGGCCTGTTTTTCTGCCTCGCTGATGCAGATGGAATCCAGGACCTGACTTCCTGTTTTCTCCATTTCACTTCCTCCTGACTTCTTCTTCAGCATGCACGGATCCTCATACTGCTGAGGGCAGAAGGAAATCACTTATGTCAACTTTCATCTTTTATCGTACATCCAGTAGGATAATGGGGGGTAAGCCCACCTAAACTTTATAATAGAGAAACTCACAGTCTCCATTTTGGCAAGGAGCAATCACAACACTGGCATAAAGACATTCAATTCTACCTTCTTATACCCCAAACAATTTCTTATGCAAACTTTACTACTGTTTCTAGTAGTGTAAGTATAAAATGCATACGTTTCTGTGCAGGAAATTGTTGTTTTTTTTCTCTGGGAAGCCTATTATACTGTAGGTGTTTAGAAAAGCCAATGCTTGCACCCAGCAATATGTTACATCAGCAGTTAGTCAGTATACCAATTAGTGAGAGAAAGAGCCAAAAAGGTTTATACTGAACACATTATATTTCTCTCTCTATATGCCTGCTCTCTCCTTCTTCTGTTCTCTAGGCTTCTCTCGTTCTCATTTTTTAACCCCACACCCCTCTTGCCTTTCAATCGATGTTCTTACACATCTCAATGCTGCTTCTTCTCCTCCCCTGTCTCTCTCCTCTCTCATTTTGTCCTTCCCGGGATTATGATATCATATTCTAATATCCTGAATGATAAATCCAAATCCATCTGTCACCTGAGTACATGAACACAGTGGCAGACACTAAGAACCTCCTGCTGTCCTACAGCACAGTGCAGTCATCATATCAGCCGGGCGATCATACTGCAGCTTTAGATACAATGCAGGTGGCTCTAAACACAACACTAGGCTGCCTATTAGTGTACATCTTTAAATCACAACGCACTTGACAATTTGCATCATTTGCTGTGTAAATGTCACTAATTCAGATCTGAACACAATGTTATGTTGGGACATGTCTGGACGTTTTTGTTAGCAACTGATGGTAAATTTAACTAATGAAAGAGTGCTTCATCCCCACCTAGTGGTCACTGGTGGAATTGCTGTGTCAGACTGTCCACAATGATGAATAAATAGACTGTATATGAACATGAATGATTTATTGTGATATTTACTTACCACAGTGCAGCAGTCTGAGTCTTCAGGTTTTGATGTCACATTGCAGTCTTGAACTGGAAGAAAGTGAGACACAGGTTACAATGAAGTTAAGATCAATATAATGTAATCTGGTTCATCTCCCAATCTAGTTCTCATAATAAATATCATTGTATTATACCCACATGTGCTCATACTCAGTGATAAAATAATTAAAACCTTGTATTAAGTTGTGAAATGGATGAGATGGGATAAGTATGTGTGTCTGTGTATGTAAATTCTGTATTGTTTTTGTAATCTTTTATATAATTTGTAAAGAGTGCTTAATGTTTGTTAACTAAAATACCAGTAAATAGACATAAAAAAGTATTCTCATGACTTATGCAATATTGAATGCTCCCTTCCATGAAGTCTGCCATGTATCTACAGTAGCCTAGAATGGACAACCCAAAAAGTGGCTCTAGATAAGGCCATTTGTGTTTTTTGTGTGTTTCACAGCCACCGTAGTTTCTCTTGTGCGTTTGGAAAGGGAGGGTGAAGCAAGTGAGTTGCAATCTGCATCTACACTGCTAGATACCGCTAAATCCAACACACTGGACCTTTAAATCAAAAACTAAACTCACATTATTGGCAGTTTGTTTTCCCCTCAGTTATGACTCTCAATGAACCTAAATGACTATTTGCATTTCAAACTCTTATATTAGCTCAGTACATCTTTGAGAATCGCCTGTCTTTGGGCAAAGCCAATACAAATACTAAAGGTTCACAGTAAAAACAACCACCCTGCCTTTAGAAACAATAAATAACAGTAATACAGACTACTGATGCAGTGATGTGCTGTTATGCAATGTTTGTAACAGTGAGGCTACTAGGATCAGACCAGTCACAAAAGCTGTGTCACATTCAGTCTGAAGCCACCAGTGTGATCATATAATCTAAATATTTATAAGACTAAAACAGCTCTCCTCCAACAGGCACAAACCCACTGTACTGTTGCACTGCTCTGTGGTGCTCATGACCCACACGGTCACAAGTTTCAATGCAGTGTAAAATAATATGTAAAGTTAATAATTAATGTTGTGCTTGTAAGACAAAGATAACCTTGCTGTCTGGTATTGATAGAGTGTAACCATTAACATCCAGTTATCTGATCTCTGTACAGTAAAGTCCCTACTGATACTACTGTATCAGTGTCTACTGCAACTAGGGGGCTATCTGACATGTACACATGAGCAAAACATAAAAATCAATAGTCATTGATCCTTTTACTCACTGCTTTCGTCCTTGTCTGGTTTGACACCGCCACTGCTCGCCAACTTCTCCTCATCTGTGGCGTGGTCACCATGATGGTCATCCTTTAACAGCAGCAACCAGAATCAACCACATTGACTGCATGAAACCTCTCAAGAGCTAAAACTACCACATGAGTCAGATGATCATTAGACACAATTATTAATCCTTACCTGCCCGCTGAAATCCTTCTGCATTGGCTGGTTCTGCTTCATTTTACACGAGTTCCTGAGAATGAAGGTCAATAACAACATCAGTGTCAGCACTAACCAAATTAATATCTCTCTATGTGTGTACATGTGGGCAGGTGTAATGATGAGGAGAGAAATCAGGAGAGACAGAAAGCCTTACAGCCAGACCTCGTGGCTCTGCTCTGTGTGTGCCTCGGAGTTCGCATGCTCTGCTAAAAGTGCTGAATTACGCAGCAGAAAATGCAGATTAATGAAATAGATTGCTGCCAAATTAAAATAAGAGCAACAGTTGCATGGAGCATTAGAGGGAATTACAGTGTTTCCACTAACACTCTGTCCTCTACTTTCTAAATCTAGTTCACTTGTTTTTCACCTTCACTTTGTGTTCGAAGGAAAGTTTAGGTCAGCTGAATGACTATGGCGTGAGCCTGGACTTGGACTGACGTTAAAAACACACACACGTCTGCACACACGATTATACAGTACTTACAACAGAACACAGAGGAAATGGACTTGCTCAGCAGTCCTGATGCCACACAGAGAGAAGGGAAACAGAATGACAGGTTTGGAAGGAAAAGGAAGGAAAGACACAGGAGAGGATGGGACAGGGGTTAGGTTAAAAACAAGGTGAGTGCAGGGTTATTATAGTTTAATAAATAAAAAAACAAGACTGAAAGTAGACAGGCGAGCGTGTTTGGTTAAACTGGAGAGTAAAATCTTGAAACTAATGTGATATTAAAATCTTAATCTAAACCCGCTTGTGTGGTAAAAAAAAAAAGAAACCTGCCATTTTAAGACTTTTAAAATGGCATTTGTTTCTGTGCTTGTCCTTTAATATTGTTTTATAGGCTAGACAATTATAAAGAGGTAATGGAAATATTTGAATTGCTTTTTTGTTAATTATCTGTAAAAAATCCTGGACACACTTACAGCTGAGGATAAATAGCCAAAATACTTCTGTTTGCTAAGCAAGAAAAACATCACATGGAAATGACTGCAGGCCAAAGAAAAGAAGACAGGACTGCAATTGTCAATAAAATAAACTGTATAGAGAATCTGACCTTTATCTTAAAGGCTGTGATATGGATAATATGGAAAATAAAGGAAGAAACTGACTTTACACACAGTATATTGACCTAAGAGATGTGACCCATTACATATGTAATTCAAAGACCCTGTTCCTGTATAGTGTTGCCAATGTCAAACTTCTTATATAGTTTGAAAATATCAATAAAACATACTAATAACTTATCTTTGTGCACAAAACTGCTATAGTATATATCACAAAAAACTTGGAGATAATAGAGATGTGAGTCATGATTCTGCTTTAGCATCAACACTACTGAAAAACGCCACAAGAGGGCATTGTTTGACACTTTAAGTTCTCATTATCATTCAAAGAACATTTTCTGTCAGCATTGCCACGAGATAGTCGTTAAAAATAATTAATCCATCTAGGAACATAGAAAAACTCCACTAAATTACGACCTGTGAAGTAATTATAAACTAAATGATGAAGTAAAAAATAAAGGCGAGCTGAAATTCTAAATTAAAATTATCTAAAAACATGAATTAAAATGAACTGAAAACAATAAGAAAAACATTAAAAACTATAATAACACTGGTGAGCAATGAATGGAAGTGCAGGAGAGAAACAACAAACAAAACAGGCCACCACAGTTGATTAAAACGGGAACACTTTGATCACTTCAGGTTCATTGTGCACAATGGCAAGCATTCACTAATGTTCCCTACGGCCATAAAAGAGAGAGCAGCGTTTGTTCAGCTTGAAAATCTGTGAGTCACATTAGTTCAGCCACACACTGATTACTGAAGAGGAATGGCCTTTGTGTTTGTGTTTGTTTTCGAACGTTTTACTCACGTGATAATTGTGCTGTTGGTCTCACAGGTTAGTTTTGTGTTTGATTGCACAGCGTCAGAGTTCACGTTCCCATTAAGCAAGTCAGGATCCACGCAAATGTTGTGACTGGGGATCAAATTTGAGTCGGGGCTGGAGTCAGACGTCACCGGAGCCTCGTCGTCCACTTCAGAAGGATCTGGTTTGTTTAGCGGGGAGAGGACGGACAGTGATGGGGGACGGAGGGCTTTAGGCTGGGAGAGGAGGCCAGGACTGGGTTTGTTACTGAGGGTCAGGTTGAGGTTCTGGTCCAAACCAAAGCTGTTGTCATTAGCTGAGGAGCGGGTGAGGTTGTTCAGGGAATCGACCTCTTGGGATTGAACTGGGCTGATGTCCTGGTTGAAGTTCTTGTCCAGAATGTGGTTTGTAACATCAGGAAGAACTGTGAAAAGAGAAGAAAAGTACATAAGTTTAAGTATGTAACTAAGTTTACATAGAAACTTTCAAGAGGAGCATGAAGTAATTTGCAAGAAACTTGTTAGCAAATGGTTGCTTATTTATACATCCAGCAGTTATGGACTGTGTATGTCTGTTGTTTATGGTGCTGAAAGGGTACTGATGTGCTTCCTGCAGCAGAAAGCGATGCTATAAGAGCAGCGAAAGTTAATTAAAAAGTAAAGTTGCATCCGGACAGCTAAACAATGAGCTGAAACTATAAAGCTCTGAGACGGGCTGCAGTTTAGGGTGACTTCTACACTGACACATTGTTTTTACTTTGACATTTGTTAATATAAAAATATCAGTTATAGCCAATTTAAGATGACAGGAGGGTTAAATAAACTGCATAATTGAATATCATCTGCATAGCACTGATAGGAGATACCATAAAATGACTTATTATCTGGACAAATAGAAATATATACATGGAAAAACAGAATAGGTCCAAGGAGAGAACCTTGGGGCATGCCACAATACAATCTGATGTTTGCAAACTCTGTTATTTCAAATGAGGACAAAGAGTTAGCAGAAAGGTAGAATAAGAACCACCGAGAGCTAAACAGATCTGAATCTTTCCTCCAATAGTAAAACCAAACATCCCCATCCTGTGGCTACTTAAAGATAGTATCTGTGATTCAGGGATTTAAACTTGAAGTGATGGCTTCTCCTTCTCCTGTTAGAACATTTAAAATGGCTGCTGGCTTCCTCTCAGAGCACTTCCTCACACATCCCGTTAACAGCTAGCTAACGACCACAGCAGCATGCTGGCCTCTGTTGAGTCACACTGCTGTTGAAACACAGGACTCTCTGTTACTGAAAAATACACCCACACACACTGTAAAACTAACACAACTACACAGAAGAATAAAACTGAAATAACCTCTCCTGTATGATTGTGTATTTCCCTTTAAACATCCACACAACATGAATGAAGTCAATGTGGTTTCACCTTGAGTGGCTAACAGCTTTTCACATCGTTTGTCATGACTAATGTGTGACTTACTGCATCACACAGTCAATTAATGCAAGTTTATGTAAGCTCCTGCTCAAATCTGGGTACTTTCAGGCAAACACACCCTTCGGAGACAGAGAACAGATGCAGAAGAACCACACCCAGTCATGCAGAGTACACACCACCACGTGGCCTAGCAACAAAAACAACATCAGGCTTTATTACAGTTTCACAACTCAGCGAAAAAGAGGAAAAGAAGACAGGGAGGGAAGTGGGAGAGAAAGCCAGTGAGAGAGAAACAGATAGTATACAGGTAGACAAATAGCAGTGTAGGGTTTCAGCTACGTTGTGGTTCAGCAGTACATACAGTGAGATGTGGCCTGTGGTTGTTCCTATGAACAGACAGCGATTCCCCCCTGAGCCATTTTAGTGTAATTATAGTGAACCAGAATATCAATTTCTCCACACAGTTGATCTTTTATTTATGAAACTATCCCAGATTTTGAACAGAGCGTGTGACTGTCTTAGCATTAAAAAGGAGACTCGTATTGTCTTCAAACTGAATTCAATAACAAACACATTCATCTCCCTGTCATTATCTCTGGCACAGCGTCCCATATGCTTTGGTCTAAATGTGTCTAATTTCAACTAGCCAAGCCATCCAAAACATGCAGACCAATTTTATCCTAATACATGTACAGTACATGTCAAAATCAATTATTTTGATGAAAGCAGATGGAGCTGGAAAAAACAGAGTTTGCAAGCATCAGTGATATAATGGCATTTGTTTCTGCACAGAAGATGTCCTGCAGATGATCTATTACCATGGTAATAGTAGATGGAAATGTGTAGTACTCGTGTCTGTGTGGGTGAAAGCAGGACAGTGGAGAGGTGAGGAAGGGGGCTTTGGATTGGACAGAAGTGGGTCTCTTTGGCATCTTCAAACAGACTGGATTCATTTATCAGGCGATTTACGAGTCTGTGCCTAACAGGAGAGAGCTCGCTTACATTACTAATAACTTGACAGTAAGCTGATCCAAGATCTGTGTGATCATCAAAAGCAGGCAAGTTGGCACTGTGGTCGACATCATAATGCTCCAGACAAACAGTGACGACATTAGTGTAATTATTATGCTTCAATTAAAGTGTCAGTTCACCCAAATTACAAAAAACAAAAACATAGAAACCATAAACCTAATCGTAAAGATAAATATCTAAAAAATACATGTGCACATATAACTGAAACTATCTGTATTATAAGGTATGACTGGAGTTAAGTAAGAAAATATTTTGTTTATAATTCGCTTTTAGCAACCCAAAATATGCTGCATTGCTTCACGGCACAAATGGAGTTTAAGCTTTCTAGCACCGTCAAATGATTATCACATTTGTACAAGAAGTAATGGTGTCTAAAGTACTAATGATAATAACTAGTTAAAAACAGCCATTTATCTATAAATACCAATAGTGAGAAATGAAGTTGTTCTATGTGTGTAGCTGAATCTGACTCTCAGTCCTGATCTGGATAATTTTATGAGACTTATCACAGTGGACATTTTCACACCTACGCCACCGAAGTGTCCGACTGGGTGTTGTTTTGTTTTTTTTACATTTATGCAATATTAATGCTGATATGCTACCTGTGTCGGTACCAATACAAAAAAAAAGAATTGGCTGCTGTGATGTACAGGTGTACTCCAGGACACTGTGACTTCACTGTTGGGTGTGATTACGGATGCAACAAAGCACACTTTTGACCCCACCCAAACACCTGTTGTGCCTTTTCAGCCTGATGATCAGTTTGTTAATGTCTAAACACAAGCAGCCATAACAAATACTTTCCATAAATAAAATACAGTCTAAACTTTTACCAACATTTTTAATTATACAGGAATTAACTGATCAGGAGCTGATACCCAGCTCTACCTGAGAATAGCCAATGTCACCAATCAGGTGTGACCAGTATAAGAGCAGCCATCTCACCTGTGTGGTTGGAGTTGTCCAGTTGGCTCAGTAGCTTCACAACACCTGGAGACTCTGCTTCTGGAGTCTCGAAGGTCCCTTCAGAGTCGGAACTGTGAAGAAAAAAAGAGAAGAAGACCTTAACAAAACCCCCATTCACAAAAACGAAAAGAAAGGAGACAGAAACGTACGAAGAGACAGTGAGAGAGAGGTCAGAGCTCAAGTGTTTTGGGAAGTTGTCTCAAGTAGTCTGGAACTAAAAATCCCGTTTGAATTTGAGAATGTGCCAAACTGAAAAATATAATCCATAAAACTAAATTAATTATTCTCATGAAGTGATTTAAAGCATGTGGTAAAAGCTAATCACATTGCCTGGTTTGAAGCTATATTCTCAAACAGCAGTCCACTGTCTCTGAGAACAGAGAGGCATTGGAAATGTTGATCAGTCTAAATAACTACATATAACTGCGTAATATAACAATGAAGGCACTGGTTGTGTGTTGCAGTGTAAAAGTCATTCTAACAAATGAGCGACGGCTTTCCAATATCAATCTTCTGTTTTCCTAAAGTGACACAAAAACAATAGATCAGAGCTCTAAGCAGCTGAAAATAAACAAGCTGCTTTTATTTTAAAAGGAAGTCAGAGGAAGGGAGAGGAGAGGAAGTTAAGTCCTACAAGGCCACCTGCATCCTTTGCGCCTCAAAGGACACATACACACACACACACACACACACACACACACACACACACACACACACACACACACACACACACACACACACACACACAAAGTCTTTTGGTCTGCTGTGTCAGCTGCCTAGACACCCAGCCCAAATTTATTTCCAAACTGTGGAGACTAAAACGAAGGCAGAGACAGGGAGAGTGAGAGTGTGTGTGGTTGTGTGTGTGTGTGTGTACCCGTTCCCAGCCACTTGAACACACATCAAAACGTCCGCACTCTAATGAAAAGCAGCACACGAAGGAACAAAGCTGCCAATACCCAACAACACTCCCATCTCTGATACGAGTTCACACAAACACATTCACACATGCTGGAGCTCTATACAAACACGACCATCCAGAGCTAATCCTCATATACATAACCCACCCCCCACCCTGCACACACACACACACACACACACACACACACACACACACACAGGATCACGTCCCAGTGATGGCCCCAACGGCTGCGATCTTGGATGGTTACTAAGAAACTAGAAATGGACAGAAAAAGAATCAAAAGCTTTGGAAAACTGTGACTTTTTCTCCCCTTCCCCCCAACTTTTTTAGCAACTGTTCCCAAACTGCCAAACAGCCTTCACACACACTCGAACACACACGCTCAAACAGGGGCCTAGATAGTCAGATCTTCTGTGTTTGGTGTCTCATAAAGAAACAGGATACTGAACACAAAGCAGGGATTCACAAAACAGTAGTTTGAGTGTCTGTATTTTGACTAAGAATCTGTTTTTAGCCCGTGACGGCATGACACAGCCACTGGGATCCATAGCATAGGAAAGAATCTGAGATTATACTACAGCATCAGTTAGTGTGTTGCTCTCTATGTGTGTGTGTATATATCCACCACCTGTCAGTATGACTCAGGGGAATTTACAGTCATCACACAAACACCCACACAGGCACACAATCAATCAATCTATTGCTATTTAAATGAAAGGAAATCACTCTCTCTTTTTAATCTTTTACAGGCCCACCTGTAAACAAGCTGCCTCCCTCTATATATTCGCTCTCTCTCTCACACACACAAACATCGTGGCCTAGCCCTCTTACTTGTCCTCTCCTTCATCCTTGGATGTGGGCTGCCCTTCGTCCCCCACACCCCCGGTCACTGCTGACCATGTCCATTTGGCCCACTGGACCGGAGACAACCAGGACATCCCTGCACCACGTCGGGTCTTAAACCTGCTGCCACCTCCAAAATGTAACGGTAAACTTCCTCCTTCTCTGGATTAGTTTAGATCGTCACTGCTGTCAATCAGGTTCACTGATCCTCCACAGTCCTTCTCTCAACTGCAAAAAGGAGACTCTCGAAAACAAGCTGTCGTTGTGTCTTCTTGCCTTTCTCCCTCCTTACGTCTGCTCTGGCCCGTCTTGCTTTCTATATGGCTTGCTCACTTCCTCCTCTTGCTTAGCAGCTCAGCTCTCCCATCCTCCACTTGTGCATTGTTGACGCTCGTGAGAGAGAAACGTGTCTCACGCTGCTGCTGCTGCTGCTTTGCTCTCCACAGCACTGACTCACACAGTGCAGATTACTGGAGCATCAGTAGTCACTCCTCTCTCTGCTCCCCTCCCCTCTCCCTCTCTGTCTGGGTGGACGATCAGCTGGTTAACAGACGTGGGCTCGCTCTGCTCTCTCAGGAGTTTGCCTCCCCCTCCCCAATTCTTTCAGGGTTTGTCGATTGTGTGTGTGTGTGGGGGGGGCAGAGGAGAGGCAATGCTTCCTGTTTTAAGAGGCATATAAGCGTCTGGTATAACCAGACGTTTGTGTCTTCAAGGGAGAGATGATGAAAAGAGAGCGGTGGGAAGAAAGGGAGGAAATGGTGAGGCCAACAGTATATTTTAAAAGCTGTAAGGATGTACACCCTCCCTAATTCCCTATAACTATAAAGTAAAATGCAGTAACTACATTTCAACAGCTTTTTAGGACAATATATCCTTTTGGACTATTGTTGCTCTGAAACAGACTATTTCTTTTAATTTAAATGGACTGAAGGAATTTTCTGTGTAAATTAACTGACTGACATGTGACTTTCTGACATGTTTGGGCAGCCCACAATGAGTTTGAAAAGGTAATTTGAGTTGTTAATGGTTTGTTTACTTGGCAGCTCACAGTGGAGACTGTGGATTACCGTGATTGTGCCGAAAAAGAGCACTTGTGCCTCTTTTTCCTGGATGAATAAATGGAGACGAGAGCTGCCAAAGTTGCGAAGATATTTTGTATCCTTTATATGTATTACAATCCACACAGACAGATAACATCAGAACTGGAAATGTAGCCGCTAATTCCATTATGTGTGACCAAACGTACAGAGGAACTATTGTTTGCTGAAAATATCCAGGTCAGTCGGCAAACAAATCAATACAGCAAACCTAGATTCTACAGTAATGGTGCAACATCAACAACCATCAGACTGACAACAAAGTCATTCGGATAAAAGCTCTCATCGCTGCTCACACACATGTGTCTCTGAGCCTGTTCATGGATGGCTTATGTAACTGTAAGTCCAGGATTTCACATTTATACATTCTCTCTCTCTCTCTCTGTCTCTCTCTCACACACATCTAAGCCAGATGAGATGAGTTCTTTGACTAATCTAATAAGAGGAGGATGGTTAAGCCACTGTGAAAAAGGTTAACAGGGAAATAAAAAAGGAAGCAGCAGAGGTGCGTTGCTTTTTATTTGCACTTTGAGGTTCCCTTCCTGCTGTTTACTGCTCACACGTGGAAAACGTGGACTGAAAGGCAGAAGCTCTACCACCGATTACACCGAGCTGGTCCACAGAGACAGGCAGGCTGATAGATGAATACATGAGCCAACACACTCAAAAATAATGTCACACACGGGTGAACACAGAGAAAGAGACTCTGTTCAGTCTGCAATAGCTGCACTGAAAAATGGAGAAAATTAGAGGCATGGAAGATGGAAGACAGCATTAATTAAAAATAGGGAGTGAGAGACAACGGAGAGATAACAAGGATGTGAATATGTTAACTGAGATACAAGGACATGTGAGTTTTGGGGCAGGGCTGGAATCTGAAATGCTCTATTGTTTTCCTTAAACATTCCTGACATTGTCTCCTTTAACCTCCTTTGTTTCCTTATTTATCAGTAAGTATAGCCAAGAGGACAAACCTGTCTGTCTTGCAGAAGACACAATCTGCCTGAAGCAAACAAACCCCCCTTAAGCAGCACACACAGATCTGATGGATGTCCTGTGTTGCACAAACTGTTTCCTCTGCTACACCTAGAAGTTGTAAACTTGCCTCTGGACATACAGTAACAACAGAGACACATGTCTTCACACAGACAGAGACAGCATGCAGAAGTGGACAGAGTGGGAATATTCCTGACTCTCTCCCTGGCAGAGACATGAACCACAGACAGAGAAGAAGGAAAACAGAAAGAGGGAAAAGAATCAGCTCTTATGTAATACCTTCAAACCACAAATAGCACACAGTGAACAGTGGCAAACCCACACATACAGTACACCCATACGATCTAGAGCTGCCATCTTAGCACACGGAGACACAGAATCACCAATTACATTTCTGACTGATAGCAGCATGTGCAGTTATGAGCTAAGAATACATGAGTAATGATAAACATGTCTGTGAGCCACAACAGAGGTGATGTGATACTGGATGAGATAACTATGTGTGTGCGCACACACACACAGGAGAGGAAATTAGAGAAGCTTCTCAACTATCACAGACTATTCATCTCAGCTCTCAATCCCTCGCATGATGACAGAAAGGTCACGAATCTGACATTTTATATAGCAGCACCATGAGGTCAACATTTCCCCTGACCAATATTTAGGTGCATAACAATCTTAAAAATTAATTGGTGGATTTAAATTCAATTTGCAGTGATTATTTTAGACATGCTAGCATGGCTTTGGGGGTGGCATTGTTGGTCTGTCAGCTGGTCTGTCTACCACTGATCCAGACTGAAATATCTCAATTAGTGGAAAGAAATCCTGACCTAATTGTTAGATAAGCGTGGGAATTACTGAGAACACTTTCATTTTTGGACACCAAAATATCCACTTTCCATACAAGGTATTTGGAAATACTAAAGGTCTAATGTGCAGATTGTCCTGACATTTGTTGAGTGAAACCCCCGTCAAGATGAGTTATTTTCATTTTAAATGTCCTCACAATGCTCCACTCTAGCACTAACCTGAAGACACATTTTAAATGTTTATGACTAGTTCTTCTAAGAATAACAGAGTCGTCAGTATGTTGTCTAACATAATGATATTGTGGCGTGTAATTGCAGCTTTCGTTCTTTTAATTTTAGACATGGGCACTAACCATGTTTCAATTACAAGTTGCATTAAAAGAAACGTCAAAACTGCCGCTGTCATTAAATGTTTCTACTTTGATCAACATTTACACAGTGCAGATGTCAAACAGCAAACGTACAATGTAATAAACATGTCAGTGTCAGTATTTACAATGTAAGTGCTCCCGGTCATGTGTCTTAACTCAAACAGCTATAAAGTTAACATAACTACGGCGGTTACACAGACATGAGGGATTAGAGGATAACATGTGAGTTTCGTTTATGGTGTGAAATATATTTTTGAGCTTCGGCTTTAAAAGCTTCAGTCGGTGAATTAGACCGTTACTGAGCAGTGAGCAGTGTGTAGCATTTAGTGGCGTCTAGCATTGAAGTTGCAGATTGGAACTAAAACCAAAAGGCAATCTACAGCCAGTGTTTGGTTTATCCGGTCTCAGCTACTGCAGAAACATGTTGGTTCAACATGGCAACATCCGCAGAAGATGATTAAGTTTTCATTCTTAGGTAACAAAAACACAATGATTCTCATTTTCAGGCGATTATACACAAATGCAAACAGACCTATTTTGCCAATAGATCCTCCTAAATGTTACACACTAGACCTTTAAAGTGAAAGCAATAATTTTGCCATGAAATATCCTGCCCAAGTGACAACCTGCAAGATTATTGTTTTCCTTAATGAGACAACACATTCAGTGCAGGGTCATTCTTTAATCACTCAGATATCAACACAGGGGCAGTGGTGGCCTAAAGGTTAGAATCCCCGGTTCAATCCCCGGACTGGCATGATAAATCTGGGTGGGGAAAGTGCCCCTCCCTCATTACCATCACCAGTAGCTGTGGTTGTACTGGGCAGCTTCCAGGCATTAATGTGTTTAACTGTACGAATGTGATCCGGGTGTTTCTGCAAAAGAGAGGCTTCCTCTCTGTGAAGCTAAAGTAAAGTAATTAAAACTAATTAACTAAAGTAATACACGGTCTAACAATATTGATTCATTCATATTACATTAAGGTTCTTCTATTTATCCCAAACAACCTTCTTCAAACTAATTTTGTATGTTCAGAAACCAAAACTACATAGACGCTTAGACCAGTAAAATATTCTATGAACAGGCAACAGGTTGAGTCAGTATTGTTTGCTTTCAATAGAAAGCAGCACACACGATATTTATAATAAAAGGAAGTAGTGGATAATGTTCCAGCGTATGCTATGCTGCGACTATGCAGTCTGCCAAGTATAAGCATGAGGGTGTGTGTTCATGGGAATGTAAGTATATGTGGGAGACACAAGTAGGGGCATTAACATTCAGTACATGTTTATATACTGTATGTTCTGCAGTAAGTTGGACTATCTATGTGCCTGTCTATGTAATGACTCATCTAATGTGGACAGAAAAATACTGCTGGATCATATTCATTTGCATGCTCTATGATATAGCTCCATCTAGTGGTCATTACTGGACTTTCAGACAGGTTCCCCACATAAATAAAACAATAACATAAAAAAAAACAAAAAAAAACAGCAATATTAGATTCAGCTACCCTTCAGTGACACAATGTCAGGATGAAAGAGCAAAGCAGATAAAAGGGATGAATAAATGTGCGAAACAAAGTAAGAGAGGTACATAACAGGTCTGATGTCACCTTTGGGAGCTTAAACAGAGTTGACAGGCTCTCTGGTTTCACCATGGCAACCATTTGGGAGGGGTCACAAGAGTATTATACTGTTAAAACATACACGACACATACACCCTCACACACAGACAGGTAGAAGTAAAGAAGGTACATTTTATGGAAGCACAACTGTGTTTGCATCCTTGATTTCTCTGCATCTTTTTTTTATAGGAAACAGCCAATTAGTTGCAATCAGAGCAGAAAAAGCTAGCAGGGAGCGCACAGAGTTAGACTGAACGGAGCCGAGGCACTCACCGTGCTATAGAATAACTTAACTGACAGTGGCATGATAAAACAATTAGAGAAAGAATTAGGAAACAAGAGATAAAGAGGAGGGGGTGTTACCAGAGAGGAGTCATGTATAGACACCAACTGAGCTATTGTTTGAGGCTACAATGGTAAAACAAGAGCAAACAATTCCCAGACAATAGTACATGTACATTGCACACACATGCACGCACAGAGCTGGGAGACAACACACCCCCTACTGTTCTACTTTGTTTTCATTCATTTCCTTTGCCTTTTAAATCCAGATCAACTAGATTTCCATTCAAAATGCCATATAGCTGTTAAAGTATTTTCATTGCACTGGAATTAGGACACAGAGATATCAGCATCTATAACAATTCTGTGCAAGTGAGGAGTTTTCAGCCATTAAATTCAACATGAGCCAGCAGTGAGTTTCATTTTCATGTCGGCAAACTTTGTCAGTGTTTGCTCATGCATAATTAAAATGTACATTTTGTGCCTGCCTTCATGTATTCTCAATGTGCGTCTCTCTCTAAAGGAATGTTTTTCAGCCTACACTGGCCTAAATTCATAGTGCAGCAAGAAAAGAGCTCCAAATGCAGGTCAGCCTCTTCCCAAATGAGGGATTGGGTCTGAATGTTCAAGGGTTCTGGAGAACAGGAAGTGTACTGTACATCAAAGACTGTTCCAGTTAGGATATAAAATGGATGATTAAGTCAACTAAAATTAGACCAGAAGATGAAAACTGCGATCCCACGGCACTGGTTGGCTTCCCAGTTTTCCCACAGGGGAGACCCCAACCCCCCATCTGCCCTAACACAAACACAGGCGCAGAAGACCACAGTATGCTTATGTGATCAGTGAGGTTTTTCTCAAAAATAACAATTGCTTTAACATGGTTTTGTCTCAGTGTCTTCAGTCCGCTGCTTCGCCTTTCTGTCTCTGCCATCTCCGAAACAACATCAGCTTCAGTTCATGGCGGCACTGCTTCATATATTAACAACCGCTGTTCTCCACGAATCACTGAGTGAACACGGTGATATTTAAAAAAGGATTGGCTGAATATGGATTAGCCTGCGCATTTACGTGTGTCGAGACAAAGTGTTACGCTACAAGGGGCTTACAGAAGCTTTTAAAAAATTCAGATATAAAGCTTCACTGAGATCAGCTGGGAGGACAAAGTGAAAGGGCTCACTCTCTTCAAAGGATTAGAGAGAAAAAGAAGAGGAGAGCCCAGCGGTTAAGTGCTTTTAAGCTCTGACGAATGCCTCAGCAACAACATCTTCATTCCCTCTCCCCTCATTTTAACAAGACACATGCTTCAGACAGCTGCAGTTCATATATCACACGGTACTTTAAGGAAACACACACACACACAGCATGAACAAAACAGCTGTGATACCTGCTCAGATAGAAATAAACTGTGAAGCCTGTATGATTCAAATACCACTTTGGAATAAGGGTCACAGCTACATAATTAATAGACAAAAGCTGCAGCTAAAATGTCAAAACCAATAAAAAAATAAGGAAGGCTTGGACACTGCCTTAATTTCAAGAGCATGACCCGATCAGCTCATGCTCATTACACTAGCCTCTCTGCTCATGTCATCATCTGTCCAACTTCCCTCTGTCCTTAGATTTGAATACCTAAATCGTATTCAAAACAGCAGGTCAGGAGATGCTGCGTCCAGAGCTGTAATGATGGGCTGATTTGCTTTTTAGTCCAGGAGGCAAAAACCCCCCAGCTCTCAAAGAAGCATCAAGGTCTCAGCACTGCCCTTCAACCCCTTATCTCACACTCCTCTTCCCCTCCCTGCCACACAAGCACCGACTTCATACGCACAACACAATCTCAAGTACCAAAGGGCGAAATTGATCTGCTGTTCTTGATCATCAGCTATTTTCGGAGTCTCTCTACTTGTGCAAGTTTCCCCTTTTTCTCATCAAGAACTTGCAAACACACAAACAAACAAACAATGAAGCATCTCGTCTTACATGCTGCTCTTCTTCCGCAGGGAGCTGATGGAGCCCTTCCTGTTTTGGCTGAGGGAGCCCCCCATGGCAACGGCAGAGTCTGTGTTTGTCTCAGGCTTTTATCCCAGATGCTCCGCGTGTCCTTTTCACCTTCCAAGGTTCACCTCTGCCTCTCCTTCAGACAGCGTGGCTCAACGGCAGAGCCCAACACCACACCGCTTCTCATGACTTGTTATTATTTAACCAAGCAGCCTTCTCCTCTCCTTGTCTTTTTCTCTCTCGCTATCTCTGATGCTGTACAGTCTAAAGGCTCAGGAGTACTAGCGATCACACATGAATAGCTCTGCTGACAGCCCCGCCTTCTCGCTCTAAAGCTCCCTCTCTCTTACACACACACACACACACACACACAACAGAAGCAGATTACATTCACTTGTCAGGCAGTGCATAGCCTTTAGAGGGAGAAAGAGAGAGAGGAGGAGAGTGTGTGTGTGTGTAAGAGAGAGGGGGGGTTGTTTAAAGACCACTAAGTCCAAGGAGTTGGAGGGGGTAGATGGTGTGTGTGTGTGTGTGTGTGTGTGTGTGTGTGTCAATGTGTCATGGGGGGTATCTGGCAGGGGTGAGAGTATTGTTCAAGCGTGAAAGACTCTCTTCCATTGTTAGTCAGCTGAATACCAGATCAGAGATCCAGGGGGAGGGATGGAAGATGATGGAGGGAGAGTTGGCGGCATAAAACACAGCCCCACTTGTTGTGCCACATTCCCACTACCTGCTGTGACCCCAATACCCACCCCTGCAGGTCCTTTTAGCATGACAATACACACAAACACATACATTGTAGTTTTCTTAACTTTATTGCTTTAATATCCTAAGCTCATCACAGTGTTTTTACCTTATACCTTGAAACTATAAATCTGGTCACACAACACATCCACAAGGCTGATAAATACAACACTTACTGCAATAAACATGTGAAAAGCTAGTTAAACAAGTAAGAGAAAGTATGGAAATGTGCTAAATCATTGATGCATTCATCCTATTGAGTCTTGTAATGACTAAAGAAGCAAAACATACCTCCTGATTCAAGCCTGTCCCATCCTGTTAGTCTCTCTAATCAAATGGAAAAATGGCTAAAAGCCCTGAGAGCTGTGGTGGGTCAGCGGTGCCCACAACAGGACAGGCCCTTCCTTTGAGAATAACTGAGAGGCTTTAATGCATAACTTCCTCCCACTGAAATGAATCACATGAGGCTCAATATGGAGGTCCTAATTTCTGAATGACTCATTACATTTCACACACAGTGGGAGCAAAAGCGCGCGCACACACACACACACACACACACACACACACGCACAAAAACTGCGTGGCAATTAAATAATTATTAAATATGTAACTTTTTTCACACTAATTACAGCCACTTGACCGTTATGCTTCGTAGCTTGTAACTCGCTAGCGCTGTAAATTACGATTTAATACATCAACAATTACACAATTTAGCAAATAACTCCGACGAATATCTTGAAAGAAAACAAACAAACGACAAAAACCTTTTAATAAGTATTTTTTACTTGCCTCATAGTTGTTGTCCAATGTTGTTGCTGCTCAATTCAACCGCTGCAGGTGATGCTGTGTTTTCCTCACGACTGCGCATGCTCGAGTCATTTCCCATAGTAACGAGATTTAAGTTGTAAATAAGAATAAAAGCGCCTGTTCAATATAAATAGACAGGTTTATGATGGTAGGACACAGGATGCTTTATTTAATATTCCCTAAAAAAATATGTGCTGCCTAACAAGTATTATTTAAAATCATACATGGATATTATTACATGACTTGCAAATATATTTCCAACATAGAAGATATTTCTGTATTGTTATGGTGGAAATATTAACATTTGTTTAATCAGTGTGTACATGTGGCAGTATTTTGGGGTGATTTTCGGTTGGCTCTACTTTGGAAAAATACATTTTACTTACAGAACATGTTGTTATTCAAAATGATCCAGCTATGAACAATATATCATTAATTTCCTTAATTTTTGAAGATATCATCTTATATTACCTTTAAACAAACAGATCCAAACATTTATTTGCATATATATATGCTTTCACATGCTTTCACACCTGTAACAAAAATGAACCAAAACTATAAACTTATGTCACCGCTTGTGTTTGTTTTGAATGTATTTATTTTCTTTGTTTGTATAAGAGCTGTATCTGAACTGCTCTAGTAAACAACACGTATGAGCTCCATTATGTTGTATTTTAAAAGTATTGTTTTTCCTATTAACCTCCACCCTGTTTATTCCTTTAAAATAATTCAAATCCAGTATTGTAGTCAGGGTTTGATTAAATTCAAAGAACACAAGACACTTGTAATGTTTTATTATGGCACACACATCATGTAACCATACTCACAGGGTGTGTATTCGAAAGGAGAACATTTGTTTTTTTTTGGTATGTATCAACATTTTAGTATCAAGTGCAAAAACATTAGTTATGGTAAAGAAAATAAGTCCCGTTTTACTGTTTAGACAGATGACAGAAACAGAGATGATGGTGAGGTTCAAAGGAAACGTCCACATGATAATTAAGTCAGTGCATTTCTTAAGGAAGAAAAATGAACAACCCCATTCGGTTAATTCATCTGTTGTGCGGATGTTACACCCAGATGGCTGAGATACAGGTCATTCAGAGCTTTGGTGGTGGGGACTGCGGTGCCCTGACAGTGCATAACATACGAGTCATTTTAAAGTTAAACCACTCGACAGAGTTTCTCAACCTTGCAGTCTGGACCCCTATGTTGCTTTATATGAAAGTGCAGATTTGTGATATTTATAACACTCATATATTCATATTTGTTAGATATATTTAATATAAAATAAATGTATTTGCTATGAAACATAGGTTCTATATAATCTATTTATCATGCTCTTTAAATTAAATTTATATGATTGCAATGTGAAAACTATCTTACTAAACAGGTACATGAGAACATTTTGGGACCTAAGAATTGGGTCAGGACCAGAAAATGTTGAGAAACCCTGCATAAAACATAACAAATAAGTGCATGCAATACAGATAGAAAAGATGATTTTAACATACTTTGATACAAAGGAACAGACGAGAGAAACGTAGCATTTGGCCCTTCAATTATGCAAATGTTAGAACTGTTTATGGTGAGATGCCAGTCTGTATAGAATAGAATAAAGAATATACCGCTGTTAGGATTTACAGGAGTATACATTTTGGGTCAACTACAAAATAGTAGAAAGAAGAAAGCGGTAAAGGATGAATGGCACAGACCTGGGGGAAAGTGGAACTGACCTCTCCGTACAGTTTGCACACTGCTAGAGCATACAAACTGTACTCACACACACATAAACACAAACTATGAAAAGACAACCAGCTTGACCTTTCAAGCACTCGTGCATTTCTCCACTTCATTTCTAAAACAAATCTTCATGAGGATTACTTCTTTTAGATACACGTCTCTATATATATTTATATATATATGATCAAACTAAAATATATATTGCAAGTAAAATAAAAATATAATTAGAAGGCAAAACGAGCGTCACTTTCAATGATAGTGTCAGTACAGGACTACGCCTGTAAAATAAAAAATTACATTATTGTTACATTGCACAACTGTGGGAGCAGCTTCAGGTTTCGAGTGGCCTTAATGTTGACAGAAAGAAAATATAGCTGCCTGAAAAATATATCAACCTTAATTTTCCTAATCAGAAGGTAAACATTTTACAGTCAACCAATGAAACCACTTGACCCACTTATTTATAAAGGTGTGGTCTAATGTTAGGCTAAGAGAGAGCTTCCTTGGTCAAGACAGCTTGAATTTTAAAAGTGTCAACACACATAATAAGAATTATAATTAATTATAATTATAGTTCTTCATTTCTGATTTTCGGAGGCTGTTTTATACTCAAAGTTGCTCAATATTATGCAGCTGTTCGCATGATATGTCAACTGCTGTTGGTAAGTGAAAGTGCAAAGTAAAAGCAAAATAAAAAATATGTCAAAAAAGACAGAAAAGTGCGACCAGGAGCGGGACTGTGATGTTTCGCTGGATGTCAAACCTAGTCCTGCAATGGTGGTTTAGGCGGCACCAAAAAGCCACTGCTACCGCAAAATTAAAGTTGACTGACGTATGTGAACCAAGATAACTTGACTGCTGCCGAACAGTCTGCCCCATTGTTGGGGGAGGAGAGGGTGGGGCAGTCAGGTAACACCCAGACGGTAAGGCATTCTGGAAGAGGATTGTGCAGCCTCTGGCTCTGTCAGTTGTCCTTCATTTTCTCACTTTTACTGAACTTAAAAGGCAAGTCTACATTAATAAAACTTTATTACTGTTGTGGCTGTTCAAAGGCCACACCTAGTTTGTCGTAGATCTCCTTGAGCAGCAGGAGAGCTGTATCCTCAGATTCCCTAACAGACAGACAGGCAGAGAGGGAAAAACATAATTTATTTGAAGTAAAAATCTAAATCAGAGAAGTTACAATAAAGAGCACATATCAGGAATACAAAATACAAGAGAGCACAACAACTATAGTCCGCCCCTCCACAGGTATGCATGACTCACCAGTAACACAGATGAGACTGGATGGCAAACAGGTATTCGTTGAAGCTCTCGATGGGTTTTTCCTGGAGTACATAGTCGATCCTTCTTCCTCCATTCAACATTCCCACTTTAATCTCAGGCTGCTCCGTCTGCTCAGCTGACACTGAGGACTCTGCCTCCTCACACACTCCTGCAGGGACAGAGGTTAAAGAAGAGGCTGTATAGGCAGACAACAAAAACAATGATTATAGCCAGCACAAACTACCTGTTTCGACTCATACGTTTTGGGAAAGGGGAACGAACAGATAATAGACAGGAAATGAGAGATAAGTTGCTCTCTGCAGCAAGCAACATTTAAACCGATGCAGGTGAAGAAAGCAGTAGTTGTAAGAATAATACAATGCAAAGTGTCACAAATGCTGCAGGCACTGGTTGAAGTGTTTTTTGCAATTTAGTCAGCATCCATCACCAGATGAACTTCAGTAGTTTGAGATCATTTAAAAAAAATAGTACAGTGTAATGCTTTTATAGGTGAGGATTTGTTTACTGTAGATGTTAGTTGTAATTTTGGTAATAACCCATTCTGACCTTGTTAGATGGGGCTGTACTTATTTAAGTAGTGGTTATAAGCCTACAGAGAACTGGTTATATTAGTTAATTTACACATATTATTTAAACTTTTAGTGTTGTATGAATGTCTGCTATATCAATTCATAGAGGAGTCAACATTTTGCCTTTGACCTGATGAATGTTTATGCAAAAAAACATAGTCACAAGTATGATGTTAAGTAAACACCAGTAAGGTGGGTCAGTTTGGTGATGACTGATGCTATGTTATGAATGTACTGTTGTCTTAAGAATCTCCAATGCACTGCTGATGAAACTGCTGGTTGCTATCTTCTCATACCTGTTGAATGACTATTTCTGACAAAGTACATCTGCATTTAATGGTTTGTAATTAAAGGATAAAAATCTTACTCTCAAATTACATTGTGCTCATGTTTGGGATCTTGCCCCAAGCACCAATATACTTGATCGAACAAATGACTGTTGTAAGGGTTTTAAATAAAAAGCTGAGCCCTCTTTAGCAGAGTGAAAAGTAGACAAAAGAGATAATGTGTTATTTAATTGTACAGCCTGTTCTAACTGCAACTTGATGTGCTGTAGAAAAGGGTAGGACAAGTTCCTGCACGTAGTTACTGTAGGTGACATGCTACTGATGAATGACACTGCCTGCTGGTTGAGGTCCAGCCAATTACTCTTATTAAAAAAACAAATGTGATCACTGCTATTTCCTATTAGTTCAGCACATATGAGAGTATGCCATGAGCCGGTTACATGAGTGGCTATTAAATTCAACCAATCAGAACTGAAAGCAAGAGAGGGAGGAAAGGGCCTGAAGGGAGAAACAGTCAATTAAAGGTTGATTTGAAGATTAGATGTACAGTAGTAGTAGAGCAGTTGGGGGAAGGAAGAGCAGAGGAGTAGAGGAGTAGTGAGAGCCTGCGGCAGTAATGACATACATTACATAACATTTGCTCTTTGAGAGGGAGCTGACATGTCAAAATAAACCATAGTAATTGAGAGCCATGTTTTTTTTTTAACAAATTCTTCAGGTAGAGTAGCATAGTTTTAACTATTAAAACAGGTAATGACAAACTTCCTTCCTCTTTTGTGCATGTTATTTTCCAGAGTCGAGCCAACAGTTTATATAGGCTCGTAGACTTTGACTGAATCAGGAAAGTTTACAGAGAAAACCAGATAGAAAGGGGTCATTTACTCATTTTTCCACCATTCATTCTAGCCAAGTGACTATCCTGGCTTACCTTTGAAGTAATGCTTATAAAAGGCCCTGGGCCCCTCCAGTATTTTAGTCCAAAAATCAGCACTTTTCTCTTCCCTCTTAGCAGAAGCAGCGACTGCCGCTGAGGCTGAGGTTCAAGGTAAAGTGGTAAGGGGGGAGGGAAGCAGGGGGCAACCACCAGATATAGCAAAAGAGGGGAGGGGAGGGGGAGGGTGGCAACATGCAGAGAAGGGTGAGAGGAGTAGGAAGAGACTCGGTTAGACACACTCTTGTGCACACTCTCACACACACGCACACAAAACAATTACACAAAGGCAAATAAAAGCGCCTTTTCTACCCTGTGTATCTTGAAGGTTTGTCTCTTTTGTAGTTTCTCCTTCGTCCACCGGAGGCAGTGCAGCAACTGGTAGTCTAGCAAAGGACTGCCATGCCGTCCGCAATGACCCAAGAACATTGTTCTTCAAATCCATGCTCATACGAGTCAAGCTGTCCTTTAGTTCTATTAGAGAAAGAAGAAGATTATCATTAAGCCTACTAAACAAAAGTCCACACCACAATATTATTCACAGAGGAGAAAGACACAAGAAGCCATACCCAGGTGCATCCTCTTGCGGCCTTTGTGATGAGGGATCAGCATGGGCTCCAGATCCACCTCTGACACAATCATGGGCTCTATCCGATAGGCCACAGGGTCATACTATACAGCATTAAAAGGGAAGAGATGAATGTAGCTCCAATATGTGTGGTTTTCTTTTATTTATAAAGTTTGTGTATTCACTGAAACTCCTACTAGAATTATTGTCATTATATTGATTCAGTTCTATCATTTTCAACATGACTCATGAACCAAGTCAAACTACAGTTGTGGGAAAATACAAGACGCCTTAATCCCTTTTTTGGGCTGAGTACAAGATGCATGCACAGTAAATACACGATTACTCACTGGGTGGTAGATGTTGTAAAAGCTCTTGCAGGTTGGGAAGGTGTAGTTGGGATCAATGTGTTTTAGCCCACGAACGGTGAGGAACATTCCAATAGGAGAGCCAAAAGCAAAAAACGTTTGAGGGTGGAAAGCCAGCTGCGGGTAATCAATGGATACCTGTGGAGAAAAGGTGGGGTTGGAGACGTGTGCTATTAAATTTGTTTAAAAATGTTAGAATTTAAACACACGTTTTGTTCTAAGAAGACAACTATTCATTCAGACAGTTGGAAAAACACTTATACGGTGCACAATGGTGGAACATTAAATGCACATTTCATGACATCAAGACAACAATCAGAGAGTATGACAGCGGTAAAGGAGGAGACCAGAGAGCCTACCAGTCATGCAGGAATGGATGAGCACATACAAAGTGTGGTATTGGGTTGCACGACTCAATGGGACAAAGATGGTAGCCTCAATCAAGGCACAATGTAGGAAACCTTATTACTCATACAATAACCAATATAATTCAGTCGCCTTGGGTTTTCCCTGACCGGACCAGATTGTATGTGAAGAGAAACTCCAGGCACAGTGAGATCAAAGAGAGCTAAGGACAAAGCCTGAGAGCATGGGGACCCCATGTGAGACACACCTGTCCCTTGGCTATGCCTCCATTGGTCTGTCCAGGCAAGCGGGGGGGAGGAGAGAAGCAGGAAGGTGATGCATCAAAGCTTTTATCTACCGGTACTCCCAAGCACAAGTTTTTATGTCAGTGTTTATATAGGGTACCTGTCCGATCCCCATGTCAAAGTATTCGTAGTCTACAGCACTGGTGACAGACTGCGCCCTGTGGAACTGGGACTGCTGCATCGTCAGTTCTGAAGACTGGTTACCATCGTGGTCACTGGTCACTTGAGGTGGAACTTGTAGCCCTGGTGCCAGATGTACTGCTCCTGTCTTACAATCCTATTGAGATTGAGAAATATAAGCATATAAGCAAAAGAGAAACTGCCCAATAAATTAAATTAGCCACATCAATCAGTTTGCTTCTCACTGTTGTCTACAGTAAACAGTTCCCTTAAATGGTCTTGGGAATGTAAAAATACATAGAAAAACATGCAGCATAGCCAGAATCGGTCAAACAACCCACATCATTGGCTGTTTAAACACATGCACATGGGGGAAATAAGAAATATATGTAGCCATGTGATATTTTCTTGCAAAAATGTTTATCTGAGTATTGTGTGGCCTTGATATAGACAGTGAAGGTATATCCATGCCAAGAATTATATCCATCCAACTCAACTTTATCCAGACAAAGTCCACATCCAAGAAACAGAAGTTGTAATGTTAGTGTTCCAAAACAAGAAAAGCCAGTATAGTTTCAGGCTACGTCTCACCTCTGGAAGCCACTTTCTCCTCATGTAGTTCAGGATCTTCTTCCGAGGTCCGAGAGGAATTCCTAAATCCTTGAGATCACCGTCTTGGCAAAGAGCCTATGAGAGAAGATTTGTAAGCTCTTAACTATGCATTACACTTAAATTTGTGTGTCCATTGTGTGTTTGTGTGCGTGTGTGTGTGCGTGCGTGTGTGTGCGTTACCAGTGATTCCAGGTCGAGGTTTTCTGTCTGCAGCGTATCCAGGTATTGCTGTAGGCCCAGTCTGGTCAGAGTCTGCTCCAGTGTGTCACAGCTCAGACGAAAGGGCTCATTGGTGGGCACCTTAAGCAAAGAGAGAGACAAAATGGGGAATGGATTTTCTTATCTACATGTAGATAAGAAAATATGCAATCTTATTATCAGTATACTGATGTTGTCGTTTACGGTGAACGTAATCATACCCCCTTTCTGGTTTCAGATCCATTCCTCTGATTGGTTAACATGTCAAACAGGATCAGTGAACCTGAGGAATGAGAAACAAAGGGAAGGAGTTAAAATTCAGCAGTTTAAAGACTTGTGATTGTGTGAGTGTTTTTGTGTGAGTGCATGTCTAACCCAGGCTATGGCCCACAACTGAAACATCCCCGTTGAACTCTGGGTGTCTCTGTTTAAAGAGGGTGTGCAGCCTGTTGATCTCTGAAGCCACTGTGTCCACTATGGTCTGGCAGTAGGTGGGACTGTTATAGAAAAACAGGTCCAGCAGAGTGTCGTTGGTGAAATGTCTCAGCCTGCTGATGCTGGGCAGAGTGATCCTCTGGATGTCCCTGGAAAAAGAGGATTGAGGGAGAACATAAAAGGAGGGAAGACTTTCTGCAACTACTGGAGACATAAGTAGTATTGTACAACAGAGAAATCTTGTTTTGTCCATCTCTCTCTACACTTACTCGTCCACACCAGTGGCATCCCCGTGTAGTGCGCTGTGCCAGTTGACTGGGAGGAACTCCACTCTTCCTATCTTGCCATCCTGCTGGGCACGTTTATAATGAGAAGCCAGGAGGGACAGGGAAGCACTCCTGAAGTCATTTACTGGAGAGACAAGAAGAAAAGGAGTCACACATTAATATAAATGTATGCATATATACATAGAATACACACACACAAACTCATACTTACCACACTGTATGATGGATCTGAAGCGCAAGTCACATGCAGGACCGATGCCATGTACCATAAAGACAAGGTGGTCCACTTTTTCTGGTTCACCTGGGAACACACACAGAAAGATGAGCACAAAAGCGTCAACTGTAGGTACAACTTTGAAAAATAGGCTCATATCATTATAATATATATATATAGTATCTCTTATTGGTACATCCACACACATACCATCAGGTATTTCTACAGAGATGCTGTCCACTCCTCTTTTGACAGTTCGAGGCCGGGTCTGCTCCGAGGGGGAGGACACCCACTCATCCTGCAATCCAATCGGCTGATACTGCATTATCAGCTGAGAGAGGAGCAGGGAAATGGAAGAGAAAAGGCAGAGTAGAAGGAAACAATGTACCTAATTAAAAATGTATACACTCAGAAAAGCCATGGTGTGGATTTGTTATGCATTTAATTATAGTGTACATGGTGATAGCAGGCTTTACTTTGGGATTATGTAAGATAATAGTCTCTCCATTGGGAAACTCCAGCTTTCTCTTCCATTCGTCCAAGGTTACTGCAATCATATAGGCCTCCTGAAAAATTAGAGGGGAAGGAATCAAAGAAGATACAGGCAAAGTTTGGAAGAGGATAAATTTAGAAGTTGTAGTAATGAGCAGTGTGATGGTTCAGTATCAGACTACCTCCAGACTGTTGCTGAAGTCCTCGGGGTACGGCATGAACCTTGTGTCTTTATCTCCTTTGTAGAACCAGGTACAGCGGCGGACTTCAGTGGGAGCTTGCTCCCAGTACACAGCGTAGCGCTTCCTCTCCTTGACATGTATGTCATACCGCTCTCCATCCACAGCTACCACCACCTCCTCCTCCTTTTCTCTTACTGCGTAGTAAACACAGAAATACACACATTTAAAGAAAAGGTTCTATGAGGACAAGTAAGTATACTAGGGCTGTGCTTTAGTGCTGGCAATTGAAGAAGGGATGTTCCACAGTTTCCAGTTAAATGCAAGGAGGGAAAGGGTACATTAAATAATTGTTAAAGGGAATATCCAAAGCAGTAGTGATTTTGGACTTTCACCATGAGTACCAGCCCACTCTTCTGGAATAATATGGGCAAATAATGTGGGCAAAGGAACTGCCATCCTGTCTCATATTGGAGAGTCTTACATTGTCAAAGGAGTCCTTCAATAGAATTCGTAAAAAGTTACTTTTCAATAGGGCTGCAACTAACAATTATTTTCATATTTTGTCAAGTACAAAAAGGTATACATCTCAGTTTCTCAAAGTCCAAGGTAAAGTCTTTAAATGTCTGTCAGTTTAATATGAAATAAAACAGAGACAAGCAGGAAAACTTCCCACATGAGAGGCTGAAAACAGCATTTTCTGCCAGTTTTGCATGAAAAATCACTCACAATTAATCAAAATAGTTGGCTAGTATTGTCGTCTAAGTATATTTTTTATATACAATATATTTTTCCTTTGGGTGCAGGATATGTGTGATTATTAATGTCCAGTAGATAGCCCAGCACATAACCTCTTGTAAAACAACCTGTCATTTTTAAACGTGAGAACTCCACCAGACTTTAAATATGATGTCACAGATGTACAACAAAGGTTCTGTCAATGAATCATAATAAGATTCACTTAAAACCACCCTGAAACTCAACTTCAACTTACTGTTAAACTGTTAGTAACAGTGAGCATGTCCTGGCAGGAGGGTAAAGCACTCTAATGAGCACCAGGCCAGTGTTGGCAACAGTTTGACCTAATTACACGACTTTCAACATAACGTACATGTCAAGTATGAACACAAAGTTTACCAGTGTTGCAGGCATTCTCTAGTTTGTCAGAGTCCTCTCTGCTGAAAGGGAGCCAGGAGGTGTTGTCCTCAGCCCGTCGACAGAAGAACCAGTGAGGCTGCACTTCTTGATAGGGAGCTGGGACCGGCTCCATGTCGAGCATCTCAAAGGAGGACGTGGAAGAAGGAGAGGCCTCATCAACCACTTGAGACACCTGGAGACAAATGATGATGGCATGCTAAATGTTCTTTATCTCAGCAATATCACTTACAAAGTAAAAAGCCAATGTCTGTGTTTTCCTTCTTTAGACCAGTCCACTGTAGTTTCCAGATAAGTAAATATAGAAGTCTGAGCTAAGTCTATGCTATTCCATTAAGCTCCTATCAAGGAACCTGAGACCATCAGACAAAGCAAGGGACAATCAGACAGGAAACGATCAGGCCTCTCCTTGGACAGACACACAAAGCCCTGTTTTTATTCTTTCCTCCTCTACAATCTGTCTCTTGTCTTGTCTTTTTCCACTGAATATCTTACAAACAGGAACAATGCTGCCAGTAATACTTTTGGCACTCTGCTGCTCCTGTTTCAGAGTGTTGAAAGAGAGAGCCTAACACCGCTTGACACAACAACAAACACCCACACTACACACAACTGCCAAGTCAGCTGATCTGATTTGTAGAGTACTGTGCATACAGGCGTTAAAATAATAAGATTGAGAATGAACACCCTTCCAAAGAAATGAATCTGGTTGATCTCCTTGTAACTCATACCTTGCTTCTTGTTTCTATATTTGTTTGCTTGTCACGCAGCATTAACAGTCCAAGTTCCTTTAGCCATGAACCTTTTGGAAAGTGATTCATAATACTCCATCCAGGTACATGTGTGTTTTCAGCTTATCATTGACAGGCAGACACACACTGACTGACACTAGCCCTGGACACCTTGCTGGCTTTATGGTCTCCTCGTGTTCAAAGATTTACAACACGCACATACCTTAAAGAGGGACAGTATGTGACATCCATCTATACCCCCTCCACAAGCCCAACATTTCTTATTTGCCCTCCACTCATTCAGTACAGAAAAAACAATGCAGAAGCTATTTCTGCCCGAGGTGAGGAAAACAAACAATCTCTTTGTGCTTTTTTTTTTTTTTTTTAGTTGTTAATGAGATTTATAAGGCTGTGAACGGTTTTTATAAAAACCTTTGTTGGAGGCACATGACAAAGCATCACATAATAACTGCATATTGTTACTACAGTAGTTACAATACTTTTACATTTACTTTTAAATCATTAATTTGGTGTGATGGAGTATTTCAATACTGGCATGGCACAGAAAGAGTCATGGTTTTCTGTATAGATGTACAGTGTTACTCTTAGGCAACCTCCTACTGTTTTCCTGATGACAGCTCAGCCTAGTCGATAACTAAACAGAAACCTTTTCGGAGATAACACGTTGTAAGTGTACTTTAACCTATGACTAGGACCCAAGCAGCCTTCAAGCACCCTGGAGCTGATCAATGAGAAAGGGGACTCAAATTCTTTAATATAGATTACGCACTTTGTCTCTCTGCTAGTGTTGTGTTGAAAGTCAGCTCCAAAAAAACCCAACCCTAATCTCAGCCAATCACATCTGCAATGTCGAAACCCTAACCCCGATCATGAAGTGTAGCGCTAGAGGAAACAGACTAAGACACAAAAACCCTGTTAGACTCATACGTACCCTCACCTGATCCTCAGGTGTGGTCCCTGTTGCCGCAGCCTGATTGGGGTCGTCAAGCTGTTCTTGTGTGTTGACCTTTGGGGCAGCCTGAGATAGACCCCCCTCTTCACCAGGACTGTGTGACATTTAGCCCAAGACCTGACCCCAACCCTCAGCTCTGACCTGAGGTGGGCAGGAGGGCGCACAAACGCAGCACCTGAAACAACCAAGCTGCACACAGAAAGAGAGGAGGCTTAAAAGACCATTAAAACTACATCATAATAACATGTTACAGCCTGTCCAGCTTGCAAAGGATTTATTAAAAGATACCTGCACCAAGCTGTTGGTTCACAGAGCATCACAGGTGATGGGGATGGAAAAAGAAAACAAGCCAGGTCACGTTAGCTCACACCCAATTAGCGGTTTAACGTTAACTAAGTTAACCTCAGGATACACTGGCAGCTGTCCCCCTCAGCTGCTCATCTATAACGTTGCAATGGAAAACGTAAACAACCAGGTCAATGTGACAGCCAGCTACAACATGAAGTCACACAATGGCTGTATTAAGCGTTATGTGGACGTACATAGCAATTATTCGACATTATCCTGAACAAATGTTATTAGCTATTTCTCATGTTATTAGTAAGAATATAGCAAACACATCGCAGATGAGAGGCTGAGGGGTTTTTAACGTTGTTGAAGGTTTATGCTAGCTGATAGCCGGACAGGATACTAGCGTGAAGTTCTCGGGTTGTTGTTGTTGTTTTTTTTTTATTTAATGTTACATCCTGTTGGTGTTTTAGATGTTAGAGCACAAGTAACAGACAGTCGTCAACTTAACTCACCGACAACTTCACACACACAGTTTAATGGAGAGGGTTTGTGCTCGTTGTTTAGCTATCTGGCTCCGGATAGCTCGGCTAGCCAAGGGCAGCCTCCGGTCCTGTCATACGCTGCCTGGTTACAGTGTCGTCGGAAATTTGGCGATTACCAGAATAACGTTAACAACCGAGCTCACTAACGGCCGAATAAAGACATAAAACAACTATAATAATATAGAGGGAGTTTTCTATGATGTCCTTTTTTTTTCAAAGTGTGACAATTAGAAGTTGAAATGAACCAATCCAATGATAAAGAAAAAATGCATCCAAAATAAATCAATAAAATCCTACCTTTTTTTTTTTCAGGTCAGCATTCCGCTGTAGCAAAAAGTAATTGTGAGTCTGTTAAACTACAAATCAAACTCTCTCTGGAAAAACACCAACTGCGCCTCTAGTGTGAAAGAAATAACCGCCACGCGTACAATTTACGAGGAGCACTTGAAGGCACCATAAAAAAACACATCAGGCCACCGCCCCCCAAAACATAAAGCTGACGTCACGGTGTAATGGTGAGAGTTTGGTTGTTGTAGTTCTCCAGTGAAACCAAGAGGCGTGCACATTATATTATTTTACCGATGTAGTGTAAGGTAAGCATAGCTCAAGGTATTGACGGATGGTTAACTTCTTCGGTAAGTGTAAACAGGATGGGTGTTTGGGGGAAGTGTGGTTGTTATACGCCCAAATACGGGCAATATATTTGTCCCACCAACTAATTTAATGCTGGTCGTGGTCCTATTGAGGATTTTGCAATATTTATACAGTGTCTTAACAGTTACCGGAATGATTAGGTGACTATTTTGATGAATTCTTGACTTTCCTGTCCAGAGGAAACTGATGCTGTAGATGTTACATGGAAGCAGATTTGGGGAGTAACGGATTACATGTAACTGAGTTACTTAATCAGGATACATAAAGGGTAACTGTAATTACAGTTAGAGAAAAAGGGAGTAAAAATGGGGATTAATTAGCTTCTTTAAAAAATACACCAAGCAGAGGACACATTGTTGATGCTAAAAATCTTTCCATTGTTTTCCATTTTCTTTTCAAAGGTTACATTGTTGGTCTTATATAGATATGATATATATTATTATATTATAATTATATATAATACACATGCTTTGTTTTTATTTACATATTTGGTGTTGAGATAATCCAAAAGTAATGCAAAGCAATCAAGTGACATAACTTTAATATACTTGGATTAGGTTACTGACTCCATTTTTTAAAAACAGATAATTAGTAATTGTATCAGATAACCCTCCCAACCCAACCCTGCATAGTATGTAGGTAGCCGAATACCAATCAATACCAAAATACCAGGGAACCACTTCTTTGGGCTGAAATGTGGCCAAGGTATTTGTAAAATGTAAACGTAGTAGGTGTAGGCCTCTCAACGATGAGAGAGCAACCTCAAATAGGGGACACACCCATTTGTTGCAGGTCTTGTGGTTGCATTTGCATCAGACTGACTTCACTGTCATTAGTCAACATAGAAGATGCACCTATTATGATTCATTTCACCTTATTAGATAAGTGATTCTCAACCTTTTTGGTGTCAAGGACCCCCATATTGATACACATCAGGCTGCAACTGTCATTCATAAAATGTAGTCTGATAAGTTTTATTGGTAGATTAACAATAAAGAGTGTTAAACCTATGAGCAGAATAGCCATTCTTATATGTTCTCTCATTAGGCTAACTTTTAGCCAATCAAATAATACTAAAATTAAAATATTCCCCCTTTTCTGGGGACCCCTTCAAGCGCCCTAGAGGTCTCTGGACCCCAGCGGATTTGTGGTTTAAAAAGTAGTTCATTACTTAATTACTTCCCTCTGCTTCCATTAAAACCTGTATACATAGATTCACTAAATGAACCATAAAAAATGTGAAATACTTGTCTAAAGCAGTACTGGGGTCAAACCACCACTAATAAAGCTGTGTCCTTAATTCCCACCTCTACTGCAGGGTTTATGGAGGGGAGGAGTGAATCATGCCAGGGGGAGGAAGAGTGAGTAGAACTGGAATACATAGACACACCCAGTCCAACATAGTGTGAGAGACATACAGAGTAATGAGCCTGTGTGAAGCAATAAGAGGGTGTGGCTTTTTTAGTCAGGGAGAACAGATAAGCTGAGTTTGCCTTGTAGAGAGAGGCAGGAGTCACAATCCTGAACAGACAGACGTTTTACGTTCACTCTGCTGGGTTTTGCAAGGATCCAGCTGCACATTCAAACTCACTCTCTGCCTCTCTCGTGTGCACTCTTTCAGCGGTCTGAAGCAAAAACTTGGAGGGGAAGCAACTTTCAGCACAGAGAAGGAAAAAAACAAAACACTAGAGGACAGCTCAAAAAAAAATCTACAGCACACAGCCATGAAGGACAAAGTGAGGAGAGGGGGAGGAAGACATCAGGCCAAGACTGGTGAGAAATCACTGCCATGTGTTTTTCTTTTCTTTCTCGCACTCTGTGTCTCTCTTTTGCACTTTCCTCTTCCTTCTTTTTTCGGTGTGGTGCCTCCCTCGCTACAGAATGTGAGGAGGGTGGGACATTTAGCACTGCACTGCTGCTCTGAACATGGCTGGTGCCTTTCTCCGCTTGCACACATTCTTTGACCACTTGGAGAATCTGCTGCGCACTTTTAACTTTTATGGTGAATGTATTCACGCAGACACTGAAATCAACCTGAAATCTCCAGAAGAAACATAAATTCTCAGTTATGATCCTTTAAGGACAACAAATATCTTTTATTTAAATCTCTGTCTACAGCTTCTTTTCCTGTTCACCCACGATAAAAAAACCTCCCACCTACTTTTTGAAGTTCCAACCATCTAATCTACCTTATTGCTTCTCCTCTGCCACAATCTCAAGTGGGCCTTTCAACCTATTCTAACCTCTGCCACTCCCCTCTGTCAGAATGATTGATTTAAGGAAGAGTGTGTGTTAGCACATCTTCAGATGACATTGCCCTGAGGTGTTTATACCTCCACAAAAGAGATGCAGATCTGTGGGCACAGCCTTATGATTGACAGGTTATGCCACTCTGAGGAACTCATTTAAATACATTGACAGCTATATTTATGTGGCATTAATATAGGATTAATTTGAAAGGTATTCTACCTGCTTGTGTAGTTTGTGATATTGGTATGGTGCCAAAATAAACCTGTCAGGGCTGAAAACAATGCTGTTTTCTGTAGTAGTAAAATACCAGCTCCAATAGGAAAGACGCTAATGGCTCCAAGCCTGCAGAGAGGAGGGACCTTCTTTCAGCCAATCATGAACAGAGAAGCTTTTTTTTTTTGGGTGCTTTCCAGTGGTAAAGTAGTCCCAGATTGACAGCAATAACTGGGGATTTATTGTAGAATGAACAGCCTTAAAAGAGGAGTGCAAAGTGAACTACTTTGCTGTGTACAGGTTTAGAGATGTTGTATGTACAAGATCTTCACGCATCCCTGCATGTAAGCACACTCTACTGCCAAGCTATAGGTTTGTTAGTTTATGTGTTTTAGCATTGTGTTGCCTCCACATGCCAGCACTGGGTGTGGTTGTCCCTTCACCCTCAGATGACATGAAGGCAAGCAGGCAAATTCAACAGGTTTAGTCACACTGCTGGTTGAGGAACACGCTGGGTCCTGTACTCCCTCTGGTTCTGCTTGTTAAGGGTAGACACACCCCACTTTCCCTTTATTTGACATTTTCTTGCATAAATTCACTCTTACCCTCAGGCACTCTCACACACACTGACTCTTCAGTCCAGCTCATGATAATTTCAGAGAAGATTAGTGGTCTGTCTGGATTCTGCGGCAAAGAACAGAAGTTGAACATAATAAGTCATGATTGTAGTTCATTTATTCTTTCATTCAGTGATTCATGCATCTTCTGTAACAGTGCAAGTCTTTTCAGAGTCATAGTGAGCTGAATACAATCCCAGCGTGTAATGAGTGGTAGACAGGAAAACAATGGAAACTATTTTGCTTGTTCAGTGCAGGAGTCTGTGATTATCCTCAGTTAGTTTTGTTTCTCTGATTTCTCCTTCAAACAGATGCCATCGGCCTGACTGGTGGAAAGGATGCCGTTGGTATGAAGCAAGATGAGGACACATCATTCCCTGTAAAGATCCAGGGGGCAGGAGTAGAGCCATTTGAGCTGCAGGTACAAAATTGTTTCATCTCTGTTCCCTCTTATTCTTTTAAATAATAAGACTTGACAAGTGATGGAAACTAACAGTCATAGCTGAGACTATATATTAAAAACAACTCATGTTCTTCTATCTGTATTATGGATGTGTTTTTCTACGTGTTAGTGTATTGTATTTTCTGTCAGTGTGAATGTAATCTGCAATACTCTATGTCCTCTTATATATTTCTGTGTATTGCAAGGACTACCCTCATATAATTCTTATAATGAGCATGTTTATAATCTTTATTTTGGCATTCATTTCAGTCTTAAACCATGTGTCCATGTGTAGGTCCATGGATTTTGGCTTGTTCAGGATGCAGTAATGAATCTGCTTTCAAGGGAGGAAGTGTGCCCACGTTCCAACTTGTCACTGGCATTTGCTGGCACGACTCTGGACCCCCTGGCAGAACTACAAAGCCTCAAAGGTCTTAAACCAGGGGCCATCCTCCGCCTGGTGGAAGGTATTGGCATTGAGGGTTTTTTTTTATTATCAGGAGTTGTCCGAAGGATTTGTTGGGTTCCCTGAGAAAACTGACTCTCTATTACAACTTGGACTTTAATGTTATTAATTGTGCATCTTTAACAGCATAACTCTTACTCATATTACTTTTGACACAGTTGTTAGAAATCTTACTTATAGCTTTTTAACAATAATAATAAAGTTCTGTAATGAAGCTTATACTGTACATCATTAACTTGTTGTCTGGCCTTTAAACACTAAGATCTAAGTGCATTAATGCTTTAATTATTAATCATAGAATCAGAATATGTGAATAGCATAATCCTGTCCATGTTTTCATCACACCCATCACCCTTTCCCTTTCACACACACTTAAATTTCTCTCAGCTCAATGTAAATAGCTGACTCACCTTTTCTGAGTCATAACAAGGTTTATAGTTGCAGAGATTACGGCTGTGTGCCAACCAATTAGACTGTTACTCACTGGCTAGCTGTTGAAATACTGAAACAAACTATCATGCAGTGCAACTGTTGTTAGGTAAAGTATATACCTTGTCAGGTTGATGTCTATGAGAATAAAAACAAAATAACAAAAACGTTCATTTTAAGCGGGTTATGGCATCCTAGAATAGAGTCTTTGTCCTGTGCATACTGGCTGTTTAAGGAGGGTTGTTCACAGTTTCATAAAGGTCAGTGTAACCTTTATAATAACACTGTGTGTCTTTCCAGAACCCTACACTGCCCGCTCAGCCCGGCTCCATCTGGCTCGTGTGCTGGAGCTGCTGAGAGCATCTGGACCTCAGGATGCACTGAGAGAAGGACGCTCACCAAGCATCCTGGAGACACTCACACATACACAAACACCAGGTACACACACATACCGTGCACTTGGACAAAAGGGTAATAATACAAAGATTAAAAAATAACAATCAAGCTCACACTGAAATCTCCCTTTTTTATTGCTGGTGCAGACCCTAGCTCACCCAATGGAAAGAGCCTGAAACGCTCTTTAAGCAACACGAAAACAGAAGCAACCAACCAGGATGGAGGTCCTCCTGAGTACCTCCTCCCTGGTTCCTCAGAGAGGCCACTCTCTGCCGTGCTACCACAGAGCTCCCAACCTGAGGTGCGTACATACCTGGAATCATGTTTCACATTGGGCCATCCCATAATGCACCCAGACACGGTGTGACTTTATATTTGTCTCATCAGACGCCCAGCTACTTGAAGGACTTGTCTCTCAGCTGCTGGAACCCTCCACCAGGACACAGAAAGCTGCAGGGTGACTTCTTGTACATCACTGTGGTGACAGTGGAGGGACGACGGTTTAACATCACATCCTGTCCAAAAGGTTTCTTTCTCAATAGGTAAGAAATAACTTCATGATATTAAGTCGAACTATTCTCTTGATAATTGCAATACATTGTTGTAGATAATATAGGATGATGATGATAACGAACCCTTCTGTCTGAGTAACTTTGCATAATTATTCATAATTATTCTTCATCTCAGGTCTACAGAAGATGTGTTTGATCCTCGTCCTGCACAGTCTTCCCCAGTTTGTCACAGTTTCACTGACGTACTCTGCCACATCAGTCCTGCCTTCAAACAAACTTTTAGCAGACTCAAAAACAGGTAACAATATTACCTGTGCATAAAGGACGAATCAGTACTACGATATTTTACCAAAATCCTAATAGTGGTGAAGTGTATATCCCAAATTCAAGTCATAATATTGTAAACTGTTGCTGTCTCTTTCTTCTTTTAGAACTCTGTTACCTCCAGTAGAAGTGCTGCCCACTCCTTACCACACACTAAGCTGGCTCGGGCCTCCCTGTGCGTCTCGCACTCACAAAAAAACCTTCAGCAGACTGGGAGTGGATGAGCAGCCGGAGACACAGGTTATTTACAAGACAGCTTAGTTATTTGTTGCTACTTGTTGCGCTGCGCGCTAAGTGTGACTATGTGTGCTTTGTATAGGCTCCAGACTGGAATGAGGAGTTGCAAGCAGCCAGAGATCTTCCACTTGGCAGTCTGGAGGAGAGGCTGCAGAGAGACAGGGCTCTGCTCCAGGTAGCAAAGAACAACAGGACAATTAATCAGCTTTTTTTGTTCACTCAGCTTCTCCTCCTCTCACCTTGACTCGTACCTGTTTTCTCAGGTAAACAGTGCATTTGTCAAGGCTGTGTCGCAGGGGGCTGAGACTGTTGTAGACGGCTTTGTTGAGCCAGTGAATGGAACACCTGAAGACCCAGCTTTCCTGTGGGGTGGACTGTTCATGAGCCAGGGGGCAGCAAGTGCAGTGTTTGGTGGGGAAAGGGGTCGCAGGTGAGAGCAAACCACAAGTCCAATGGCAACATAGATGTAAAGCCATTTGATATTAATTATATTCTTGCTGTAAAGGATTCCCAAAGGACATGTTGGCTTATAAGAGCCTGACTTTTAGAGTGTCATTGTTTTGGCACAGATTATTTAAATGTTCCCTCATCCTCTACCTGCAGGGCTGCTCAGAGGCTGGAGCTTAAAGGAGTACAGGCCTACAGTAACATCGAGGGGCTACAGGGGCTGCACACTCTACCTACAGCCATTGTAGACTACAGAGGAGTGCGCCTGTCTGCTCAGGGTCTGGCCCCAGGCTTGGAAGGCTCAGAGCAGGACCAGGGAACTGCTCCTGCCTCAAGGTACACCCATTCTTCCACAATCCACTGTGGTAGAGGTGTGAGGCTGACATCTTTGTGAATTTTCTTCTAATTGTCTTACAATCTACAGAGGCTTGATGTACGGGGTAAATGCAGGACCTCAAGAATCCCCCCATCGCAGACGACTACTAGAACTCTTGGCTCAAGCTGCCAAGTCTCTTTGTCTCCAGAGACATGTTGTTGTGACGTCCAACAGTCACCAGGTACCACTGTTCACCTCAGTGGATGCTCAGGGACTGCTGGGGGCTGATGGGAGGTTCTACATACTGGATGTGTTCAGGACCTTCCCAGCTGATGCCAACTTCTGTCCAGAGGGGGAGACAGAAAGTCAGTCAGTCACCGGAGAAGAGGAGAGTAATAAAAGCTGTGAGGAGGACGAGGAGAAGAAGGGCTGTGTAAAAGAAGGCTGGCCAGAGAATTATCACTCAGACTCTGGGCTGCCAAAGAGTTTTGTTCATGGACTTTGTAGACTGAAGCCAGAGCTGGTTCTGGCCTTTATCCAGCACAAGTAAGTTCTGCATAAAATAAACCACTTTTAAACTTAATTATTAGTTTTTCCACAAAGTTGAAGTTTTTTTCTTCTTCTCCTTTTAGACACTGCCAGTTCACTCAGCGTGTCAGGGAGATGTTGGACGAGAATGGAGGCTTTGAAGAATGTGCAACAGCTGGTAAGAAGTGTTTTAGTAGATCTAACTGAATGGAAACCAAAAGTGTAATTCATACAAGCAGAACTTTGGCCATATTATACCCTAAAATATACTACTTTCAGGTGACTCTCGAGCCACTGAGGCCGTACGAGCTGCCTGTAAAGAAGTGGGCTCAGTTAGCAACATCATCTTTGAGATGCGCTTCAACTCAAGCGTCTTCTCTCCAGGTATCATAAGAAACTACACACACACACACACACACACACACACACACACACACACACACACACACACACACTAATATACACATAGTCGGACCTTGTGCTAGAACACAATATGAACGTCTCATGCTTTGTGTTCAGGAGTGTCCTTCCCTCCTGGTGAAAGTAAGTCAACAAAGCTGCAGGAGAGGTTACTGAGGGAAGCTGCAGCTTTCATCATCACACACCAGATACCAGCCTTTGTAAGTGGATCCATTGTTTACATGCTATAATAGGCACATTTACTGCAAACATGAAACAAGCACAGCACTGTATATGTGTGTGTGTGTGCAGGTGGAGTATTGTCTACAAAGCAACGAGGCAGCAATGGATGGAGCTTCTTTAAAACAGGGGCTACACCAGAGAGGCATTAACCTCCGGTATCTGGGCCATGTGATTAAGGCCATCAGCCAGTCAGAACACAAGGAGCGCCTGAGGCATATAATGGTGTGTTTGACTTACAGCATAATCAAACTTAAAGCAGTCTTGATGATATAATCACTCTCCTAACCTTCTAACGTCCCTATTTCTGTCCAAACCAGAGACTGGTCATAGGAGAAATTTTCATCCGCTCAACAAGACGAGTGTTCAACAGTTTCCTCCAGGTACTTAGTATTCTGTTATTCCTATTTGTTGTTATAATGTTTGCACACCTTTGAGTTAGGCGGTGAACTAGCAGCAGGTGTGCGTCCACACACTCCAAAAATAATTAACTGCAGCCTCCGGTTATGTCTTCGCAGGGTGTGGATGTGCCAAGTCTCTCTGCAGCTGTCAGTCACTTCCTCTGCTGCCTTTTGGTTCCCCACTTCACGCCCACGCCTGTGGGAGAGGACACTAAAAAGAAGTCAAGGCGGCGTGGCCGAGGGGCAGGGGCCTCTGAAAGCACGCCCTGGAGCACGCTCACAGGGGCTGAGCTGTGGAACCTGGTCTGCCAGGATGCTGTTGAAACATATGACATCTCTGACAGCCTCGGGTGAGAACAGATCTATTGTTTGTTCTCACCTCATGTCTGTTAGTTCTGCAATAGCTCCAACTTAGAATAACCATAATTTTTCACTGCACCAGCTCCGGTCCGAGCCACCTGGTGGACCGCTATGGCCTTCAGAAGCTCTCTTTACTTAGAGAGTTCTGTCTGAAGACTGGAGTGCAGGTAACAGACATGTGAAATATATCAAAATTCAGTGTGTTATTAGTCACAAGAGCAATTTAAAAAGATATATATTTGTAGTATTTTAACACTAAGTTGTAATTGCAAAATTATCTGCCAGATAAAATCTTGAAAAGAGATGCTGTTTGTTCTGTCTACACCAGTTGAGACTGAGAGACTACTTCCTCGACAACCAAAATAAAGCTCCCATTGGTCCAGACGACGTCCTCAACATCTTCCCCATCGTCAAGCACGTTCACATGCCAACTGTGGATGCTTCTACAGCACACCGTGCTGCACAGACCTCCATTCAGAAAGGTGGGTCAATAAAGCTGGGCACTTAACAGACGCTGCAGATTCGTCTATCTGTTATCTCGTGTTCAGTGTGTGTTTTTCAACAAAATCTAAATGAAAGGTGAACTGTGTGTTTCCCCGCTTCAGGCCTGCTGGATCAGGCCCATGAGCACCTGAAAGAAGCATCTTACCTGTTTGGTCGAGTGTGCGATGACCTACACCCTGAGGCCTGTTACTGCCACAGCATGTTAGCCAAGGTGGCCTTCATGCAGGGGAAGGCAGCTGAGGTATGCTAACTGCCTCACAACTTTTTACAGCTACATTAATACAGTTTGCATTGGTAGAAAGTAAGCAAATGCATTTCTGTGAAGTACTGTATGTAAGTACATTTTGAGGTACTTGTACTTTACTATAATTATAACAATTACAGTTGAGAGAGAAATTTAGTTTTTTACTCCGCTACATATCTGACAGCTTAGTCAGAAGTCGCAGAAGATTTTAAATGCAGTTAGCTTATAAAATATCATAACACATCGAAAATGGCTGCATAATTACTTTTCATACTGTAATTACATGGTTCTGATAATACTTTTAAGTGTGATGTTGAATACCGGACCTTTAGTGGTTGTGTCGTATGTTTAAGTAGGGATATTGCTACCTCTAAGTAAGTAGTCTAAAGGACTTGTGGTTGCAACAGTATACTATGTACATTTGTTTATTGGTATTGAATTCTACAATGTTGGTAAAGTAATATTTAGTAGAATTATAATAAGCATTTGTTCAAACAACTCCTCTATTCCTCCTTTGGTCATTGTACCCAATAATAATAATAATGTAATACCGCATGTGATATTTTCTGAGATGGTTATGGTATGTCCATTATTCTACTTTATACTACTTTTATACACAACGCTGGCCATTGTCATCACTGTGTCTTTCTCTGCTCTTAAGGCTCGCAGTGTGCAGCTGAAAGCAGTGGTCATCAGTGAGAGAGTGCTCGGCTTTGACCATCCAAACACCATCCAGCAATATGTGAGTATAGCTACACATTTCTCTCTGACGTTCTACTGGAAATCAAAACCCATGGCTCCATAACTACTTAGTTTGTATGCACTGTGTCATGTGGGTAGCGGGTGATTATAATATTTTTGTTTGTTGTATGTAGGCCCTCTTGGGTGTGTATGTGTTTGCTGGTGGGGAGACTGCCCTGGCCCAGAAGTGTCTCCTCAGAGCTCGTCTGCTAGCGTTAACCATCCACGGAGAGGACCATCCCTACATCGCAACACTGGATGTAGGTTACAACACCTTGGTGTTAAACCCAAGCACAGAACAAGGCTTTTCACAGTAGCATTCTAAACACTTTATGACATTTTTTTTCTGGCAGAGCTGTCTTGGGTTGGTGCTAACAGGAGATCAGGCAGGGCAGTACTTAAACAACGCCCTCAGACTCAACACTTCCTTCTTCGGCCCCACAAATGTGCACACTGCATTTAAGTAAGATGTTATTTCCAGTTTGCAGCCACTGTATCAAAATGTATTAAGTTTACTTTGATCTATTTTGTCCCCTTTTCCAACATCATCACCTTTTCTCTCTGTGGTTTATTATTTGCGCAGTCAGCACCTGTTGGCCCAGTGGATGTGTAGCAAGGGTGACTACCGAAGTGCTATGACCCACGAGAAAGAGGCCCTCACTGCTTTTACCTCCTTGGTCAGTATATCTGCTAGAGAGAGAGCAAGAGATAAGTGGATTGATTGTGTGTGCACATCATCATCATCATCATCATCATCATTATTTTCTTTCTCAGTTTGGAGTGGATCACTCTCAGACATGCTACAGCAAAGAGTTTCTGTGCACCATAACCAAGCAAGCGGTGAAGGTGGAACGCTCTCTCAGACAGGCAGGAGCTGACTGCATGGAGCAATCAGTGGAGGTAATGTGGTGTCTTATACCATTAACCTCTTTGAATCTTACAAAGAAAAGGGAAATGTGTGTTTATTAATCTCTCTCTGTCCCCTCCCGTCCTCAGTGTCTAACTCCCACAACTGACACTTTGCTGGAGCAAATGGTTCTGGTGACAGGGATCAGGAGGATTACAAAAAGGTAAATATTCACCGTAATATACAATGCCATACAATACAATATGATAGGCCTAAAACTAGTTGAATTTGAAGCACTGTGTTGATGCTGAAATGTAGCTTGACCAATATTGGATTTTTAAAGCTGACACAATATCAAAAACTTTAAAAGTCAATGTATTGTATTGTATTATATATATATGTATTTTTTTTTTTTTACACATAACATAAACAAATATTCTTGATAAGGATCCCTCAACTGTCTTTATTTAAAGGTCCAGTGTGTAAGATTCAGGACACTCTATTGGCAGAAATCGTGTTACCTTAGAATGAGCAGAATGGACAAACCAAACACTTGCTGTAGAAAAGTGATACTGTTTCGAACATGTTTTGGCATTTCCTCAATGTTGTCTTGTTGCTTATCAGCCAACAAATACACAAATACTTTTATATCTGTGATGAGTAAGATCAGCCGATATTTATCAGTCTAGCTCTAAACGTACCACAAATTTCCATAAATGATAATACATATAGATGATTTTATAACCCTCTAAAAGGGGCTGTTCTTCATTATGGGTACCTTTTTACTTTTGATTTTGTTAAGTCAAAAGAGTCTCATTCATTCATTGTTTTTACAGTGACAGGTTTCAGGAGTACAAGAAGAAACACATGGAACTAAAGGCAGCTGTGGCAAAAGAACTGGGATTCAATCTACCCAACGAGCCTGTCGTCTCAGAGACTGTGGACGGGGGAGAGAAAAGCTCAGATCTAGAAACAGGATGCGGGAAGGAAGCTGAGGCCGGAGGAAGCCCTGCAGTGGAGAATACCAGCGAGGGCACACAGGAGCAGCCAGTGGAAGAGACCTTGGTGGAGGGGGCCGCCGTAGTTTCAGCTAACGGTCATGTGGTGGAGACAGCCGAACAGAACCAGCACGAGGAGAAAACAGACCGTGAGAACGGTGACAGAGCAGCTTCAGATACTGAGGTCAAGATAGTGAATGGGGAGTCAGAGGTCGGGGCTACAGGAGAGAAAACCGAGACTAGCACAGCCAATGGGGAGATAAAATCTGATGCAACAGCAGATGGGAGGAAGTCAGGGTCAGATAAGGTTAATGGTGAAATAAATGGAGCATTTGACATCAACGCTAGCCCAACAGTCCTGAAGAGTAAGGGAACCTGGGCAGATGTTGTTTCAAAATCTGCTGTAGTCAATGGAAATAAAGACACAGCAGTCAATGGAGTGGCAGATAATGTTGCTGCTAATGGAGTAGCCGAGGAGTGAAAACATATCAAACTGAAAAACTGTTTTGTAGCCAACTTTTTCTGAGTCACTGCTGTAAGATTGAACTCTCTCAGGATCTTAGATGTAATTTGATCCAATGAACGTGAAGAAATAACAGAGGGTCAGATGATGAGTATTACTTTGTGTTGGAGATGTTGTTGCTGATGCTGGGAGAGGGCTGTAACTGTAGAGTGCTATTTTCTTTTTTTCCTACAATAAACTTTTTACTCTGGTTTACCAGTAGTCTTGCTTTTTTCCCAATTCAGTTCAGCTTTTATAGCACCAAATCATAACAGATGTTATCTCAGGATAGTTTTCATATAGCACCAGTCTATTTATTTATTTAGACTCAAGAACTCATATGTATTTAAAAATGATATGTTATGATAACTGGCCTGTCTGTCTCTCTCTCTCTCTCTCTCAGACAGACGACCCCCACCTAGCCAGGATCTGTCCTAGGTTTCTGCCTTTTAACAGGCATTTTCCTTGCCCTTGTCCGTGCTTGCTCATGGTGGTACTGTTGGGTCTCTGTAATTAATGTTAAGTTCGGTCTGACCTGCTCTATTTGAAAAGTGTCCTGAGATAACTTCTGTTATGAATTGCGCTTACAAATAAAATTTAATTGAATTGAATTGAATATGATTCTATTAATCACCAAAGCATGATTCAGATACAAACAATCTTATTTAATTAAAAGAAAAAAACTGAGACATTGTTCAGTCAACGATAAACAGCCCAAAGTGGAAAAAATATATTTGAAAAATAGAAAACAGTTTCATAAAATCATACTATTAGTTGCACTAACAACTACTGAATCTTAAAATGCAAACACAAGAAAAAACACCAGCAAGACCCATTTATTTAAAATGTTGTAAACATACCATAGAGTTTATTCATCTTCCAGCCACTGATATGGTCCATAAGATATGAGTGGAAATCAGTGTTTTTTTTTTTTTAAATGTAAGTTAAAAGTTACATTTTTACTGAAGGTATTACTCTGGAAATCAACATATCATTTCAAAAAGTAAGTTCCAAGAAAGAGAAAATGTTGGAAAACCAGAGAGGTGCATGCCCCACGTGGTGAACAATGTAGCATTCACTAATGTTTTTTTCATAAAAACATAAAATCACACCAGTAGACACGGATGCTGTAAAAAGGAGAAAGCTAGTTTGTCAGCTTCTTGTATTATAAAGGTTGTTCTGCAGGAAGGTTTGGTATAACATAACTCTGACAAAACACAAAGCAGAGTAAATGTTTTTTTGTACTGCATTACCTGCCGTGTATCATCTAATTAAAGCAGATTTGAAGCCCTTTTAAGCAGGTTGATTTTCGTATTTCTGTAACTGAACACAACTGTGGTGTTTCACTGCCCTCACTGGTTGAACGTTTCAAGTCTGTTTCAACTCTGACCACACCCAGATTCACTGACGGCTGTGAACAGTGCACAACAGAAAGTGCTTTGATTTACCCGTAACTGTACCAAACAGGGATGTCACATTGTCCTGGAGTACACGTGTACATCACTGCAGCGAGGTCAGAAATTAAACCACTGGAGGTCACTAAAACAAGATTTTCAGGGGGTGTTAAGAACTGGTCCAAGAAGGTAAACTGTATACTGTGATTCAGTATTATGAGTTCAACCAGGGTTTATTTTGTCTCAGCTCTGCGTTTCCCTCAAAATAATTTCCAAATCAGGGCAGTGCTGGTACTGTGGTTCAGGCGGTTCTGTCCAGGTGGATTGTGGGAGTCTGTTAAGGCCACTGGTAGGAAAGGTGATGACTGCTGTGTCGCTGAAGACGTCAATCAGTCGGGACGGACAAGGCAGCTGTCTCTCCTCACACAAAGACAAAGCTTGAGTAATGTAGCTGTAGTCCTGCTTGAACTCCCTCTCGATTGTCCTGTTGGGACGACAGACAGGAAACGTCACCTCACCTCTCATTTCTCCCTCCCTCCCTCCCTCCCTCCCTCCCTCATTTTCCCCTCATTGATGTCTTGTACAAACCTTTCCCTCATGCCATTGAAGCTGTTTCCAATGATAATCGTGAGAGGAAGACATTGTGTACTCCAGTTCTTCCACAGAAGGTTGTTGTACAGGGCTTTCCCACAATGCATCAGGTAGAAGAGTGTGGGCTTAGTCGCCAGACGCTTCCCCTCCTGCACAATACAGTGAGACAGATGGCCGTTGTTTTTGCATTGATTTCCTACCTTCCGGGCAGCCGTAAGTTATGAAAATCAACCTGCAGTGACCTGAAACCTGCTTGACATAAGTCATCTTAACTTCTATAACTGTTTTATGTTAATTAATTATTTGCATTAATGTGCTAAAAGGAATATTTCAACATTTGTGATTTGAAAATCTGCCACCGAACAGCAACTTTTAAATGCAATAATCCACAAACTTTCTGGATCTGAATTTCTGACAGAAATGCTGAGGGTTGCTCGCTCTTCAGTAGCCGACTCTGAAATCCACAACAATGGAAGACTTAACAAAACACTCTGCACATACAGCTCAGTCGCTGCGTTACAATATCTCTGAGTTTCTAGTCTCTATAAATGTTTTTTTTTTATGCTGTCTAATAAAGAATCTAAAGAGTTTGATTTAAAAACTACAAGCAACTTGGTAGAACTGTTAAGTAATTGTTATTGTATTGTCCTAAATGCTGCAACGTTCTGGCACAATCCACTTGTTCTCTGCACTGTACACCTGCTAACTGTTTTTCACTTGTCTGACAGGATTAAAATAAAACAATTACTGACCTCATTTTCTGTGAGTACAGTCAGACCCAGCTCTTTCAAAACATCCCTCTCTCCAGAGGAGAATGCAGGGTCATAAACAGAGCAGTCCTTGAGTGGAACCTAAAGGCAGCGGAGCGGTGAGACAGAGTTTATAATAAACAGGGTCTCATCATGTGGAGTGTTTGTTATCTCACTGGATAAACATATCTTCTAACCTCTCCTGCATCCAGCAGCAGCAGCAGCATGGCCAGTTGGTAGCGAGCTGAGACACAGGAGGAAAAAGAGCCAAGGCCATAACACACACACTCCAGTTGTTGTCCATCTCTGCTCCTCCCCAGCTGGTCGGTGGGACCCTCAGTGTCCCTGTTCTCTGGAGGTTGTGAGAGGATTGCTGATCCTGCCTCCAGCAGCTGCTCTAAACACAAGAATCCTAAAAAGGTCACCGAGCTGCAGGCTAAATAACACCACAGCCAGACACATTATGTGGTGATACCTTCACTTTCCACTCACCTTTCCACTCCGGCCAAAAGTCCTCGCATCTTAGCTCAGACCTATAGAGGGGGGAGCAAAGTTACAGGACTTATTACCACTTATTTGTGCACAAGCATGTCGTGAAAATATGCATCCACCTGCAAAAACAATGATATCACAGGACTCAGCTACGTACACTGTGTCTCTGACTCGTTTTACAGTTTTCCCGACGTCCAGCTGCTCCTGGCTGCATGTTGAATTTGAGGACACCTGAAGTGGTTTTGATTTCCGCGCTGCGCCTTTTCGTCGCCGGGCAACCTGCCACTCGTCCCCGGTGTCCGACATCTAAACTAATTCACCGGGTCCCCATGTACACAGACACGGACATAACAATGTAGTTCCTTTATTTAATAAAGTCCTAATTAAACTGCTGCCTTGGGGTTGGCGAGGCTGCAGCAAATGGGACATTTTAGAGTGTAACACACGCGTTTCCTCTTCCGGTGTGTCAAACGTTGTTTACCGTGGTGTATTCTTGTGTCTAACTTACAGCTCGACGTAGTGAAGAGGGGAATTTAAAAAATTACTATTTATTTTTGACAAAAGTTGTGTTTTTAGACACTCTCAAAGTGCTTTTGTGTTTAATAGATGCGCAAGGGAAAGACATTTTTCGAGGTACACTATTTGGTGTAACACCGGCCGGCAGTTGCTTCGACAACCGGAAGTACACAACGTGAAGCTATCCGGCGTTAGCACGATTACTTTTGATTACTACCACAGGAGAATGAATGCCTACTTAATCTTTGTGTAGTCGAATAAACAACGTTTCAGGTGAGTTGTATAAAACAGGTTTTTCTTTACACGTCAAGTTTTTTTTTTTCGGGGGTAAAACGAGCAGTTTACGTCAACTAACGATAGCATTTGCTAATACATGTTAGCACGTCTTAATGTGGGCTTTCTCATTAATATTGATTAGCTATCGTCCAACGATAACGGTGATTGTTGTTGACCTGATGTCTGGGCAAGATACAACGTTAATTACCATGTGATCGTAACCACAAAGCATTCAGAATAAAGAGGTTTGACGTAAATAAATACCGACTTAATAGTTACTTACTATAGATTTCTTCACCAGCTTTCGACCACCTGTCGTGACTTTTATTAGCAGGTAGTTTCCTCTGTTGTTATATCTCTGGATGTACCTTTTTATGATTTTAAGTTTTCACACTACCCTACTTATTATTAAATTGTGATATCCAGAGATGTCCATGTCCCATCTGTATGGACGGAGAGAGGAGGAGGAGGAAGGTGTGGAGGTGGAGAGCTTTGAGGTGACAGACTGGGACCTGGCCAATGAGTTCAACCCTGAACGCCGCAGACACAGGCAGACCAAGGACCAGGCCACCTATGGCATCTGGGCTGACAGAGACTCGGATGAGGATGAGAGGCCTAGCTTTGGAGGCAAGAAGTAAGGCATGGGTTTATGTTTGTTACTGCCCCTGATGTCTTGAAGTATGCTTCTGTCGTATGTGTTTCCCTCTCAATTTAACCTCTCCCCAACCGGTTACCTGCTACTCCTAACCTAAGCCCTAACCCCACAAATCAAACAGGAGGAGAAACCCTATTCAAAAGGCAACAGACTTAGATGAAAATACCCCAGCTTTGTTATCCCAAGAGGAATATTTAACAGAAACACCAACGTCTGCTTTTTTAAAAAAAATCAATTATTAACAGAAGTCAATTGTTGTGGGGGGTTTTTTAGATCAAAAGACTACACTGCTCCGGTGAACTTTGTGAGTGGTGGTCTGCGTAAGAGTGCAGCTGAGGAGAAACAGTTCCAGCAAAAAGAAGGAGGCTCTGATGACTCTGATGATGATGGTCCTTCAGCGCCTCCCCCACCTCGCAGCACTGCACCCAAAAAACTTCAGATGGTAAATTTTGTTGCACATTTGTTCTTTACTCATTACAGTGTATTCTCTAATTGTTTTTTTAGTTGTTCTTCTTGTTTTTATAAAAAAAACTAATTGTTTTTGTTTTTCCCAGGGTAATTTTCGGGGGAACCAGTCTCAGAGGTTTGCAGGTGGCATACAGTCTGGTAAAGGCATTGGAAGCTGGGAGAAGCACACAAAGGGAATTGGACAGAAACTTCTTCAGAAAATGGGCTACCAACCAGGCAAAGGCCTGGGAAAGAATGCTCAAGGTGGGTAGGCTTGAGACTAAGTTATTGAGATGTTTGGTAACACTGTATGTTTTACAAGAGCAGCAGAGTAGAGTTGATATAATCTGACCATGCACCCTTTTATTGCTGCAGGTATTGTAAACCCCATTGAGGCAAAGATTCGTAAAGGCAAGGGAGCAGTAGGTGCTTATGGCAATGAGCGTACCAAGCAGAGTCTTCAGGATTTCCCTGTGGTCGACTCAGAGGAAGAGGAGGAAAAGGTAAAGTGTTGTACAAAGAATGTCTTTGTCTGCTTCTTCCAGATACACCCGTTGTTACGTTGTATAGATAAAGTTATATAATAGAGCCTGTCAACATTATTTCGACATTTTTCTCAATTTCTGTTTGTGTAGGAGTTTCAGAAGGAGCTAGGCCAGTGGCGTAAGGATCCCGCAGGCCCTGGAGGAAAGAAGAAACCCAAGTACTCCTACAGAACTGTAGATGAGCTGAAGGCTAAAGGCAAGCTGGCAGGGCGCAGCACAGTGGCATCCGCTGGAGAGCTAGCTCAGGTCAAGGTATGTTTGAAAAGACTTATTAATTGAGACGCATTAACACTCCTTTGCATCGGTCTCACAGGAATGTTATCAAGGCACCAGGACTATAATCCACACTTCTTACATTAAGCTGTAATGTTGTAGTAAGCTTCATGAACCTAAGTTAATTGTACTTTTACACTCAGTACAAGCCCTTGTGGATGTTGTTATGTGGATGTTATATGAATGTAAGCACATGGTCCGCTGCCATTATTGTCTCTGAATCTCATTTACCCCATATCTCTTCCCATCTCTAGGTAATAGATATGACTGGAAGGGAGCAAAAGGTATATTACAGTTATAGTCAGATGTCCAACAAGCACAGTGTTCCAGATGAAGGTCCACCAAGCTTGTACACTCAGGATCAGAAGGGATCTGGCTTTGCTCTCCCTGAACTTGAACATAACCTGCAGCTACTGATAGACCTTACAGAACAGGACATATTACAGGTATGAGGGAACCAAATATGCCAAAAATATCTTTGATTTTATGTTGTTGTGGTTTCTACAAGTTTTCTATTTACCACTCTGCTGCTTCTTTTTCTGCCACATGTTGACATGCTTTCTCCTTTGCTATCTTATTACCACCTTGAGTAGTCTGCCAGACGTTTGCAGCATGAAAAAGACGTGGTTGTGTCTCTGAGCCATGAGTCACGAGCACTGCAGAGCAGACTGGATGCAGAGCACGACGCCATCCAGAGAATGGAGGCCGTTCTGGCATTGGTGGAGCGCTTTCCTTCCGGGGAGATGGCACCAGGGGAGGGACCCACCCTGCAGGTGCATACACAGTGGACACTGACAACTACAATTGTCAGGCTGTTTCAGTTTGTCAGTCCTTACTCTGTTGTCACATCCATATAGTTAATTGTTTTGGCGCTTTCCCTCTCTTTCTTCAGGAGTGTGCTCGGATCTTTGAGACTTTACAGACAGACTATTATGAAGAGTACAAGACAATGGGATTGGCAGACTTGGCTGTAGCTGTTGTTCAGCCGTTACTCAAAGAGAAACTTCGTTCCTGGGACCCTCTGAAGGTATGCTTGGGCTATTATTCTACATATTTTAATTATTAGCTTTAATCATCAATAATTAATAATAAATCTACCACTGTTGTCTGATTATTTCAGGACAGCTCATATTGTCTGGAAGACATCGGTCAGTGGAGAGCAATCCTTGAATCAAGAGACCTGCACTCCAGCGCCCCAGATTCAAACATGGACCCTTACCACAGGTAACTTTAAACAGACAAACATATATAAGATTTTTTGTGTATTTGCATGTATACGTTCTACTGGCTAGGTGTTGTTTTTCACTGTATGTGTTCTGTTTTTTGTTTTTTTTTTGGTCCAGATTGTTGTGGGAAGTGTGGATCACAGTGATGCGGTGTTGTGTATCCAGCTGGCAACCTCGTATGGTAGGGCCAATGGTGGACTGTGTGGAGGTGTGGGCTCCTCTACTCCCCCTGTGGATCCTGGATCACCTGTTGGAGCAGTTGATTTTACCCCGGCTACAGCGAGAGGCAAGACACACACTATCTCTACTTGAGGAAACTTCCTTAGATGTAGAGAAACTCCCATGGTTTTGATCATTTCACATAACTGATGTTGTTATTCCTTTCTGTTTGGTAGGTGGATAACTGGAACCCTTTAACTGACACGGTGCCCATCCACTCCTGGATCCACCCTTGGCTGCCGCTGCTCCAATCACGCCTAGAGCCGCTTTACCCACCAATCCGGAGCAAACTATCCAACGCCTTGCAGCGGTGGCATCCCAGCGACACCTCAGCCCGCCTCATTCTGCAGCCGTGGAAAGACGTTTTCACACCAGGCGCATGGGAGGCCTTCATGGTGAAAAACATCATCCCTAAACTAGGTATGTCTTCATCAGTGACAGTGTCAAAATGTATTTCCTTGCAGTTTTATAGTTCCCTGTCCTTCCTTTTACACTGGTTTCTCTTCTCCTGTTTCCCTCTCCAGCTCTGTGTCTGGAAGAGCTGGTTATCAACCCTCACCAGCAGCAGATGGAGCCATTTCACTGGGTGATGGATTGGGAGGGCATGCTGTCCCCCTCCAGCCTTGTGTCCCTGCTGGACAAAAACTTCTTTACAAAGTGGTTGCAGGTCAGTGGCTATAATTACACAGTAAATTATACACAGAACAGAAAGTAATTAAGATGCACTTATTAGCTGCAGTTTGTTATTGTAAAATGTTTGTGTTCTGTCGATTTAAAGGTCCTGTGTTCATGGTTGAGCAACAGTCCTAACTATGAGGAGATCACTAAATGGTACCTGGGTTGGAAAAGCATGTTCAGTGACGTATTGTTGGCACAGCCGCTCATTAAAGAGAAGTTTAATGAAGCTTTGGACATCATGAACCGCGCAGTGTCTTCAGGCATGGGTTGGTATTACACTCAGTCTCAGAAAATAAACATGAAAACTATTCCTTTATAAAAAGTATTATTATTAACACATACTACAACACTCATTCTTTTTCACACAGGTGGATATATGCAACCTGGTGCAAGGGAGAATATTGCATATCTAACACAGACAGAGAGACGAAAGGACTTCCAGTACGAAGCGATGCAGGAGCGCAGAGATGCCGAGAGCGTGGCTCACAGGGGCATCAGTGCTGGTGTGCCGACTAACTTTAAAGATCTTATCCAGACCAAGGCGGAGGAGAACAACATTGTCTTTATGCCCTTAGTGGCCAAGCGGCACGAGGGCAAACAGCTGTACA